AATATACTGTATCGTTTATAGTTTGTACATACTTAATTGCTTGCTGTTGACTAGTCCAATAATAATTAATATTGTCATGGCGATGAGCCAAAGAAATTCAGTATGTACAAATAATTTAATAATTTAAGTATGTACATTCGTGTAGTATCATGTCAACGGTTAACTGCACGCGAGTGAGCTATTATTAAAATTATAGCATAAAATACCATGGTTATCCTTATTAATAATCGCATTAATGTGTAATTGAGTAGTTTTATTGAAATTTTAAAGTGTATGTTAAAAAATATTAAAACTATTTTAAAATCGCGTGTTACGGTAATAAAAAAGCGATTTCAAGTACCCGAGTATATATATGAAAATAAAATAAAGGTATACAACTTGTACAAGAAAGAAAATTTAATTATAAGGATATTTTTTACAAAAATAATGTTATATTTTGTATCCATAGTATTTTCTATACATCATTGTTAATCATTTTTAAATTCATAAAAAGTTATTTTTTGATACTTTAACGTAGTGTGAACTATTAAATAAATAACATTTATTGATTTATTTTTATCATAAAGCTACTCTCTTACTATTGACTTCATTTTATCATCAAATCGTTATTCGTAAATTAATATATTGATAAAATCCAACTATAACATTATATTAATATTCAAGAAACAGATGTTTTCAGAGTAAACAATACATAATCATGTTTTTTATTACAGTGGACGACAAAACTAAAAAATTTTTAAGTGTACATTTCTAAAGTTTCTTAACATAATTGTAATCTATTGTTGTAACCTTATGTTAATTAAATTCGATATTTAAAAGTGATTACGTAATTTATCTGAAATATCGTTTTTATAATAAAAAATAATAAAAATAGCTTGTATTATTTTTTGACAGAGTAATCTATGAATTAGGTTTTCGTAATATTCATGAACGTAATGAATAATTTAAGTGGAGAGGATTACAACATTACTAGTTTATTTTTCTATAAACCAGATACCAGATCAAAACGTCCATAATAAGATTACATTATTAAGAACAACTTCGGAAAACATTTATATTATATTGGGAAGTGACGGTATACTATTTTATTGTGTATTATACAATATGGAACTGAATTCGAAAGTAGGTTGAAGGATACAACAGGAACTATTCATATAAATTAAATGTGGTTTTACAGACGAATCAATGGCCAGAGATCTATAAGTCTGCATCATAAAACCGCGTTGTTTTCGAAATACTCTTCAACAAGATTAGTTGACTCGTGTATATAGAAGTAATCATAATCGATAAACGTATTGGAATGATCGACTGTTGAATGTTGTTTCGTGTAGCTCGCGGTGTAATTATTTATATTTTACTTTAGGATCTTCAACCAAAACTCGCTAATACACGCCAATACACGAGTTTAAGTTAAATGTTACGAAAACATTCGAGGGAGTTAGATTACACATGGCCGTGCAATATTTTCGTAAGCGAAAAATGTACGAAAAACAGTGAAAAACAAGTAGAGTATAATCAATACACTACGATATCATATATAAATCGTTTGAATCGAGATGAAACTATTCTCGTATGTTGTTTAGTGATAAATGCGTATTATTTTGAATCGAGGTAAAATTGCAACAAGACTAAATAATATTCGATTACTCATTAGTTGTATACTGACCTGTTCCGTTAAAACGATTATCACACCGACACTGAATTCAAAACGAACAGTTACGATTATTAACAGCTCGTATTATCTACTGGCACTCGACAGTTAAAACCAGATGTGTACGTAACACATATTTGTTTGGTTAGTTCTGTGTTTTAAACGCGCATCTCTATAGGCGGAAACACGCTTGGGTGTTTTAATGATGTTTCCATTATATTTCATCAAGGTCCGCGTCGTCATGGACTGATGAGCATTGCGAGTGCACTAAAACACGTAGACGATTCAAACATTCTTGAAATATTGCCGCACTTCCCGCGGTGCTCGATTTCGAAAACGTTATTCCGTCCAATAACGCTATCGTAAATGTTCATCAACGAGTTTTTCAACTGACACTTCTTACAACTCCGGGCGCTCTGCAGAGCTGTTACACATCCTTAAAAATAATTCGAAAATATTTTCAGGGATTTATTGATTCCACCGAAACTACCGATTTAAAAAAAAAAAAAAAACTATCGATCTATCGTCGGCTATTGTTTATAAAAATATTGTATTAACTCCGCCGGCTATCGATTCCGCCTATTACTGTTCGTAGGAATAGAGCTAAAAAAAAAAAAATTGTCGATAATTTATCAACATAACTAAATAATTGAAACGTTTTCATGTTCAAGTATGCAAAACATATTTCCAAACATTACCAGAAACAACTTATTATTATATTAAACAGTTTTTAAAAACGCTATCGACGTATTCGAGTACATAAGTAATAGTATATTTATTTATGTTTTATCGAAATCGGGTAAATCGATTTTCTACGGTTTTGTATCCCGTCATTTTTCCCCTACGAATACAATCACGCGAAAACGGGAGCCGTCGCGTAGTGAACGCAGAAGATATCTGAGCCGACGGAAACGGTATAAACGTCCATCGTTGCCGCGGTCGTAATAATGTCGATCGTGTTCGCGCGGCAATGGTGTCCGCGGATCCGTGCGCAATCGTCATCGTGGGCAACCGGAGCACGTGGTCGCAACGGGTAAACGTCGTGTGACGCGCGTGTTGGACAACGGCCGGTTGCGTCGGACGCGGATGACCTTTGCGGAAAACGTCGTCGCGTTTGACCTGACCCCGCCCGACGAAGACCGTCCGCGAAACTCGCGGCAACGCAACAACACGAACGTCCTTTTCCCGCCCAACCAGGGACGTCATTTCCACTTTTAAAAGGGTGGGGCAACTGTTGCCGAACTTCATAATATTTAAAACATTATGGTTACCTATATATTTAAATATTTAGTATTTATGGACCATAGACTATCAATAAAATATTTTTTCGGAACAAAACATGTATGGATTAGTAATGAATAATGATGATAAACAAAGAACATGAAACGTTTCAATTTACCCAATTAAATAATAACATTGAAGATAGTAAAACATTAATTTATTTACTTTTATCCTTATAGGCTGTAAATTGCCTATCAATAGGTTTAATGGAATAATAATTTAAATCTAATTCAATAAATACTTATAATTTTATTATTTGTAAATTTAATACTTTCCAGAACTTATTTATAAAAACATAAAATTGTATCTCAAATATAATGTACCGTAGTTTGAGGTGAATAGAAACGATTTTAACGGGTTTTTATAGATTATGAGCTCAATTTTTATGGTATTGATATCACGAAAACTATTTTATAAAGATCACATATATAGAAATATATAATTTACTAAAAATAAAGTCTATAAGGTCTGTGTAATAATGATTGTCCTAAGCCGGGGAGGAGCCAGTGTTTCCCAACTTTTAATAAACCGTGAACGTGTATTTAAAAGAGAATATTATCCGATTTCTGAGTACAAAATAGTAAATAAAAATTTACTATTTACTGATTTTAGCATTTGATCATCGGATAAAGAATTGCCGACTTTTTAAAATTTCTTAGAATGAGGCGTTTGCCATAGTCTGCCCTTCCCCCAAATGACGCCCCTGCGCCCGACGATGTGCGTCCGCCCGCGCGTACACGACCGACACGACGACCTGCACGTGTGACCGAACGAAAAAAAATAAAATAATAATAATAAATAAATGTTTTAAAACGCCCATGATACGGTACTGCGGTAACAACTGCGGTTTTCTACGTCTGCGAAAATCGCGTACACGACGGACACCGTTGCGTCAGAAAGCATTTCTAGGTCAACGGCGGCAGCGGCCGACCTAAAATATTATTATTATCAATGGCGTGGATACTATTTTTTTCTGGAGGGGGAGGGTGTTTACGAGTCAATTTATACTATTCTTAGTACATCTTAATACGAGGTCCTTAACAATAATATTACATTTAAAATGGTATTGCTATTATGTCCCGTATTTAATGAAAATTATTTTATTACTCAAATCTTATTATTTACCTAATCGTAGTAAAATGAAAATATAATTTTACTATGTTATGTAAATATTAATAAACAATCGTTAAAAAAAAAAAAATCTCCTTACACCCCCCCCCCCCCCCCCAATCCGTTACTACACCGCTGATTATTATGATACCGTAATGACTGTAATCGTTCGCGTAGCACACACCCCGCACGTAGACGTGGAGCGTGCGTCAAGTTCACGTGTCACGCGGTTGCCTAACCGTGTGCGCACCCCGGGGCGCGTTCGTCTCTCGGACACCGAAAACCCCGTGGCCGGACGAACCGTTCCGACCGCGAACGTACCCTTAGTGACCGCCTCCGCCTAAGCCTACTGAAACACGTAATGTAATCGTAACGTAATCCGCACCGTTTCGAACATCGGTTTGATCGCGGTGCGGCAGACGCGGAATAGTACACACTGCACATTTTAACAGTACGCTTTCGATAGTTACGTCACCGTTCTGCGCACGACCGTCTCCGCTCGTACGACTAAGCTTTTTGCGCTGCACAAACAACTTTACTGAACATTGACGGAGATCGCCGTCCGGGATACGATTCGACGGGTTCGGCGAAACGGAACGTAGACGATCCGATTTTGCGGGAAAAACACGATTCCGAAGTTTGGTTAGAATTAATCGCGAAAAAAATGGTTTTTCTCGATCGCGAAAGCGCACGAGGGCGTATAGCGGAGAATTGGGTTTCTCGACTGGAAAAAAAAAAAAAAAATGGACCGCTCCACCTCCGGAGACCTACGGTTCCAGATACGTGCCGGTGTGCGGTGGCGCAGCGTCCGACAACGAGTTATGTAACGAGCGCGCGCACGAGGGGGAATCGACGGCGACGGCCCCCGGTCGGGTGTATAAAAACCGCGGGCGGACGCCGTGGCCACGTCAAAGCTTCACCTTTCTCCGGCACACGCACACGACCTGGGAACAGCATCTCACCGTAACAGATCGCCGAGCACCGTTCTTACGCGCGCGCAGTCCTCGTCTCAACCGCTCGACACGACTTCAGCACCGTGTCCGTCCGATCAGCCGTCACGATGAACGGTCCGAAACAGTTGGTGAGTATGCCGCGCGAGTGCACGACCTTCAATCCAGACGATGCAGCCCGCGGGGTTCGCCTGAGGTTAGGCCGTACGTCCCGTTTCGAACGGGACAACTCCGGTTTTCGTGCGTTTGTCCCGTTGTCTCTCGGGCAATCTTCGGGTTACCCGTTTTCGATGGAAAATAACGATAGTAAATTCTGATTCGTCGATGAATTATTGTTTCTATTAAACTTAATTAGCGTGTTTGCATAAAAAATTATTTATAATATAAAGAGTTACTTATTAATAAGTGTATTTAACTAATCAAATTTTTTCATTCCTTACAACCGTAATGGTAGTACTTAGTAGTTTTGTTAATAATTATTGAACAAAAAAAAAAAAAAGAAAAGATTTTTATAATCAAGATGATGAAGATTCTTTTATTTTGTCCCGCTTTGCCCAGAAAAATATATATGGTCTTAGGTTTACCGAACATTTTCGTCTCTCGTGTGACCGGCCGTCAGCCTCCGGTACTGTGTTTGTGCATTGTACACGTCGATAGACCGAAACCGGATCAGGGTAGAAGAGAAAAATCCCCCGCGAAGATGAGTTTCATGTGTTTGCCCACCCAAAATCTGTGATCGTTCGAAATGTATCGTTTCGATATTCTCGGTTATCGTCAAGTCTCTTCGTACCCTTCTCGGACGTAACCCGGTCGTTTCTAAAATATTTCGATCATCCGTATCCTCGCCCTAGTGCAAGTTTCGCACGTCGTTTCGGACGCTGGGGGTACTAGACGCCATTACTACCCCGCGGAAACGCGTAGTTACGTGAATGCACGTAAAATCACTTTCACGAGGTATTCATTGTATGAGGATAGTTATCTGATGCGGCTGGCGAAAACTGTACCGATCCGAAGTATCGATTTTGTTTGAAACGAACAATTCAACATACCCGTGGACGAGTATTTCTTTTGCGTCACTATAATTGGTTTGTATTTTTATTTCTCCAAACACGCTTCGGAACTACTTTGGAATAAGTGCCAAGACGCATGTAACTTTTCTCAAAAGGATCGCTCGGGTCACGAGGCGCGAAGATCACGCTTTATGAGCGGTGACGTCGACAACGGTTTCGAAAACAACCGCCATGCGACACCAGAGATTAGCATTTACGTTTCGAGCGCGAATGAATTATTCAATTATCGTTCTCGGAACGTATGTTTTCGTGCTTATTCGACGCTTACCCGTATACCTGTAATACTTACCCACTGAACAAATAAGTAAATAAATCAACAGTGTATACTTATGTAGTTCAATACCTTGAGTATCAAATAAAAATATTTTTAATATATTAGTGATATTTTACAAGTATATAAGGTAGTATTATTATAAATAAGGTCTTCTGATTCACGTCTTACAATTTTTAACTAAAATAAATTTCTCATTCAAAAATGATGTGGTCTTTTTTATTTTTCGTAGTAAGCTGAGCTGAGCAATTCAGATCATAAATTATAATCTGCAGTTATGAACAGCACGAAATATGGCATAATAATGAAATATGACGTGATTTTTTAATTTTGTAGAACCGATCATTTTTAGTGTTAAATTTTAAACACTCGAGTACATCAACGTTGGTTCGGTTCAGATCCATGCACTTGTTACATTGTTTTTTTTTATTAAAACTGGGCAAATAACCATAATTAACTTTAACGATCAACAGGTATTTTTAGCCGCGGTGTTGCTGTACGGGCGACAGTCGATCGCCTGGCCCGTGTACCAGGAGGAACACTACGAAGGACTTCACGAGCACCACCACGGTCTACCGCCGGCCACGTCTTACGCCACCATATCCACGACACACGTCAACGTGCAGCACCCGCCGGCGGCGCCCACCAAGTACGCGACCCCGTACAAAGTTAGTGCATCACACACACACACACACACACACACACACAATACTATTGTCGTAGGCACGTGGTCGTTATGCGTTCGCAACGGTAAACGCACCGTCGTACGGATACCGCGGGTCAGACGCGTGCACGCTAAGACGAAGTAAACGGGCCCGAGGGAGTTGGCCCATTAGGAAGTAATAATAATGTAACACAAATGGAGTGTTCGCGTAGCGCGTGCACGGTGTGTACGGCTAGGGAACGCGACGCCTTTCTCCTGCGCGACGCGTTGCGTAAGTCCGCGCGGGGTACCGTCGAATCGTTAAACCCGCCGTTGTGTTACGTTTTTTTTTTTTTTTTTTTTCTTATTATTATTATCTCTTAACGTGTGTGTTCACTTTCCAATTTTGGATGCCCGCCCCGGTTCTCCTGCACGAGCAGTCGCATGTTCTTATTACACACATATTATTCGGTGTTATGTACGCGGCGGTTCGGTAACCGGGGAACTCTCCTTCGCGCCGGCATCTCGTTACGATGATTCGTACGGTTATCTCGTGATCACCACCGATCCGGGTGTCACCCGCGACACGTGGGCGCCTCGGATTTTATCACTGCCCGCAGCAAAACCGTATCGGTCGACGTTATCCGATTGGGTTTTTTTTTCTTTGTTCACCTTTGTCACCGGAAATCCGGATCCGTTTTGCTGTTCTCGATCTTTTTCCTTCGATCGTTTTCATACTGTTGAATACGCACACGCGCGGCCGTTATCCGAACGTCGTACACGTGTTTCACGTGTTACGTAAAAACGATATCGTCGAGATCAGTTTTCAGATCCGCAACCGCGATCGCTAACGTGAGGATCGGAACGGAACTTTCGGTTTTGCGGTAAAAGTCGCGTCCGCGGCGAACACGTTGCCCGTAACGGTTTTCCTGCGGTGTATAATTTCCTTCTACTCGCAGAATTCAAACGAATACGTGAATAATTGTTAAGCTCGCCGTACGCTTATTGTTTGCTTTTCGTTCTCGGTTCGGTTCACGTGGCGAGTCGATAACGTCCACGACAACGTGCTTTCCATGATAATAAATCAAACGCACGGAAAAAAACGAACCCCGACTTGAAGTGCGTGTACGTTTGTTTCTAATGAAAATAATCACTCGTAAAAACCAAATGCATCATGTATACGAATTGGATTTACGGTGTATCGTTCGCGTCCACGTAACGATTGAAAATATGACTGCTTTTGTATTTAGTACTCAAATGGTCTGTTTTATCGAAATATATCTAATCTAACAACGGAAAAATGTAGCGGAAACCTATCGGTTAGAAAACCAATATCGCAGTACGTTAAACGAATCGTCATCGTAAAGGTGCGGGTTTTGCTGTAATGTGCGAACAAAGGCAAATTAAAAAAAAAAAAAAAAGGTGCGGGTTTTGAACAGTGACATCATCGGAAAATGTTAACATTTTTTCGTGGGTGCTTAAGGGGGACGCGTTCCGATCGCAATCACCGATTAAAACAGTGGCGTATTTAGAAACTTATTTAGGGGGGGGGGAGCGTGTCATACCTAAAAGTGAAATCATTTTATAAATGATTATAAAATGTTCTTTATCAACTTATTGTTTAAAAACTAAATAATAATATTAATAATAACTAAATTAAACGTATAATTGTATTCAATGGCGTGGCGAACATAACAATTTTCAGAGGCAAGTACAATTTGTCGACACCCACCCACAAGGCCGTATCCTGGGAAGGGTTCCGGGGTGTCTGGACTCCCCGAAATTTTTTCAATATTTTACGAATGTTTAAAATACTAATTTATTTTTAATACCAACATAAATATTTTCAGTCAAAAATGACTTAAGCTCCAATTAATTATTGACTGCTCTACATTTTATATCATATTATCATATGAAAATAATTTTAATAAAAGAAGATTAAATCTTTTTCTGTCTTATTTTTAACCAAACATCAAAAGTTAAAACCTTAATTCAATAAAATTACAATATACATGTTTTGGACCCCTTCCGAAGAAAATTTTTAGATACGGCCTTGCCCAACCACCCCCCAAAAAACTGATAGGAAACTGCCTCTCAATTACCCATATCGCCACGCCACTGATCGTATTAATCGTATTTTATATTAGTTTATGTTGCGCATAGATGCATAATGCATGCTGACAACTGACAAGACGTGACAGTCACGGTCTAAAATATTCTTATCGACCAATAATTTCCCCACATCAGATTATTTATATACCATGTGTGTATGAGTGCCGTGCGGTCGATTGTTATTATTATTATCCGATTACAATTTAATTATTAGCGATATTAATATTTGTATATATATATATATTCATTATACTTTAATACTTTATTGAATAAATAAATTAAAATTATTATATTACTGATATATTTGACGTTGTCAATTTTTTTTGTTTGGGAAGGAGGTGAAACCCCCTCCCCCATAAATACGCCACTGGATTAAAATATTAAAAAACCGTGCGAGCGTGATTTACCGCGGCGGCGCGACATGTTGCAATGGGGTTTTATACAGTGTCACGAAATATTTTTGGTTGCGCACAACCCAAATGTACTGACATTTGGTCCCGTGGGCCTTTGTTTTTCGCAGTACGAATATCTGACGCAGCCGCAGATGACGTACAAGTACATATCGTTGCCGTCCGCCGTGGCCCTGCAGCAGTCCGGTAAGTTCGAAGAGCCGTCCACCACGGGTTACAAGTACCTGGCCGCGTCGCCCACGTACAAGTACGTGCAGCCGCCCGCGGTGACCACCGAACCGGAGGCTGCCGAGGAGCCGACCAACTCGCTCAAGTACGCGCTCAAGTTCGAACAGAACTCGTTCAAACAGGAACAGCAGCAACAGCAACAGCAGCAGCAGCAGCAGGAGTACGAACAGCCGGCCGTGCAGTACAAGTACATCGCGGTGCCGTCGTACAAGTACGTGCAACAGGCCACGGTGCCCGAGTACGGCCATCACCAGCTACAGGCCGCGGCCTTGGCTTACGATTACACCGACGACAAACAATAGAACTGACGACGACGCCGACCTAACCACCGGCCGTCGACATTTCGAATGCGATACATCCACGGCTCGAGCTCACCTCGGTTCACGTACACCGTTGCATCACCGACACGGTAGATTATAATTTTAAGTCGCCGCCGTCGACAGTGACCAATTTCCACCTCCTCCTCCCCCCCCCCCCCCCCCCCCCCCCCCTCCCCACTGTAAGTCTTAACGTTTATCGATGTTTATATTTTGTCTGACTAAACACACTTCGAACGTCTGTTTTTTTCCATAACTGTTTTGTCACTCTCCATTTTCCCACCCCCTCTTTCTTTCTTTATTACCGACTGCTTTTTTTTTCTTCTGAAAGCAGTGTCGTCACTCATTCTTGGCTGATAGCATTTTATACATCTTTATATCATAATATACTTGTTCTCACGTCATGTATAATATTATGCGTCCCTATTTATAATATGGGACATATCGTGTAATAGTGATTTAGCGCGTTTTTCATAATACGATTACACTTTTAAATAAATAATTATTATTAAAATTATTATTATTATTATTATTATTTTGTACATGTTAAATAATAAAATATGCAAGAAACATAAATTTGTATTTGTCCGTCAATGATATTATGTTTAATTATAAGGCTGTGCATTTAGAACAACGAAACGTTCTAAAAAAAAAAAAAAACCGGTATCTCGGTCAACTCATGCAACTATTCAATTTTTTAACATATTGATTATTAATTAAAATATTATATGCAAATTTCTTTTAAAATCATGTAATATAGTTATTTTACTACATAATCAATTCATTTCATTCGTTGGTGTTTAAGCCTTGGGCGAACATTTAGAATTTAGATAAGAATTTTAATTATTCGATATTTTTTTTCTTCTTATAAAAAAGTTAGGAAACTATTTTACAATTTTTTCCCACGCATAATTGAATTTGAATGAAATTTATAAACATTATTGATTCAACTTCTTATCAATTAAAGCATTTAGTTTTACTATAACAATACACATGTTAATAATGTCAATTTTTTGTATAATACAAAGTTCAAGAATAAGAATATATGTGTGTTGTGAAAACAATATTATTTTATATAAATGCACAAAATATAAATACAAGTGGAGGCTGAATGAATTTTTGTACTTTGATTTAAGATGTAATAAATATATTACATGTCTATGACAGAACAATCATAAAATAGACTAAAAATAATTTTTTAATAGTTTCTGTGAAATATAGTTATTTAACGTGTTGAGACTTCAATAATTCATAATAATGTGAAATAAACATAAAACAACAAAAAACACTGCACATATATAATTATTTTTAATAAGACAATAAATTATCTCACGTTATTTATCATGCATTTTATCAACATTTTATTATAAAAATTAAAGTAGTTTGATATAAGATTTTCAAGTGCTGAGGAAACTAATTTATAGATCAATTTTAAAGTTGTAATACATTTATTTGCTATAAATTATTACTTGCAGTTTTTTTTTTTTTTGAGTATTTATTGGCGTTGGGCGATTTTCTTCTTTGTATTGCCAATATAAGTAATTAACTACATTTTCATTATTCAATGAAACTTGTGGTTTTCACGAATAGATATAATAATTAAAATTTATGTGGTTTATATCAATGACCCTATTTTTCTTTTTGTTAATTTAACCTTAAATCGTTACTTTATGACAATTTGACATTCGTAAAGGAAAAAAATTCTGAAAAATGAAAACACGAGTGTCAAAACCTTCATATTGTACAATATTAGAACCTTAATGGAATATTTTAACATTGATGTGACTAATTCAATCGACACACATTTTAACCTTTTTTGATTGTTAATTTCTTATTTTATAAGTTTTAAAGATTTTTAATCATTACCGTTAAAAATATATGCGGCCCTTGTAAGTCATTTTTAAAGTTATTATTTGGTATTTTCTAGGATTCTAATGAAGACCGTTGTTTTAGGTTATTTATATGGGTGTGTATACACTGACGTACTGTACGAAAACATCCAGCAAAATAATAATTTAAGTTTCCATTTTACTGGTATAGTAGTGGCCTAGAATCTTCAATTAGATTTTATTTTATTTAACTGTAATTAAAATTTATTTTTAATAAACATTTTTTTAAATCATAAGTAATTTCATATTTCAAATTCAAGTTGAGACATTTAAAATTTTTCTAAACTTCAAACCATTGTTCGAATAATTAGGCAATGTATCCAGTCTAAGAATTTCAAATAAGTTTAATAGTTAAAAACAAATATATGTTCTATATTTTTATCAATAGATTGTTCATGTAATAATATGCAACCTACTGTATTTTTGTACAATTTGATAGCATTTGCTATTAAGCATTGTATTAACATACTCCATAGATAATAAACCTGATCACTGTGGCAATGAGACCAAAAATACATAGGTAATAAAGGTTTATGTTGTTATTTGTATTGAAGTAGCTTGACGTTTAAATTATTAAGCATTAGTCATTGATAGTCGACGGGGCTTTGAAGTTACACCTAAATATTTTAATTTTGTTTATAAACCAATATTTTAATAATATTAAAATCAATTTACCATACCTATAAAGATTTCAGTCGGTAATTTTTGTAAAGCTTAAAATATCTGTGAGTGGTTAAAATAAAAAAACCAACGGAAATATGAACACCATTGTTAAATAAACAATATTCTATAGTAAAATATTTTAATGAAATAATGAGTAACATATTTTATCAACATTCAAGTAATATCATTTTGTGAAATACTTTTTCTCTATTAGATATAATTTTATTTTATCAGAAATTTTAGGACGTTCTGGGTTTTTTGAATTTTACAAAAAATTATCTGTATATAAATGAGATACTTAAAATACCTATTAACTCTAAGCGTTTTATAATTGTAAAACATGCATCAATATGTGTTGTAGTGGTATAATAATAAGAACTGATATGATAACGGTAGCTATTAGTCAAGTCCATAAAAAATAAATTTGAATACAATCTAAATAGATACCATAATTATAATCCTTGACCAAACTATAAGAGTTAACAATCTTATATTAATATGCATAATTTTATTCTAATACATAAATATTTAAAATATTTCTAAATATTGAATTAAATGTATGTGTTGACTCGAAAATATACATATGAATAAACATAAGTACGTAAACATAAAATGATCGAATGTTCATTTTACGTTCATGATAAATATTAAATTTGTGATAAAATGACATTAAAAATATTTGTTGATAGAAGTAATTCTAGATGTATAGTAATATTAATAAAGTTAAAAGTTCATAAATTATTTAGAAGAACGGTACGGTTTTACCGCATTATTATCAATATAATCGTAAATTAATAGTCGTTTAAATGTTTCAGAAATTCATATCTCGTCTTGTCGGGTGACAGTAAAATTTAACAAGAACATCTTTTTTTATAAAATGTTTAATAATATAAAAATTTAACAATGAAATAAAATTGAAAAATAAACTATACACATATTAAGATACTTCTGCAAAATATTTCACTGTAGTCATCGCGTAACGATACCCATTGCATTTGTGTTAGTTCGCGATAGATCTCATTCTTCTGATAAACTTTAACTTTATTCTGCTTAACTTGGTTTGAAAGACAGAAAATTTAAAAATTTAAAAAAGTAAAATGTTTCATCAAGAAATTTAATTTATTTTATATGCTTATATAATAAAAGAGAGTATGCTATTTTAACATTTGAAATACTACGATTGAATATTAACTAAGTCTGATCAATAATATTAATGTACTACGAGTATATATATATATTATCATACAATAAATTACTAATCATTACGTAGCTCATCATAGCAATCGAAATCTGGAAAGGAATTACTAATTTCGATTAATAATAGATATTAGATTTAATTATTAATATTATTAATAATAAATATTGAGAAAATTATAGATTTATTGATAATTTTTCATCTTGTGATTTATAATTATTGACTTAAATTTTTGATGATACAATCAACAAATAAATATTTATTAACATTCATTATTTTGTACTCAACTATTAATCGTACTAGAATACATAATAACATATTTTCTACAAGTTTGTATACAAATTTACTTACCTTACAAATTTCCTGCAGTACCATATATGTTACTATCGTACTCAGTGCCAGAGCAAGCGTCGGGGTGAATGGGCATGTGCCCCGGGCCCCGCGATTTTGGTTCCCCGTTATTCATAGTGCTCCCACCTGAATGAAACCAAAAAAAAAAAAAAATTTACCCAAAACATACTCACAACATATTATCCAAAATACTCAAGTATCACAAGAAATTTTACTTAATTTCTACCAGATTATTTTCGTTAGATACGTTGAAAATAAAATGTTTGTTAAAACTAAAATGTTCAACGTTTTTATCTTCATTATCGGTTTATTGCATATTCGTATTTTATGTAGCCACTAATATGTATATATAGTATTAATACTAATACTTTGCTACTTTCTACAAAATATATAAATAAATTCGATTCGATCAAATAAATACATTTAATAAAGTTTTTGGATTTTTGTATGATGTTGAAAAACTTTGTCGTGTCCCTAATTTAGAAATTTTAAATTTTTGCAAAGATTTGGAAATACGTTTGTCAGAGAATGATAAAAAATATATAAATGGTTATGATTTATAAGAAGAAATATTAATTTTCTGCCATTTAATTGATAAAAATACTACAACACTTCAAGTACTATCTGAAATAAAAAAAAATGAATACATTTCCCAACTTGAATATTGCATTTCGAATTATATTAACAATTCCTATTACGTCTTCTGGAGCAAAGATAACATAATCTAAATTAAAATTTATTAAAACATATTTACGAAGTACCATGTCACAACAGAAAACTTACTAGACTTGCTACAATTTGCATAGAAAAAGAATTTTCAGAAAAACTAAATTATGAAGATATTATAAGTGACTTTCCATCCTAAAAAGCTAGAAAAATTAAAGAATTATAATTCATAATTGACAATATTTTATTTTAACAATGTATTCTGTGTTTAAAATATTATAAATTGTTTAGTACACATTTTTTTTTTAAACTTTTTTTTTAAATTAAAGTTATTATTTTCGTATTAGTCATTATACATTTATTTATTAGAAGTAATTATTAATAATATTTGTATTTTGAGTTTTTACAATAATGGTTAAAATAATCAGTTTATTTTTTATGCAAATAATATAATACCTAACTATTGTGCAGTAGTTGTTAGTTTAAAAATCGATGGACAAAATTATATTTTGAATTAAATCTATAATTAATTTAGAATGGCGATGTAATGTATAAAATACGAATGAGGGTCCCACATTTTTTATTTGCCTTGGGGCCCGCAAAACTTTGCTCCGGCACTGATCGTACTACTTATTTTTAATAAAAAAATTCTTAAATTAAACACTAATATAAATCATTGAAACTATAAGTATTTTGTTTAGAATAAAAATTATATTATACTGTAGTTATGTATTCATGTCACATGGAATTTAAAAAAAAACATTTTAACTAAGACAACTAAATAAATGCATTGTATATAAACTGAAAAATTGGTTTTCGCTTTATAACAAAACCTGTAGCATTATAGGAGATAAATCAATAATAAAGAAATACGATATAACTTGTTCATCTAAGATATGAAACACGTGTTTTATTTTTTCAAAAATGTTTAAAATGTCGAAGATATTCTACATCCTTTTGGACAGTTAATACTATTAGGCTTATTGTTTTCTTACATCATTGTTATCTCTGCAATGAGAATAGTTTTAAATTATAGATAGTAATAATACGTAAATTTAGTAAAATTGAATAATTCAAATTTACTAATTGTCCAAACAGAATATAGTTGTTCGATTAGTATAGTAAAAAATAAGAAATAAATAAATATCTTATCAAGTTTTATTTAAAGTTCAGTAGTCATGTTGAAATTGTCAAAACTTGAAAATGTCTCGTCTGTAACTAAATATTTGTGATTTAGTAAATAAAATAAAAAAATATAAATAAGTAAATAAACGATAACAATTTGAAACTTCTTAAAAATGTTATTAGAATTACGTGTCAACATATTATTTTTGTAGAATTTCATTTAATTTACGAGCATTCAAATTTCTAATCAACCTTGGATTTATTCAAGGGCTCTACAACACAATGACTCTCAGTTGCAATGAGTCGTATTCAGTCGTCCACATTCATTCGATCTAAACACTTAATAATTATAGCTTAGAAAAATAACCTATTGCTGAATTTTTTTATTTGGCTTCAATTATGGGTAAGTAATAATTCAATTTAAAATTAAATTCATAATACTTTAGTAAAGATTTCAATACTTTGAAAATCTTATCATTGTTACTACACAAGTACCAAATTAAACAAATGTATGCATGTATTATAATATTCTTTAAACCCTTAATTCTTTGGGTGTCAATGTATTAAATAATAAATACCCAAATTAGTATATGACATGATTATAAAGTTCCCTATCCTATTGCAGATAACAATAAACCTTCTTAATACACTAGATATTGGATACGAAATATTAATAATTGAATATTATATTATAAAATAAAAATTAAGTATAGTTAATAAAATAATAAAAATAAATAATTATTAAATTGTTAATTTTAGTAAATGAATAGTGTACATATAGAAATAAATAACTAAAAATATGATTAGCCTGGAGTATTATTATATTTGTATGATGATGATGATGATTTTTTAATTCAAAACCGGTTGTACTTTAAAAATATAATAATAATTCAGGCTAAGCTTTTATTATTCTATTTATTTATTTCTATACATAAACTGTTTGTTTATTTTTTTATACATCGAGCATAATTAATTTGTGTTTAATTTTAATTGTATATTTATTATTATGTCCAATTTTTAAAATTATTTTTTTCGTTACCATTGGCCATATTAACCGTTAATAAGTCAATACAAGAACCATAAACTAAAAATGTATTCAGTCAGTAAAAAAAGCAACAAAATGTGGACCCTTCTAGAAAATCTCAATCTTTCAATAGGCATATTCGTTTTTGTATACACGCCTGTACACGATCAATAATATTGTTTTTATCCGTTTACTTACTGCAACATATAAAGTACAAAAAGAACTAGAAACTAAACAAATAATTTCATCGATATATCACGCGCTTTTATTAATATGCTAAATGTAAACGGGTAGCTTTTTATATGCTTTTATGCATACGCCTTACGCAACACTAGTCCATATATAGTTAATTACAAATTATTTATTTTGTTGAATATAAATTTTGAATATTAGATTAATATATACATAAATATAACATTAAAACAGTTGCGTATTAGTCGATTCGATCGGTTAACTACGGTAGTATATCAATAATAGGTTTTTTTTTCTCAACTAACCACGTTAGTTGACACAATGCTCGATGGTACGACAAATACGTTATCTAATAATTTAAAAAAAAAAACATCAATGTTTTGATTTTTTCTAGATAATCCTGAATTTGTATGGGGCCTAAAATGTAATTAAAAATTAAAACTAATGTCTTAATTTAACGGTATGAATTATATAATTTTTAGTTAATAATTAAGTAGAATTAATATTATTTATTTTGGTACATTTAATAAAAATCAAAATTTTTTTATCTCTAATAAAATACATAAGCTGTAGAAATAACTTTAACATAGTTTGGAAATTTTTAATTTTTACTTGTGAAGTTCACAAAAAAAAAAAAATATTTTCCAAGTATGATTAATAAACCAAAATTAAAATATACATTTAGGGAATGAAGAATACGGCGAAAGAAAAGGAATTTCATCGTTTACAATTTCTCAAAATGGAAAGTAAGTAAAACTATTAGGTATTTTTATTATTTATTAGTTTACTACCAATTATTTTATAATAATATTAAGTTATGTTCATAAAATTACGGGCAAGGGAGCACGTGCAAACATAAATTTTATTAAATTAATTAACATTAACAAAATTAAGTGTAAAAAGATAATATTGAGTTATTTTATATCAATTTTATAATAAAATAGAATAAATTTATTTTACAAATATTTACTAATTCCTTAAGTTAAATATTCGATTATCCTTACTCTAATTTAATAATTTTTCTGTTCCGCTTTGTCATTTCACAAAAATATTTTTTTATCTATTAATTAATCACATTCTATAAACTAAACTTTTTATACAAAACAAAATTAAAACGATTCATTTACATTCCATATCGACTGATACTGGAGGAATCAAACGTGTTTAGCCTAATATCATCGATTTATTTATGAGTAAATACGCATACATCATGATATCTTTCAACATTTTTAACTAAATAATGATATGACTAATATTTTATGTCATAAATTGATAAAATCTATCTTTTTAACGTTGCTGATATCAGCAATACCTTATAGTTTTGGATCATTTTAAAAATTCGATTTACATCTCAAACGCTATATAAAAGAGCGTACAAAAAACAGAAAGAATTATTTTACTATTTAAATATTATAGATCATTTTAATGAATGTTAAGTGTTAGATTTTATATATAGTTAAAATAATTGTTTTTGTTTAGTGCAATTTCAAAAAATATTGGTAGCAAGAAAAAAATATCCATTGGTATATTAACAGTGATTGCTTTGTCTTTCACAGGAATTTACGTATATAATTACTTATGTAAGTCATGTAAATATAAACAGTAGTTAAATATTTGGTCTGCAAAAAACCTTTAAGCATTTGTAAATAATCTGAAATTAATAATTCTTTACACGCACATGTTCTACGCAAGCGTACATGATATGAATGACTATTTTTATAGAATTATTTATGTCAAGATACCAAATATTTACTCCTTATATCATATTGTATTGTTTAGTAGTTTTGCATTTAAAATTGATAAATATGATGTTTTAGATATTGAAGAAAAAATAACCGTTTGCAATACTAGATCATGTGTACAATCATGTAAGTTGTAACGGATAAGTAATAATTATAATAATTTATTACCAAACGAGTTAAGAATGTTGTAACTAATGCTTGAATATTCCTATTTAAGGATTATAATTTATATTTATTCGAAAGACTACATTCCGTATTAAACGTGTATTTGATATTTTTATTTTATTTTTTTTGTAGCTTTGGTATTAATGAATTGTATTAATGAAACCATTGATCCCTGTGAAGATTTTTATGAGTTTGCATGTGGTATGTTTGAAACTAACTACCCGACCTATCCTAATACAGATGAAAATAGCTGGACATCAATAATATCATTAAAAGTAAACTCCATAGTTAAAAGTAAGTAAAATGTATGAGTATTTCAGTACTTGGCACGTTGAAAACTCATTTCTTAACGATTTTATTAGAATTTCTCAATCAACCAAATGAAGATTATGAACCAGTAGCAATTCATAAGACTAGAATGTTTTATGAAACTTGTTTACAACATATTGGTATGTAAAAAATAGTAAAATAATTTAATATTAAGAACTTCAATAATTTATATAAATGTAACAGATCGAGATTTTACGAAATATGATTTACTGAGGGACGTATGGAAAAAAATTAATCTAGATATAAATTATCTAAACGATTCAGTTCCACTTGATATCGAAACCGTTTTAGCAAAAATACAAAAACACTTAAATATGAATATATTTTTTGATCTTGATGTTGATGATGATCCAAGAAATTCTTCATCTTATTCACTTTTAATCATTAGTAAAAATGAAGAATCAATCGACTTCCATAAAAGGTATTTCAAAATCTTATACATTTTATTAGAAATTACAATAAAAATAACATATAATATAATTTAATTTAGAATGAATAAAGAAACTAATAACGTTATTGATAATGAAGATGCGCATATATTTAGTGATACTTTCAAGTCACTGGTGGACGAATTATTAAATCGTGATCAAAAATATTCCACAAAGATTTCTATTAAAGATCTTATAAATACAACTAAAGAACTAGCTGATTTTGAGAACGAGTTTAAAAAAGTAATTTTTACAGTTCCTTATAAGATTTATAACTTTTCATTTGTAGTACAATAATCAGTTCACATATATTTTCAACAAACCTAATTAAGGAAAATATATTTTTATTTTTTAACATCTTTTAGGAATCAAACCTAAATTATATAATAATATTTATACAACTTATTAGCCTTGTAATAACTATAGAATAGTTAAAAGTACTTACTTAAAGACATGTTTCAATTAAATTTATTAATAACAAACTTAACGATACTAAGTTGGTAATTGTCTACAGTGCCCTTCCTATATTTTGTTCTGGGTCTTTAGTTTAAAATAATATCTTGACCAATATAGGCATTAAATATTTATGGTTTTATGTATTCTTGAATCCTAGATCTCGATATTTTAACATAGTCAAGATTTGTTCATAAACGAACTGTTAAAAATAAACGATTTTCGTATTCAAATAAGTGAAATGGCAGTCATTATCAGGGTCGACGAGAGGGTAGGGCAGGGAGAGCTAAAGCTCCGGAGCCCGTACCTCTGAGAGGGGCCGTCGCTCAGCTCTTTTTTATAAAATCATTTTATAATCTCATTCGCCGTAGCATAATATGCAAATTTAAATATTTTTATTGTACCTACTTACGTATGTACAAGTATTTAGAGTAGTATTATATATTAGCCAAACAAGTATAAGTAAAGAGGGCCTGTAACCGATAAGTCCTGTGGCCCTCAAAAGTTCTTACCGGCCCTGGTTATTATAATAATAATCCAAGCAATTTTCTTAACCATAATATCCAAACAAAATCTCATGTCCAAGAACGAATTGCTAATGTTTCTATATGGTGTTAAAACTACACGTGTAGGTACATAATTAATCAAAATACCTATTTAAGTAAAAATTTGTTCTTTTACTAAATAATTATAATAAACACAAATCGACAGTATATTGAATAATATATAGCGATCGATAGAGTTCTTAGATGTATCATACAATGCCTAATTTTAATTAATAATTCTTGACTACCCAAGTATCAAATTTCAAATTTTAAACTACATATAGGTTTATACACACTTTCTATGGTATCTCGACAAAAACGCGAATAATAATAACCAATAAACTGAGCGAAATTATTTTATTATTACTAATAATTAATAAACTAATTAAAATTATGACATGGAATATATTATTTTTAATTTGTAGCTATTATTTATTATTTGTAAAAATTTGTTTATTATCGTATATTATGATCACACTTTTAATGACAAATTATACGAAATACTTCTTAAATAATTAAGAATTAGAATTTTATCATAATCATGAACAATATTTTTTTAATTTTTCAGCTGAATTTTTGTTTTTTTTTTAATTATTATGAGAATTTGGAGTCTATATAATAAAATTACCTCTAATAAAATTACTTGGGAACAATTTAAACAGATAAAATTATTACGAGGAAAATATGAGATATAAATGTTATACACATTTCATCAGCAATAATTTGTAAAATCCTTATATTTTCGTTCATATGCATTCACTCTTTTTCATTTGGTCTTTTGACGTAAAACTAATTTCTATAGAATATCAGCGTATTAGATTTTTTTTTTTTTTATCATCAATATAACCAAACCGATAACAATAAATAATTTAAATAAAATTATTAAAGTTATGTATTAAACAGTAGTATTTAAATATTATGTACCTTAAAGCTTTCTTATTATTTAAATAAAAAATTCTCATTTAATTTTGTATTTAGACAATTATATTAACTACCTAAAAAAAAAATAAAAGATAACTTTGAATCAAATAATGTAGTTAAATATAAGGATTTTTTAAGCAATACCCTGTGAGTATGGGACGGAACTCGTGTATAGTCAGTGACGGTGCTAGAGTTTGCGAGGCCCTGGGCAAAATAAATGTTTGGTTTTATAATTTCTATTAATAAAATATTTCAAGTTAAGTTAAATAAGAACCGCGGTACCTTAATTATAATTTAAGGCGCGAGGCCCTGGGCTACTGCCCCTATTGCCCCCTGCCACGTGCCGTCCTGCGTATAGTCTATAAACAATAATTGGATACACCACCAAAAATTAATTTTAATTTTTAATTTGCTAATGAATTTTAAACATTAAAAATGTGATGAAGCACGTTCAATACTGTGAAATACAGTCAAAGTAAATTAAAATAATATTTGAATATGAATTTTGCATATTCATACCCATATAGATTCACATAACCATAAATTACTTATAAATATTTATAAATAAACCGTGCGTTATTATTATGCATGCTTATCATTCAATTTATTGTTTTTTTTTTTTTTTAGATTATTGCAAACATGAATCTCTCTCCGTATCAAATTCCTAAAATAATAACACTGGGAGAACTTCAAAATTTTACGGATTCAGCTGGAGAATCACTTAAAGTAAGTACTCCCCAACTAATTAAATATCAATCTTTTCTATGCTTGATGATAAAATAAACTTAATAACAAAAATATTTAGTTTAATTGGACATTATATCTGAGAGAGTTATTTCATGACACCGAACCTAAAGTATATGAACAGTTGATGTCAAAAAATCATAATGATTATGAAATTTTAATAATGGACGAAAAATATTTGGAAACAGTGTTTACGTTATTATCTCAAACTCAAACTATAATAATAAGTAAATATTTGTTTAATATACATAATATAAAATACTTATAAAACTAACATGATATATATTTAGAAATGTCAATACTAACCTATGTAATAGGAATTTTGGAAAAACGTTTTCCGGAGTATCCAGATTCTGAGTAAGTTGTAATGTCTTGCTTGCCTACGTTTTAAGAATATAATCAAGCATATTTTAAATCTTACTAATAATTTCTATTTTTATAGAAGTTGTTTTTCTCTTACTACTGAATTTTTTGGAATGGTAACCGGATATTCCATGATACATACATTAGACAACTCTTCTAAAGCAGCAGCAAGTATACTCACATTTATAATTGAAACTATAAACTAATTCAATATTGTTATTAAATTTATTTTAGTTAATCGAAATGAATGATAATATACAATGGGCTATGCGTAAAATTATTAATGAAGCGAGTTGGTTGGATGATGAATCAAAAATAGCTACATTACGAAAATTAGCCACAACAAAAACTTACTTGGGATATCCAGACGACTATCCTAACATATTAAATAATTTATATCAAAATGTAAGAACATTTAAACGATGTTTGAAAATCATTTAAACAATTTATTTTCAGGAGGGGCTTTTACGAAATTTGAATTAAGTTCATGATATTTAATTTTCTAATAGAATCATATTAAATAACTCAATTTCACCGATGTATATATAACACTATAGTTGATATATAGATGACCTGTAGACGTCATGTGGCCAACTGGTTAAATTTTTAGTTTTTCAGTTGTTGATTTGGGTAAATAATACACAAATGTCTTTAATCCTATATATAACCTAATTTTGGATAAAATACGCATAGAAAAAATTAAAATTTACAATGACAAAGGGGAAATTTACGTCATGTATAAAATATTTGCTTCTCAATGGAACAAATACTATGACGCACCAGATTTATAGTATTACTATCTATACTTCTATTATTCAATATTACGTTTCAGTTAAATATTACAGATAATCATTTAGAGAACTTGATATCGATTTCCAACTTTAACGCGAAGAACAAGTGGAACAGTCTGGTAAACAAAAGAGATTGGAAAAACATAGAGTAAGTATTTTATCCAAATAAAAAAAATCAAATTTTACCGGTAATCGATTAATTTCAACCGCAATTGAAGGTGGGGTATGGCTCCGAACGAAGTAAACGCATACAACGACAATTCGATGAACGCTATTTGTAAGTTGGAATATAGTACTCTATATACTACGGTTTTCGAAACCAGTTCAATCGATTAATTCGAGTGTACCTTGTGACTGTCCGAATTTAGTCATACCAGCGGCATCCTTACAGGCACCGTTTTACTTCAACGGCATACAGTGAGTATACACACGCGTACTACACGCGTGCATCGTAATGTGTTCACCAGAATTCTATTGGAAGAATAGGGAAAAACACTCACACGCGATCGACCTCGTACTGTTTAACAGATCACTGAATTACGGATCCGTTGGTAGTACGATAGGGCACGAACTGTCGCATAGCTACGACGACACTGGTAGGCTGTACAACGAACTCGGCAACGTAGTCCCATGGTGGACCAACAAGAGCCACGAAGAGTACACGAAAAGAACCCGGTGCCTGGTGGATCGTTACAACGACGTTAAGATTGTCAATAATCGCAATAACACCATTGTAGTACGTTATAATAGCTGTGAAATCGCGCGCGCGCGCGCGCGTGTGTGTGTGTGTGTGTGTGTGTGTGTGTGTGTGTGTGTGTGTGTGCGTGTGTATGAACAGTGTTATTCAATTCTACATGTTATGTTGGCAGTTTAATGGTAATGTAACGTTGGACGAGAACATAGCCGACATAACCGGACTGAAAGAAGCATATTTTGCTTATCAGCGTTTTTTAGATATTCACGGACAAGAGCCTAGATTACCGGGTTTGGAACAATACAATCAAGAGCAAATTTTTTTCTTAGGATATGCAAATGTGAGTACAATACAAGTAAACACATACCCTGTGACGTGAAAACATAATCGTTTAACTATTCAATTTAAACGCATGTCCAGGTTAGGTTAAACGATAAAAATAGGTATTTTCAATGCTATATACACGTTCGAGCAGTGATGCCAAAGTCCATGCTCATGTACGGCAATCGCCATACATAAACCATTTTCTTTTGGGGGTAGGTACCCCGGGACCGGGACATTAAGTATAGTTGAAACCTTTGAAAGAATATTCTTTAAGAAAATATTAAATATTAGGTTAAGGAAACAAGTTATAATTGGTATCCTTCTAATATCTGATAAGTATAATCAGTAAATAAGGATAAATTATTTATATTTAGTAGAACATTTATAAATTCTCTGTTGGTGGGTTAATGGGTGAGTAGGTGATTAGGTGACTCGCAATACGCATAAATATAGGTTTCGGCGCCACTGCGTTCGAGTGAACATTATACCGTCAGTACTTGGTCGATTTAAACAATTTTTACATCCATTAGCGTAAGCAAACTTAAAATATTTGTACTATGATAATTTATTAACTTTTTATCATTACGTGATCTATAATATTGTTGGTTATTTAAAGCTGCTTCTCATTAACTCCTAAATTCAACATCTAATCATCAAACAGATTTCAACTTATTTTATTCTAACTATTATTAATCATTAACTATACTATTTAGAATTAATCATTTTAATTTAAAAAAATAAATGAAAGGACATTAAAACGACACTCTATTAAGCATAGTTTTGAAGAATTTTACAAAAAAACTACATGAACTAGCAATAAAAAAAAAATAAAAAGCTATACAAAAGTCATTTTATATCAGCAGATAATAATAAAAACATATATATTTTTTGTATTTCTAAATTATAACTATTGAATATTAGTTCATTTATTTTAGTGATATTTGTAGGACTCCCAATAAATTAATAAGTATCAAATACAATATATGTATTTAAATGGCAAATAACATAATTATATCGAATATTTTTTATATTATTTAGTACGTTATAACTAGGATGAGAATAGTAAAATTCTTAATTAATTGATTTGTCTATAAAAATTATTATCTATATTTAGCAATACTGTCATTATGACATGGTTGGTTGGCAAGCTGGCCGACATAGTCCAAATGAGGTTCGAGTACGAGTAGTCGTATCACTTTTTCCAGAGTTCGCAAAAGCATGGTCTTGTCCACTGGGTTCCCCGATGAACCCAAACAAAGAAAGATGCCAAATATGGTAATTTGTGCAAGGTTTATATTACTTTTCTTTTAAATTTATAAATATCAACTATTTATAATTATTATTATATTATTATTCTTTAAAGTTAAATATATATTTGTTAATTTATTTTTTTAATCAAATAGTTTTTCAACATTTTGGACAGAATGCATCCATTGTAAATATAGTGCATGAGTTCATAAAAAAAAATGTTTCACTCTTTGATTTGGATGTAACGTGTTATTACTTCTTAATTGTTATAACTCTTTATTTCTTTGCCTTTTTATAATTTAATTTGTTTTTTATTTTTAAATTTTAACATTGAACTTTAACATTGAACATTGAATTTTTATTTTCGTTGCATATTGATACCAACTCACAGTAAGAAAACTTTGCTAATGGTTGGTATTAAAACTATGGACTTTGGTTCATATTACTTTAATGTTACACGTATTTATCAATATTTAACTGCTAATAATAATAATAAAGAAGGCGAAACTTCTTGGTCTTATGAGCCTCTACGATAAGGTGAGATATAGCAATGGGTAAATAGATGATTTTCGTATTGGTATTTTAAACTTGAAACTAATGTACTATTGCTTGCGAAAAAATGATTCTCAATCATAAAGATCGATTGTATAAGTTCATATTTCTAATGATAGTTAATATAGTAAAAGAACCGAATTTCTTATTAAAGTAGGTAAAATCGTAAAATTACCTCCTTCAGTAAACCAACTAAAACCAATTTCCTACATTTTACTTTTTATTTGGTGATAATCGAAGTAATCCTAGAAGAATTACTCCAATGTATACTATACATGTATAATAAACATTTTAAATATTACGGGTAATATCCGAAAACGTGTAGAGCCCATATTAACCGGATAATATACACATTATCCATATGAATAGTATTAGCGTTATACTAAAACGTATACATTATTCACCTCAAATACGTACATCATCTAATCAATTTATATATTATTCAATGCGCTGTGGAAAATTGATTACAATTATTTATTAGTAACAATAACTGGTGAGAAAAATCAAATCTAACTTATTTAATTGCAACTTAAATTATTATTTTTAATATCAAATAAAATGTTATTTTACTTATTGTATCTATAATATACACAAAATAGCAAATATTTTACTACTACTAATATAAATTTAAATACATTCTACAAGTGTTAAGTTTTTACGACAATCATAATTTACTATAATATGTTACATATGTAAAATATTTTTTCTTAACATTTATCCTTAATTTTTAAAATTTTTAATTTATATTTATTGAGTATTGACTAATAATAACGATTACCACCTACATTAATTTTAAAATATAGTTTATGTTTCAATAATATTGCAGTACTGAGTAGTATACTAATATATTAGATGTATTTTCATAAAATTAGACTTAAAAATGTACAATAAATACATTTTATTTTTATCTAAATAAATTTTTTTCGTATTATCTTCATCTTTATCTAGATAAAAAAGTATTTATCTGATTACAATATTTTTCAGGACATGTTTTATAAATATTTTTTCTTCGTCCATATGTACAAGTAGTGTTTACATTACCCGAGAAATATAAACATTATCCGTAATTTGTACTTCATCCCTAACATATATACCGAAAAATTCATCACATATTTTTATATAAATAATATACGTACTTATATAGATTTAACGGCAGACACAATTATCGTATCGCAGGAAAATGTATTTTATTTTATTTTTATAATTATACGGGCAGAAGCCCTTTTCACAAATAATATTTGAACATAGTAAAGTAATGTAACATTAAATGAACTATTTAACAATAAAATACATATAAATCAATTATTAAGCGCAAAATTGGAATCAACATTGGCATTGGCCATAAGGCACCTAAGTGGCTAATTTTTGTGTAGTTAGTTAGGTAATAGGGAATAAAGATAGGAGTATTATTTATAGTTGTCCGCTTAAGTACTTTGAAACATATAAGAGACATTCAGACAAGTGAATTGATGTTGCCGTTCAATAGAACATTTAAGAATTTAATTTCAGCATTGCGCCTACACTCAGCTAGTGAGGATAGGTCAAGCAGTGTTTATTGAGTGAGTAACTGACAAAGCGTAGAAACTTTCGCTGAACTCGTTCAAGCTGAAGTGAGTTACTGGTAGTATAAGGATCCAATCCTATACTATACAACCATATTCCAGAATAGGTCTAATAATATTACAGAATAAAACTTTAAGAGACACTCCTTGCTTGAAATCTTTAGCCAAATGCATAATAAAACTTAGTGTTTCAAACGATTGGCAGCAAACATAATCTATATGCAACTTAGGATCAAGATTATTACTAAATTTAAAGCCAAGATAGAGTTGAACTCACGCGATATATTTATTTCATTAATTCTATAATTGAACTCAATAGGCAGTTTTATTCTATGATATATGAAGACTTTGCACTTGAATATGTTAAGTGATTTATTAGACTATTTGGAAAACCTATTGATGTCATATTGCAGTTTTAGACAGTCGTCATTAGAGTATACATGCATAAATAGTTTGTTGTCATCAGAAAAATACAGAAAACGACAATGGTTCAAAACTTTATAATCATAGTTTATAAATATAGAAAATAAAATTGACCTATAATAATAAAAGTGACCTCCCTAACGGACACCAGAAGAAGCTAAAAATATATTAGATTTGATGCCGAATACCTTAACCCATTGATATCGGTCACTGAGATAGGATCTAATCCAGGATAGTAGTGGTTCACCAAAACCATATTATTTGAGAACTAGAATAAGGGTCATACGATCCACTGAGTCAAAAGCTTTACTGAAGTCATTAGATATTAAATCTACATGTGATTGGTTTTGGAAAGCATTTAAAATGTAGTTGAAAAATATAAGATTACAGATGGAAGCTGAACAACCTGGACAAAAATTTGTCACTAAAATTGTCACTAAAAGAATGAGATATTGGACACATATATTGCGTGTATTGTTTATATCATCATAATTCGTAAAATGGTTCTACAATAGTCTTCAGTCAATATAATCAAGATACGGTTCAGTGTTCACCTTGGATATTATTATTTTCCAATTAAAGTCATCGCAAAACACGCGATAATAATATCATTAATTTATCTCGCGAGGCTAAACATATGTACTGTTAAAGTATTGTTAGTTAAAAATATAAAATATGTAAAAAGTAATATTTATATATTTAACATCAAATACAGCAAATATAGGTACACTCATCACACTGAAGTTCATCTCAAAATCTTTGGCTAACATAAGATGAATTAATATTTATTAACATGATATAATATAATATATATTTTGTTAGATGCGTTTTCACGTTCCACACGCACCCGATTTTTTTTACAAAAGTTTATGCCAGAATTTTCGAAATTTTTACCCAAAAATATTAATTGGAATATAATTGGTATTTTTAACAATACAGCTAAACAATACATGGTTTAAATTAAAATATATATTATATATATTTTATACATATAATAATATAGATATCATTCGACTAGCGTTCAAATGAACACTTCTAGAATATCTAACATTCTCGATATTCACTAAATAGGTGGTTGTTTCTTTCAAACTGTAGAAATATACATACATGTCTTTCTGTTCAGACAATTCATTTATTATATGATACTTAGATATTATTTTTAAATTAAATTAATGTCGTATAAGGTCGTTAAAAATCCAAAATTTGATACGTATAAAACTATTTTGGACATTTAAACTCGTATGGACCATAATTAACAATAATGCCTTAATTTTTAAGTTGTAGCAACTGTAATATATTCAAATGGCCTTCTAATAGAGGTTACTAATTTTAGCTACTACACATCTTTGCCAAAACGCATAAAATACGACAAAATATGTTTTTACTTTCTAAAATTAATGTCTCTATTAGATTAAAAATGTGATAATTTATTATCTACACATTATTCTGTAAGTGTATATTGTCATATCAATAATAATTTTCTTATGAAATAGGTTATAACTACACTATTGTTTATCAATTGGTTTTATTTTCATAAATATGAAAATATAATAACATTGCTTATTTATAGATATTTAACATTTTTTAATCATTAAGTCTATTTCAAGTATTTCAAAAATTGATTGCATAAAAATAAGTAAGTACATAACATATCGATTATCTTATGTTCCGTGACGAAGTTAGACGTTATAGGTTACATCTTAAATGTGTATTTCCATATATATATATATATATATATATATATATATATATATATATATATGGTAAAATCAAGCTTCGACTTCCATTGTTATATTTTCTAAGGTCGTATCGTCTATTGGCTCTTAGGTTATTAGGTTATTAGGTCATTATATAAGATAAAACGTGTTGTGTGTTACCTTGATTCGTGCTATCAACAGTATTGTTTCCGTATAGATTGTTGACACTGAAGAAATTATAGCCGGTAAAATCATTTAAGCTTAAATCTTAAAAAAAAACTATTAATATTGTAGTCAGTAGCGTACCGATAGGATGGCATGACAGGCAATGAGTCATGGGCCCATGACTCTAGAAGGAAAATCGATGAATGTTAAGAATCCAAAAAAAAAATAGATAACCATTATTATAAAACTTTTTATATTTACTGTAAATTAAAATGTTTCAGCACACTGAGTGCTACTAAAAGTTTGAGTGTCTTATAATATTAAATAATTATAATTATATAATGATGTCTACATGTTTACTGCTATGTTTATTTGTATTATATTTATTTATAACATTTGTAGTATTGATATTTGATTTTATAATTGATATTGATAATGGATATAATTAAGTTATTCTTAATTTAAATAGTGCTGTTAATTGTAAGAGCTTTTAAGATTGTTGACAGAAGAGAGTAAAGGGACTAATCAGTGATTTTAAATTAGATATAAAACTTGAAAGAGTATCAGCAATTTTGTGTTCTATGATTTTGATATTGATTGTGAGTTTTGATTTTTGGTAGTTTCCGCATAAGATTTGGTCTTAGACTGGGCGTTGGAAATAAAATTTTAAAATACCATGTTCTATAGAAAAAACTATGCTTTTTGTAAAACTAATTTACCATTAAAAAAATGACAGTTACACGCTTATATATTATTTTATATGCAATGTTCGCCGGTCGATGCATGGCGTCTACAATATTAGTATATATAAATATAATAATAATTTTGGAAGAAAAATAACAAGGAAATGCACTCTACATTTAATACAATATAATCTAGGAAATCTTATTGGCGACTGTTGATTACTCAATTTATATATAGGATCTTTAAGTGGCCCGACATTACTTTCAATCGAACAAGAAACAGCTCGACAGGTTAACATCAAAGATTTAATCGATAAGTTTGCTTAAACACAAGCAAAAAAGAAAAATTATCTTAAAACTGACATTACTTTAATATAAATTAAATATTTTAAATTTTGTGTTATTACCTCGTTAATATTATTTAAACCAAAAAAAAATGAATTACATTTGATGTTTATTAAAAATTTACCATATGCATAATTATAGAAGTATACAATATATTTTTAATATATTAAATTAATTATTTATTAATCTTTTGCATGGGTTGATCTTTGTAAAACTAAAGACCTGCTAGACAATTTTGCCACGTTCTAGTTCGCCCTCATTGTAGTATTTTTTTATTCCTAAACATATTAAATCATAAAGCAATGACACGATTACATATAGAAAAATATAATAGACTGTTCATAAGCCGAAATCTAATGACAAGGTTACTTATGTATTATTGGTCATATTTTTTACTTATGACAATAAAGTAATGCACAAGAATAAAAACATTTTAAAATTTTCACTTTAATCGATACAGTTAACAGTATAATAATTACTTTCTGAAACTCATCAGAAAATACTTCTAAATAACATTGAATAATAATTAACGGACCCAGAGTTATGTGGGTATATTAATTATAAGTGTCACATCAGTTACTCATCATCCTATATGCTTTATTAATAGTGTAAATATTGCACTTACCACGCATGTATAAAAAAAGGACCTCACAAATCGGATCTTCTGCTCGTACGACAAAATAAAAACTATAATACAACAGTGTATTATAATCCAAAATTAATTAAGCCAATCTTATAAGATTCATTGACCACCCAAAGGCCAAGGAATCGCATGTATATATTTTTTCATACTTTTTGTAAGTTTATTTAAATTATAAATCATTTATAAAATTCAATTTTAACTTAAATGGCAAACTAAAAAATATTATAATGTTTTAATGACTGTTCGATTGATAATTGATATAAAATACCGTTAACGTAAATAACTACTCGGTACATACTCGTACATTAAATTAAATTAAATACAAAAAAGATATGATACTATGAATAATAATCTAATTTTTTACCTTTTGTCCTTCAACAAATATTGAATCTCGATTATATTGTGTAATAAATTATTATAAAAACCATTAACGTATGATATAAATAGTATGATCAGACATGAGACGTATATGTATACTTTTTAGCCCGTAAAAACTTAATACATGTAGACAAAAAAATAGTATAAAATATCATTAGGTATCGAAGATTATATTAATACATATATTCATACAAAAAGTAATTATTTTTCCTTATGCATTATCAAGGAAATCATTAAACCCTGTACACAAAACATAGCTTTATTTTCAATATTTTATACTACGCTCGCGTTTCGTTATAATATTTTCGATAATATATCAGGAATTATAATTACGTCAAGTATCAAAAACATAGCTTTTTGCATTGGTAAAATTTTACATACAAATCACGTACAGTGGTTACCTATTTTATTGTTTAAGACTCGATAATGGGACTGGTATTATAATAAATAATTGCTATGACGGTGTACGTTATCTCTTTTAATGCGACGACACCTGTTTTTTGCAAATCACGAAATACCTAACCTACTCAATAAAGTTGGGTATAATAATGAACATTTATTGAACAAATCTGTTTAAAAATACAAATTTAAATTGTTTACGTCTAAAACCAACGATGAATCACTGCAGTGATTCACGAACCACTGAGTCATAACTCCTGATATGTAACAGCGTTAACGCTAACTTCAAACGAACACCGGTGACCGAAAGTTACCTACGTTTTACAAAACCGTTTACGAATAGCACATTTTACGTAAACCACCGTTTTGAACGCGTGCCGGACAAACGCGTCCGCGATATTTGCGATTGAATTCTAAGTACGTTTCGTACGCGAATTCGAACGCCGGACCACGGAAAGGATGGGTACAGGAACGCTGCCGAAAGCCTGGTCGGTCATCGAGTTAAATTAATGGTTAAACGAAAGCGAGAAACACTTCCCCGCACGTGCGCGTACGAACGTGTTACACGGAGTGGTAACAACGGTAATCATAAACGTGTTATAAGTGATCCAGTGGCGCGCGCGGGCGCGTCCCACCGAGAACCAGTGGACCGCGGTTCCGAACGAAACGTGTCCGGGGGGTAAAGGGGTGGGGGGAGGTAATGCTAAGAAAAATTTAAAAATATTGTTGTACGCGTTCTCCTGTGTTCCCGGAATCGTGGCGCTTGAGCGCGCCACACGTTCGTTGGCAGAACTGTCAACACGTGAAAGCCGAACGTAAATACACACGTGAAGCCGGCGTAAATAAAAAAAAAAAAAAAAAAAAAACGGTAATAATAAAACAAATTCTAAGCTTATGCGGTCGGGCGTTTCAGTTGGACGAAGGCCGACGAATAGTCAGCACGCGAATACCGGGCCACGGGGACCACACGGCACGTTGACGCGGCTCGCTGGTTCCGGACAGTCGATAATCGTGTGCGCGCGCGTGGAGGGGAGGGTCGCGGTAGAAGGCCAAGTAGAAAAAATCACACGCCAACATGAGTAAGTCCATTTGTCGAATATTGTTTAAAAACACGAATAACCGAACGGCGAACGCGCACGTCGAGTTCAACAAGTGGTACCTGCAGTTACCCAAACGGTAATGCTCGGTAACGCCGCTCGACGATGTTCCGTCTTGGCATGTCGTTCCATTCGTCCGGCCGTATTCGCGCGACGACTTTAATGCGTTACGAATAATAATAACCGTAACAATAACAATATTTCGTTTCTCTTTCGTTTACACCGAAATGTTCATCGTCCGATTTTATCGTTTAAACCCGGCGTTAGCGTTAATTTTCGATTCGCGATTGTGTGAAACCAAAGTGTGTACATCTACGCGACTTGCATTCGTGCATTCATGTCTATCAACTTCACCTGTTTCGATGTATTCGAGACGATATGCATTACCAAAGTTTTCAACGGATTAGGTCAGCGGTTCCCGAACCCTTTCGGCCACGGAGCCTTTTTTTTTAAACACCATTTTCTCGCGGAGCCCCGAGAAATATTCATTGTTAAGTTTTATTTGTCTTTGTTCTACGAAGCATATTACACGTTAGTGGCGGCGCGATGGTGATTTCGTTGGGTGGTCGTTGCCCGTCGTGTAAGTTTAAATATAATAACTTTAGAATCATGCGTTTTCTCAAAATAATTATTTAGAAGTGTGCGAGTAATAATTGATGGGTGGATGGTTAAAATTGATCACCAGTGCTACGCTAAAAAAAAAGTTCGCTCCGCCACTTTTACGGACGATATGCATTTTTACAGGAGAAAACTCAAAACGAGATAGTGTACATTTATTATTATATTTATATATGTATAATATAGGTACTCGTATCTGACTGGGAAATAACTGAAATGCGAATGCGTATTTTATAAAATTAAAAAATTAGACTATCCTATTGCGATTTTAATATTGTTTGTATACATATTGGTGAATTATAATTGAGTCGATGGAGTCTTGTAAAAATATATATTTTAAATCACGATCAATAATTATTACGTTATTCAATTTTCTATGGTAAAACGAACGGAGCTCTTGAGGAACAATTGCGGAACCCTAAGGGCTCTGCGGAGCACAGTTTAGGAACCGATGAATTAGGTGATTGAAAGATATAATTCTTGTTAATTGTATAATAAATAAAGCTATAAAAATGTATGTTTTATAGTATTATTTTATGTGGTATGAAAAAAAAAATAATAATTAAAAATGAGATTGTGATATTGATACAATGCACTCTATCATTTGGCTAAATAATGTAATCAGCATTTTTATTATTATATGTTTATAGATTTAGAATGAATATTGTACAACACAAACGTCACAGCTGAAATGCGCCACGCTGTAGGATATTTTACTAATTACATATGGTATAAATACAATAAAATGAAGTGTTTGCAGTGCAAATATACGAGCCAATTAAGAAATACGTTGAGTTATCATTATTCATATTATCCATTGTAGACTCGTGATAGTTGTGCAATAATATCCTTTACATATGATAGATTAAAAAATATTTTATACATCAAACCTACACAAGTGGATCTTTGTGTAACAAAAAATAGTCATAGATGAGCAATCATATCACAAATTATAATTCTGTTTGGAACTCATAAGAATTTTTTTTGGAGAAAATAAAATTTTTTCGAACTTCTTGCGTATCAAAATTTGTCCCATTCACTTGCACTATCTTATAAGACTAACTTTGAGTTATTTGAGTTATGTATAGGTACTAATTGAAATCATATTGCTTATTTTTAAATTTCAACTGTTATTGGATGCAAACATTATAATATTACATAATAACAAAATTGTTACAATTCTGAAAACTGTAATACTTTGTACATCATTAATAATTATTATGAATATAATTTACTATGTCATCTCATAAAATTATATAGATTAAATACGTACTACTACTACTACATGATCATATTAATATATATAATGCATTAAATAAAATTACCAATGTAAACCACCTATTTGAATGAAAATATATTTATTATTGGTAGAAGTTATTAATTAAGTATTTTTTTAAAAAAAGAACAATAACTCCAATGTAGCGCAATTTTTTGATAAATTCGATTAAATGCAAAATAGTAGCTCATAGTTATAATTGTATAGTTGAAGAATTCATCTTAAATAATATCATACAAAAAACGATTCGAGATAGAATCGAGATTTTTAAACAATGGTCATGTTTTTAGATAAAAAAGCAAAGCATCAAAATTGTGGTAACCTTACAATAATGAACGTTTTTTCTTCTCCAACTTTTAGTATACATCAATTTAACTTAATAATGGAATTACTCTTAAAAAGTTGTGGTACAAATTTTTAATTTGAAAATCGCTACCCCCAATTAATTTTAACAAGTTATCTATCGCTGTACCTTATAGTTAGAGAAATTAAAGTATAATTAATACATGAAAAATCTTATAATAATGTATAAAAAATATGTTGTTATGTTCTAATTCAAAAAATAAAATTCCCAAAGACTTAAAATATAGAATTAATTTTTATAATTATTTCATAGACCTGGAAATTTGTAACCTCGAATTATGAAAAACAATTGTAAAATTATGATTATTATGCTAATCTAACCATAAAACATCCATTAACTAAAAAAATATATGTAGGTACAATATAATTATATATACATTTTTTCACCTATAAAATTTTAATTACAACATGTTTGCTAATTAGTATAAAAATATGAACATTATTTAAATTGTATTCGTGAATATACATTTTGATAAATAAGTATTTCTGTATTTTAATATTTATACATAATTATTTATTTTTATATTCTTAGTGTATTAAAAATATCTTATCTTATTACTTGGAGACAATAATGCCATGTAAAATACGCTGAAAAAAATAACATAATCCCCGGTACACGTCATTATCACAATAAAGCTTGTGAAAGAATGTATTAAATAGTTTTTCTTTTTCTTTAAAATCACTTCGTTTCATTTTTAAATTCTTTACATGTGGACTTTTAGAACCGTTGCACTACCCACAAACATGCATATTCCTTATTTTATTGTACATATCATCAATGGGTATAATAAAACACCAGTAAACATAACGCAGATGTAAACAATGAGCTGAGATCTTCGTTTCAAAAAATAAAAAATCCATTAATAATAAATAAATATTTATATAATATAAGATATAGTACAGTATATTAGATATATAACCAAAATGTGTGAATATGTTTTATACTCGTTGATTCTTAAACCATTATGTGATAATATAATACAAATATCTTTTATAGAACATAAAATAATAAATATTATAGAATTATAATAACTGTAAGTTACTAGTAATACTGAATAATTAGTATAATGCTCATCTAAAGTAAAATTTCATAAACAGGTTATCTATTGTCAAAAATAACAGAGCTAATTTAAATATTAAAACAGCTGGGATAATAAAACTAATAGCTGTTATTAATAACCTATACAATCAAATCGTTGTGCTATAATATTTTTTTTTAATAAATACAATTTAATTAAAAATACATTCATCCTTTCACTCAGAATCTAAAATAATGATACCAAAGTAGAATGTTCGAGTATATTAATAAGATATTTAAAGTTTCTTCTGGTGTCCAACAACGGTTTTATTTGGCTCATATTCTATTTTTATTATATATAAACGATATTTCTCTACCTCACTCAAAATTACTTTTGTTCGCCGATTATCTAAAAATGTATTATTATTATTATGTATTAATATTTAAAATATATTATAAAAGCAATCTCATCTCATCTAGCAAGGGTTTTCAACCTTTTAAGGTAATGCCCCCTTTAATACTATTTTATACTGTCACTCCTCCACCTTACCATAATAAGATTTAATTATATTTAATATATATATATCTTTTCTTCTTATATTCAACCCTGTGGTTGGTTTCGCACGCGCTCTCTATTCTTCCCTGTTTCTAGTTAACCTCTTTAGTTCCATGTAGTTTGACAGTCCTCGAATGTCCTCGGTTTCTCTGACCTTCAATTTTCCCTTCTGTTATTCTATAAACTAGTTCGTTTTTAGTCCTCAATATGTGACCAATCTTGTTCCATCGTCTTTGATGGTATTGAGTATTCTTTGCCTTCATTTATTTAACTTTATTATGCTTTCATTAGTTCTATCCAACTCACTCATAGCACTCTTCTCCAACACCACTTTCCATAGCTTTCAAGGATTCATTGTTGGATTTGATTTTTTTTTTTTTTTTGTGCCTTATTTAGTATCTAGGTTTTGCAACTGTATAGCTCCATATTTCATACAAATAATTGTATGAAGCATTTCTTCGCCTGAATACTTATACTATTGGAGCATAACATTTTTTTTTTTTGACTCATGAATGCTGATTTTGCCTATGATTCTGGATCTTATTTCCATAATTCAGCCACCTTATTTAATTGAGCTGTCTATGTATTTAAAATATTCCACTTTTTCAAGTAGCCGATTTCCCACTTGAATATTAATTTTACAGATTCGGTCTAATTTTTAGCAATATAAATCATGCTGATCATGCTGCAAATCATTGTTGGTCAAATAAATACGAAAATATGAAAATTAATGAAGTTGTTTTGAAAATGTAATAAATTTATTTGTTAGAAAAAAAAATTATTATTTAAAACTATTAAAAGAAATTATATTCTATACTTTCTTAAATATTCAAATTTAAATTTAGTATTATTAAGTAGAATCTACTAGTATCTGATACAAATTAATGAGAGGGTTGGCACTACTTAGTTCCAATGAATTTTGACTTAGTAATATCTTGATTAAATATAAATAATCAAAAGTAACGTTTTAATTACTTGTTGTATTTTATAAATTTTCTTAGTGAGGTGCACCTCCCAAAGTTGAGAATCGCTGTCTTACAGAATGATCTTTACTTGCTTTCCAATTGGGGAAAATTTAATAAATTATTTTTTAACTCTTACAAATGTAAATGCATGTCCTACACTCGATCTCGTTTTTCTATTGCTTATGTTTATAATATCGAAGCCGTACACCATGAATAAGTTCATATTGTCAAATATTTTGGTATAATATTTGATAGCAAATTAACCTTCAACAATCACGTTGCATAAAAGAAATTATATTTAAATTTCTTACATTATATATTAAATAACATTGTTGACTGTCCTGAATTTTTACATAAATTAAACTTCTATGTTTATTTTAATATGTATCATATATTATTGATTTATTTTTTTGTATTGCTTCAAAAGTGAAATATGGATACGTTATTTAGTTTCATATTTATTTTTACAATTATTTAATTATTTTGTTAAGGGCTTCAAAATTCAAATTCCTAAATAATTTAATATCAGAATAGTATAATAATATAAGAATTAATAATCATCCAAAATATACCAAAAAATTACTAAAATATACAGCCAAATTATTTTTGAAATTTAAATTTAAAATTATTGATGGTATTGATAAAATACTAATAAAAATACTTTATAAATTAGTATATAAATATAAATAAATAAATGCTTAGCCTGGAGTGTTATTGTATTTTTGTATACCTGATGATGCATTTTTAAATAGTCATACATTACAAATATAATAATACTCCAAGCTAAACTTTTATTTATTTATATATATATAAAAAATATTTATTTATTTTAGTTTTGACAAAACGTGGAAAAATATTTAAAAATATTTTTAATATTTTAAATACAATTTTATATATTGATAAATTAACTAACGAGTTTTATTTATAGTTATTTCATTTCTAAGATATAAAATAAACTACAAAAACTAAACTATTTTAGGTAGCATAAAATAATTATCAATTTTTTAAATATTAATATGCGTTTAAAGCATATATTTCAAGATTGTAATGGAGTCGGTACTTATTAGATACGACAATAGCATTTATTTTTAGACTACGAACTAAGCAAAGAATGTATTTACATACAAATATTTCTGAAACTAAAAATATTAGCTTATGTGTATTTGTATCTTATTTAAAAAATTTTTTCATAAAACTATTATTTAATATCAACGTAATTCAATATTTTTCTTTTTAATAAACATCTACAACTTGATTGTTAATGAATTTAATAAAATGCACAACGATATCTTTTAGGCATATCTTAATACATACTTATGATTTAAATTGTATAGGATGTCAAGTGTTAGTTTAACTATTGGAATTTTTATAAGAAAATTATCAAATTACAAATTTTCTTAATCTTTCATACCTTTTAAGTTTTTTTTTACTCCTTAAAATGTGAAAATTAATTATAATTTATATTTCCGTTTTTTAAAACTTTAAATTCATGAACTATGACCCATTGTTAACTACAAAAATATTCCAAAGAAACAACTATTACATATTTAACCTACACAGTGTAATCTATATATAAAAAATACAATAATTTAATAACGGTAGGTATGTAAAAATAAATTAAAATTTCAAAAATAAACAAATGTTTATGTTAACAAAAATTTATTTTATTTATACTGTAGAGTGCATTGATCACAAACCTCTTGCGTCATAGATAAGAACCCGGATTATATGTAGACAAAAACCATAAAATATGCAAATTTATATCATAAATATGCAAATAAAAATAACAAAATAAAATTGTTTATTACCAACTAATTCAGTGTACGATCTAAAGCAGGGGAGGACCCAGAAAAAAATTTCAGGGGGTTTTGAAAAAATAAGAATAATTACCGACAGATCCGTATTTAAAAATTTGGCGCTCCCGGCATATTATTTATGACTCCCCCCCCCTAAAAAAAAATAAATAAATAATAATAATATAACATTTATTATTTCATTCATAATCGAGATTTTTTAATATTAAAATATAACTTAAAAATGAAAATCGTTTAATACTTTTTTTAATTAACAAATTAAACAAATTATAATATAATAAAACATACTATTTCCTTTTTTTTATTGTTTTATTTTTTTTTTCATTAGGTACATTATTTTTAAAATTAATTTTGCTAAAATATTTTGCCGCCCCTGAGACTTGACGCCCCCAGACATGTGCCTAGCCGTGCCCCCTCTAAATACGGGCCTGATTATCGTTATTTTGAAATAATTTACTATTAACTATAGATTGACTATTGTCGATCATTATCACATGACCATACAACATAAAATTTAGGGAAACCGTCAATCATAATGTACCATTGTAAATAATATTATATCGATTACGTATATTTACTTATTTTTACTTACTACTAATAAGCGACTTACAAACACGTATTATTTTTACGAAATATTGCCATCATGAAATTTAAAAAATTTGAGTTTTAAGTACTAATAGGTACCTTTTAGAACGTTTGGAAAATTAGAAATTATTAAAAATTCACTTTTCTTAACAAAACATTTTTTTTCTAGCATATTTTAATCGTGTTTTGAACAGTTCATTTTTTTAAAGTATATAAGGTAGGATAACTACATTTGAAATTAATCATCCATTCATTTCGTGGGGGAGGGGGTTGAACCCCCAAAACCCCTCCCTGCGTCCACCATTGATATAAAATAAAAATTATAAGCTACCTAAATAAATGTAAAAACAAGTTTATTAAAAACTCAGGTAAACATTATTTTTACTACATTGCGTTTGAAATTATTATATCAATTTTATTAAATAAATATATCACGAGAACCAGCATAATGTAGTAGGTAATTTTTTTTTTTAACTTTTAAACTGTAAACTTCAATGATTATCTCGAAGTATACTTTTGTACTTGGAAAATTGATTTTTGACGTCAAATGATACAATTATTGATTGGTCAATACTTAAAATATAATAAAACAAGATTCAACTAACAGTCTACCATATAATCTTTGTATGTATCTCACCATTGATTTTATTATACATTTTATCAATTTAAAATATTCATGCTATTTTCAAGAGTACACTTGTTAAGTTAGATCTAGTAAAATCTATCCTTCACTGTCCTTCTAGCATTTTTAAATATTTTGTTCGATAAATATACTTTCTCAATATGATATTTTACTTTTTTAATTTTGTTTCAATACATTATTACCAATTCTTATGACTCATTATTATGAGTAATGTAATATGTTATACGAATAATAATAAACCATTTGGAATTTATTTAGTTAATAACAACGTATGCTCTTAAATTCACTCTTGAATTATTGCTCCGACTTGTTTCGAAAACATATATAATCTAACCGTTTGATCTGTAAACAAATATAATTAATATTGTATTTTTCTATCGTAATGAATATTTTCAAACTTCCTCGTACAGTGATGTAACGTAATGATGTAATGTGGTACTATTTATTTCAAGGTTCTGCTAACGTGATTGGAATAACACTGTTTTCAGTAAAATAAACATTGACAATCATCACTTATAGTTAAGCTGTGAAGGTTCAATCGAAATTTATCTCAGAAAATAATTTTTTTTATAACTAAAATAGATTTAAAAATTTAAATTGGTAATTTATTTATCAACTGATTTAACTACAATGACTTTCAAAAAGTATTTTATACTGTGTTTTAATATTTAATCGAATTAATCGCCAATTATACAAAATTCACGTTAGTTATTTTTTTATTTCCAATCAACAGGTGATGATGAAGACTTACCGACGACCAGATTAAAAGATTGTGAACCCATCAATGATCCCGAACCTGGTTATTCTAAAATGTAAGCGAAACTCTGTAATGTAACTAGTGCCGGATTAAACGTTTGTGGACCCTTAGGCAATTAAAATTTTGGACTCTACAAAATTTTTCATCATTTTTTACATACATCTTTAACATTACTATCCAATAATTAAAATAAACAGCTTTAATAATAACCAACTATTATTAATAAATAAAACTATATTTATTACATTTTTTTTATATGCAAGAAAAATTAATTAATTATTATATTGTTTCTATTTTGTTTTAAATAATTTTATTATTATTACTGCATACAACACCTACAACTTAATATATACTATATTTTTTGATACTTTTTTCCCGTAAATTCGTAAATAAAATAAAGGTATTATTAAATAAAAAAAAATATTGTTTTCCGTTTTCACAGGGCCCCTTAAATGATTGAGGCTTTACGGTGGAAGCCTACTCCTCCTAATGGGTAATCCGGCACTGAATGTAACATGTCTACTTTAAAAAAATCTTATTGAATAAACAAAATATTGTTTAACTTTATATTGAACTTTTAATTTCTGTAAATGGCTTTCTAAAAATATATATAATTCATTTACAATAATACACAATTTTTAACGGAAACGTATAATTTTTTAATGTCCGTTAAAACAAAATTAAAGAAATTACTAATAATTTTCTTTGTTAACGATAGTTAATTGTAACCCATAAAATAATTGAAATAATAAAATTTCCAAGGCCCTTGTTAATTATTAAAATTTTTTCTTTAAAAAAAATATACAGTACTGTACTTCTATAATATTTTTATTAATTTTATTAAAATTAAAAGGAAAAACGCTAACAAATAAAAGTAACGTTATTTTCTATTTGAAAAAAATCAAATATATATAAATAAAATAAATACAAGTATTATAGCCTCTATGTAATTTAATTATAATAATTTATTAAATGCTTTAATTAAACCAATAATTTCATTATTTAATTCATTTTATTATATTAAAGAAACTGACTACTTTTTTACTTCGATAGACCGAAACAAAGTGACTTAAAATATAATGAATAGGAAGTATATTACATGCATAGAACCTTGATATTTGATAAAATTGATATTTGTGTCAAGGAAATAGAAAAATGCCTCTTTATATCTCCATCGAAAATAAAAAAAAATTTTCGAGAATATTTTATCCTAAATTAATTTGATACGCCAAAACAGGTTCAAAAACAAAATCAGAAGCCGAAGATACTACATAGTTTTAACATTACTAATATTCATGTTTGCAGTGCTCATTGCAGCTGTTTTCGGATTATCATATGCCTGTAAGTAATAAATTATTTACTTCAAATAGTGTAAAGTGAAAAGAAAAATAAGTTTTTATTTTAAACTACTACATAAAAACTACATGTTTTTTTTTCTTAATAGACCTCGCGAAGGCAAATCAAAATAGTAAACTATGCACAACAGAAGACTGTTTAAGATCTGGTTAGTGTATTTCACGAAAACCCGTTGGAAGTCTAATGAGCATATGTCATTATTAATAATTTGTATATGTTATAAAAAGCTACAGCACTAGTGGAATCAATGAATACTTCGGTCGATCCGTGTGATGACTTTTATGAATTTGCTTGTGGGCATTATGGTATAATGCATCGAATACCAAAATCAGCGCATTCAACTGATAGATTTTCCGAATTACATGCTCTTATGCTAACATTCATCAGGGGTATATATATATATAATGTCCAATAAGGTGATATAAATTGGTAGTTTTTAAAATATATTATAATTTATTTTAAGATTATATGGAAAAAGAAGATAGTAATCTTGATCCTGAAGCCGTATGGCAATCACGACGGTTATACCGCTCCTGCATAGCAACAGGTAAATCAGTGTACGTCATAAATTCATAATACTATTTTATGATATAATATGTTTAATCCAATATATCCAATATATATATATTTAGATGAAATGGACGCAGCCGGACTTAATCAATTAGTTGAAATTTTGGATAAAATTGGCTTGCCACATTTAGGACTCCCGGCTAAAAAAAAAAATATAAATTTATCATCTATTTTAGCTAGTGCCAAAAAACATATCAGTTTAGATTATTTATTTACAACCGATATCGAAACTGATCCAAAAAACCGCTCAATCAATCAGATTGCTATTGGTAAACCAAGAGGATCAACTGTGTTTCCTATGTAAAAATTGATTAATATAATATACTTCATCGTCCATTTGTGTTATAAATGTTTAGCTTATAATATTCATCTTTCAGCCATAAAACAACAGAAAATATGAGAATTATGAGTTCCAGAAAAGGTCGAGAAACAGAATTTTCAGAAGAAAAAGTAGACAAAAATGAAGAAGATACTGATGAAGGGGTTTATTATTTAAAATCTTTTGGAAAATATTTTAAAAAAGTTTGGTTAGAAATTTATAAGTCTCAACTAAATAGTTCCAATCCTTCCGATATAAAATTGGAATCTCTAGCAGCTCAAATATTATTGTTCAATAATGAACTGGCAGAAGTAACGTACCAAATTATAATTTTTTAATTTTTTTTATAAATTTTGCAAATAAAATTAATAATTAATAATAATTGTAGATAAAAGATGAAGTATACGACACAGACGGACAACTTCCATCAATTATGTCGGTAGACGATTTACAATTATTCATGGACAATATTACACTTGGGGCTACTGAATCACACGATCATTACGTATGAATTTATTAATAATAATCATGATATTAGATATAATTATTATACACAAAAAATAATATTTATTTAATACGTTTTCAAAATAATACGAGTATGGTCATACTTATTGGGCAACTAATTGTATTCGATACATAGTACGTTGTTTGTATGAATAAATTTCATTTTCTTTAAACATTTTTCACAACTTTTGTGGTTTTTTTTTGTTAATTTTATTGGGTTTTCTTGATTATTTGGAAAACTGTAGAGATATTAATAAAAAAAAAAAACCGGAACGATTTTCCTGGTCAAAACAATGTGAAAACAGAGAAAAAATCATTGAATTGAGTTTAAACATATAAGAACAATTTTAAAAGACATTGATGTATTACAACCTTTAACTAAAATTATTATTATGTCTAAATTTAAGCTTCTTCGCACTGCATATTAAGTGCTAGTTTCTCTTTTTTTAAATTAATCTATATATATAAATTAATTTTTATTTGTATGCATTCCTAAAAAACTACTTAATTAATTTTTATGAAATTTGGTGCAAAGATAGATTAGACCTCGGAGAAGGATATAGATTGGTGAAAAAAGGACTGGGAAATATGAGTTCAACTGATAAGGCCCGAATGAGCAGCTGTTATTTTGTTGTTGCTATAAAAAATAAAAGGAACTGAAAAGAACCTCACTTTCATATACCTCAGAGTGAATCTAGAAAATTGTGAACGTGCCTATTTTACTGAAAATAATATCACAGGAAGCATAAGTGAAACTTTTCTCATTCCAATTATTTTGTCAACCATACGATCATGAAATGTACTACTAGTACCATCAGAAATTGTAGAAACTCTTCTGGATGATGGTCGAATATTTATCACTAAAATTACCGTTCAATATGAAAATTAATGTAAGTCCAACATGCATTATCACCAAAAATTCGGATATGGATGAATTCAAATATGTTTACTCATTATATGGGACGAACGTACTATGGCATACAAAAAAGCATTGGAAACGTTGATCGTACACTAAAAGATTTTAGAGGAAATCAAAAATTCTTTGATGGCACACTAATTTTATTGTCTGGTGATTTTCGACAAACTCTAACAATTAAAGCACGTTCAACACCAATTGATGAGCTTTACGCATGTCTCGAATAATCATTTTTATGACAACACGTACATAAATTGAACTTGAAGACCAATATATAACGTGTATAACTACAAAATGATACGTCCGCTGATAATTTCTTAAAACAATTGTTAAACATTGGGAATAGGAAAACTGTGATCGATGAATTGCTCATTGATTCATATTGCCAACAAATTTCTGTAAAACTACAGCAACCTCCGATGAATTAATTGACTTTGGAAATTTTCCCAAGTACATTACAAAATTACAAAAATCATCAGTGGCTCAGTGCACGGGTTATATTAGTAGCCGAAAACAACAATATCAATACAATCAGTTTCGGCGTTCAAAACGGAATTTCTGACGACACGACAACTTCTTTACTGTAACGAATCATGACGAAGTTGTCAATATTCCTATTGAATTCTTAAATTCATATGATTCGCTAAGTAAATTGGCGTACCCGTCATTCATCTACGAAATATTAATCCTTCATGACTGTGCAATGGTAGCAGGCTTTCAGTGAAAAAGTTGATGAACAACATTATCAACGCAATAGTTTAAAATGGAAAATGTATAGGCGAAGATGTACTGTTACCACCTTTCTCAATGGTTCTAACAAATATATTATTCAAATTCAAAAGTTTGCAGTCCACGGTGCGACTCGTCTTTGAAGTGATGATCAACAAAGCACAAGGAAAATTGCTACAATTGTTTGGAACTGAGTATAGAAAACCAATGCTTCTCATATGGACAACTGTATGTGGCCTGTTCAAACATGTACATATCAGAAGGAAAATCAAAAAGTATTGCACAACAAAAGAAACCAATGCACTTCAATAAAAAAACATTCAACCGATAACTTTAACTGTCAGACTTTTCTCGATAAAACTTATAAAAATACACAATGATCCAAAATAAATTTAATATTGTTGTAATGATATTACTATTCCTTTAAATTCAGTAAACGGTACAGCTAGGCATGTACATATAGTATAGCACATAGCTATTAATTAATAATTATCAACTATTAACCATAATATTAATTTGATGTTAACTTATAGTTTTTAATTATATAGATCAACTGGAAGGAATATTTTTCAATTCTGTTTGCGGATGTAAAAAATATTACTTTGGATTTTGAAACTGATTTAATCCAAGTAAATAACATTGAATACTTTGAAGCTTTATTCAGAATAATAGGTGAAAAGGGAAAAAATCAGCATGGTAAGTAATAAAATAAAAAGTAATATTTGTCTTTTAATTAAAATTAAATTGGTTGATTTTATTATAATTGTTCATAATTTCAGTACTCAATTTATGGTGGGAAGTCGTAACCACTCTTTTACCATTCACTACAAATCAGATGCGATTCATTCAAGATACATTTTACTACGAAACGACTGGGTTAGAAAACAATCCTTCGCGTTCACTTTATTGTGCAAACGCTGTGAACACTATGATGGGAATGGCTGTTTCTAATTTGTTAATAGATTTGGAATACTTAGAGCACAATAAACAAATGGTATAACATTTAAAAAATAAAAACATTTATTGAAGTATAAATAATTGTATTTTATGTAGATGGTTGAAATGATGAAAAACATTCATGAGGCATTTGAAAAAATAGTCAACGAACTAAAGTGGATGGACGATATTACTAAAAACAGAACACTGAATAAGGCACGACTAATGAAAACATTTGTTGGCTTTCCAGAATTTATAAAAGACCAAATGGAACTCGATAACTACTATGCTGATGTATTTCAGACTATATTATTATATCGTGCATATTTACACATTATTTTATTGCTGATTTTATTAACTTGTTTTATTTAGTTGGAAGTTGTGGAAAATGACTACTTTGGAAACGTCATACGTTATATACAACGTAATTTGAATAATTCTCTGATATCACTCAGAGAAATTAACAATTATGACATAAACTCGTAAGTAAATAAAAACATTGAACATCATTCTAACAGAAAAATAATACCAATGGTGATTTTCTTAGATGGGCATCAGATCCTTTAGAAGTTAATGCTTTCAACTGGATCCAAGCTAATGCAATAAGTAACAAATACAATTAAAATTCACGAACATACATAACACAATGTTTCTATTTTTAGCTATTCCAGCTGGAATTTTGCAATTCCCTTTCTTTGGTCATGATTTGCAGTAAGTACAAGATTTATTTATGATAATTAATCTATTTATTTATAATATACTATTTAAGGGTGCTTAATTATGGTTACCTTGGCTCTATATTGGGGCATGAGCTGACCCATAGCTTTGACAATACCGGCCGAAAATTTGATCAAGATGGAAATGAAAACATGTGGTGGACAAATCAAACTACAAACGAATATGAAAAACGTACTAGTTGTTTTATACAGCATTATGAGTCTTATACAGTACCTGGAATTGAAGAGAAGGTATTAAAAATAAAATATTTCGTCTTTCGTACAATAATTATTTCAATCAGAATTATAATTTAGTAATTTAGTGTTATTTGGTTTAAAAACTAACATTGTTTCAATTAAAAATGTATAGAAAATATGAATATTTATCTAAATCAGTTTATGTTTAATGTCTGAATTCTCGAATAAATGATTATTTTAAAAAAAAAATTTTCCTTTGAAAAACTTACAGTATTTGTTCTAGATTGGACTTGAAATTTTATCAAAACCTTATAACTTTACGTATGTCATAATATAATAACTATTAAAACATCTACGTAAAGACACCAATTATAAAATGACGTAAAGTAGGGATTAGAAGCTCTAATACTGGTACGCTCTTCCCCTTATAAATATTCCAAGAGAAGGAAAAACATTTGATAGATTTTCGAATATTTTTATAGTATTTTTTTTTATACCTTGAAAAACTATAATACATTTCTGTTAAAACAAATTTATTGAACATATACAATGATCAATATAGAATATATCAAAGTATTATTGAAATGAGATTCCGTTAGCTTCGGTTCTATCCCTGATCTGGGTTTAACTAATAATTTAAAATAGAATATTGTATGATGTATAAAAATATTTGTATAATTTAGATTAACGGTAAACTGACATTAGATGAAAATATAGCTGACAACGGCGGAATAAGAGAAGCGTTGTGGGCTTATAGGACATTTGTGGCTGGAAATGGTGAAGAAAAAAAACTACCAGGATTAGAAGATTTTAGCCACGAACAAATCTATTTTTTGGCATTTGCAAATGTAAGTTAGTCGTATTATTAAAAATATGTATCAAAATGATTTTATTAATTTTTTTATACATAACATATTATCACATGGATATTTTTAGAATTGGTGCGAATCAGCAACAAATGAATCGATATCGAATAGTTTACTAGATGAACACAGTCCAAATTATATACGAGTAAACGCAGGATTAACAAATTCTGAAGAATTTAGCGAAGTTTGGAAGTGTGAAAAAGGTACAAGAATGAATCCAATAAATGAAAAGTGTAAAATATGGTAGTACTACGTACATCAAAATATTATTATTGTAAAGCTATAAGTACGATAATATTGTTTATTAAATCCAATATAACATTAATATCTTAATATCGCGCCAATCGACTGCGGGTTATGTATAATTAATCCATATTATTTAAATATTATACGTTATATAAATGTCTTTAGGACGCATTTTTTACCAAATTATGTGATACATAAATAAATTCATGCCATCTCAGGGATATGTTATTATTAATAATTGTTGCCATTAAAAATGTTAACATTAAATATACAATACTTAGTCTCAGTGGTTGAATTGGAAAAAAAAATAAAGGTGGACTCTAAATGTAGCTGAACAATTAGCGTTCCAAAGCAAATTAATCTAAAAAAAACCGTGAGGGACTTTGTCCCCCCCACCACCTAAATGCATCTACAATATAAATAATTAAATATATCTAATGATTAACACAGATATCTATAACAAATAATAAACAATACTAATAGGTATTTATTTGTATTAATTCTATCAACACAGCAACACGTCTAGCAAATTTAAAATCTAAAATGTAAATATATAGCCACATGATAAAAATAATTAATCAATTAACTTTCAATTTAAAATAATTCATGTATTTTACTGTTGCCTACAAAAAGTAAATATTAAATTTATAGATTATAAATGTTACTCTTTTATTAGTATATTAATTTTTTTTTGTCAATATTAATTTTAATATTTGAAGTTTAATATTAGTCAAATAATTTATTTCATCCCGTCACATTATTTTTAGGAATAAGATTTGCTGAGAGTTAAATAATAATTATTTTTATCATAGTTATATATATGTATTGCTTTAAAATGTATGACCAAAAAAAATTTAAGGCACTTTTAACTGTATTTATTAACTTTTTTTTTAGGTAGGTACTAGGTACTTAAGTAAAAAGGGCTAATAACTTTTTTCGGAAAATCAAGTTTTTTTTATAAATTTTATCAAATTACAAAAAAATAAAAATTGCCGGGACTGACGTTCATTGATAATCAGATTGTACATCAGTTTTTCTAATAAATTTTATTTCTACTTACTTATGTTTTGTATATCTATTTTTTTTTTTTTTAAGGTGGGATTTATGAGGGTGGATTATCAAAAAAAAATAAAAGTACACCGGTAACAGGAATCTGCGCATGCCTATGATTTATTATTAAATTAAAGTGTTTTAATTACCTTGGTTATTGTTTTTCTTTTTATTGAAAAAGTCCGATATGGACAATTTTTGACGTTTATTCATGTTTATTTGTTTATTGCTGACGTGTCATGTAGGACTGTAGGAGTGCGGTTGAGGTGTTTACTAGTTTACTATTTTCAACAAAATTACAATTTATAAATTACATACGCGAGTACGCGACAAGCTAACATAATACTGATTACTCATTCGTGGCGCACCTCGTTTCCAAATAAAATATAAATAATATTTAATTTTCCTTGAAAACGATCAACATTTGTTAATCGTCGATAACTAAAACAACGGACGGATTCTCAAAATACGGAGTCAATATATTATTATTGTCAATGGTTTACTAAAGATCGTTATCGTCGGTACACCCAGGGAAGTTTTCGTAATAGTTATATTTTTAGCAATTTAGCAGTTTGTACCACGAATTAATACGCAGTGGAAACACTTGAAACGTGTTACATAAATTATATAGCATTATTATATATTTTATTATTGCGTTCCTAATATACATATGTGCTAATAATAATGAACAGATTACGAACTAATACCAAAAATTAAATAAAATATTAATCGTTTCCAATTTTTTTCATATTTATTTAATTTTTCTTAGAAACAAATTCATATTCATATAATTGTTGAAGGACGCTGCGTCCCCTGCGTTCCTTGATGAATTAAATTAAGGGGTACGCTATAATATGAAGAAAAATGAAGAGTAGCTCAGACCCTCTGCGTCCCCCCCCCCAATTCAACCACTGCTTAGTCTTAAAACACGATTATGAAAAATAATTGTACTAACATATATATAAATCGATATTGTGATAACTTACAGGGTTTTAAGACCACATATTATTTGGTCGTAAGAAAATATTTGAAATATTACAAGCATAGTTAATTAATTCGTGTTCACTAAAATAAATACTAGTGCCATAAAATCAAACAACTTTAATGATTCTCTATGATCATAAAAACTTTGTTATGAATTGTAATCTCCAATCACAGTATTGTTATAGAATATAATTTTGTACAAAGTGTATACTTTTACAGTCTAATAATAGATTAAGAACTTTTTTTTTCAAATTGATTTTGTTCACAATTATATTGTGTATGGATTGTCCTGTATTAGTTAAATATTCAATGTATTAAATAAAACTAAATGTAATAAAAAAAATGTATTGAATTTTCCACGAGTCTAGTTGCTCGTACTAGTAACTCATAGCTAATTAAAACAACGCTAAATTTATAGTTTAAAAAAAAAAAAAATCGAAATTTAATATAAAAAAAATTTTCGATTAATAAATAAACTTAACATATACTACTAAGTTTGTTAAATTATTGTAATATATAATAAACATCTAGGTTTCAGCATAAATAATTTATGAGTGTTCAATTAAACTTTTATTTACATGATCAACAAGAGCTTGTGAAAAACATTATTAGTATAATCAATATAAGTATTATACTATAAAATAAAACTTCTTCAAATTCAGTAAGTTACTAAATTATTAAAGGGACATATTATAATCTACTGCTACTAACATTCTTACTAAAATAATGTAATTATATATTCTTATTTTTATTTTTACTAATTAAATGTAGACACAAATAATTACATAAGACATGATTATATGAAAATAATATAATGTATAACAATTAAGTTTAGTAATGTTTATGAAAATTATTTTAATTAATAATTTATCTTATACACCTAATCATAAATGACTGTAATAATAATTTATTCGAATATTGTATATGTATTATCTTTATATATATTTTTATTAATATTATCTTTATATAACGTATTTCAATATTTGTATAAAAAGTAAATACCTACTCAACTATCTCATTTCATTTTTAATTTTGACTACAATATATATAAATTAATACTGTAAGATTGTATAAATATACTGTTTAAAAATAAATTTCCAAATTATACTTATTAATCAAGTTCAGAAAAGCAAAATTATTCATGTGTTTTTATTTCTATTTTGATTTTTATACAAGAGAAACATCTAGAATATAAAGAGTATGAAAACTATATAATTATACAATCTAATAAATAATTAATGTGTTGCCTTAATCTACTTATGTCTTTAGACATGGAAATTGAACCAAATTATTTTTAATAATAATTGTTAAATTATTATAAATAATATTTATTTTTTTATCGTCACGGTAGTAAATAAGAAACAAAAAAAATAATTTCAAACTCCAGTAAATAGGAATTGAAGCTAAGTGGGTAATTAATTACATAAATATTGATGTTTTGTATTTATAGATAAAATACTCAAATTTTAGAAAAATAACATATTGAGGTCTTAAAACTATATCTTGAATTATAAGCAATTTTAATTCATTACTTATTATTTTAAATTTAGCTAAATTAAATTTGCATTAACACTTCAAACATTAAAAGCTTAAACTATAAATGTTATTAAAATATTTCTTAATATTTTACTGTACTAAAACTAAGTATAATATTTTGATGTTGACATTTTGACTTATATAACATAGTAATAATTATCTTATTTACCAATTTCTAAAGCAAATGTTCATAATATTATCATAATTAACATGCTTTATAATTCACGACCATTATAATTCAAATCAATAATTGTTGTATTTTTATATAAGATTAACAATTCACTGGCATCGAATAACATTCATTTGTTCGCATTCATTTGCTTCTAACTCTTATTCGTTAAAACTTTGAGTGATAATCTGTTACACAAAATTTGTTTAGCTTCTACAATGAGTAAGTACTTCCATACATTTATATTACTATTTGAACATAACTTTCTAAATGCTATGTGATCGATGTATTTGTATTTATTTAGAAATTATAAATTAAATATAATATTTCTTCAGCTCAATATTTGATCGATTTAATTATACTTCATTGAAATCTTAAGAAAAATCTTACATCCAATTTTCAAGCCTTAAATTTCATTAATTTTTTTACTACAAAAATATTACGGATTTTCTAAATTTTTATCGTTTTTTATTAAAATTTAATATTCAAAGACTGGTAAATTTTATTTTCTCTAATCAGTAACTGATATTTTTGAGAAATTTCGTATTCAATATTAGGATTTTTTTTCAAACCAAAAATATTAAAGGACATTTTCGAAAAAAAAATAAATAAGAAAACATGAATATTTTAATTTTCTAAAAAATGCTCAAAAAAGTCTTTTAAAAATTTGCTATTTATAGCAAATAGTGAAAAAAACATTTAGTGAAAATTTCACATCATACCATAATTATTTTTTAATTTATGATGAAAGCAAATATTCAATTTTGTTGAAAATTTGTGTGCCGTACATTTTACCATTTTTTTTATAACTTTTCGTTAGTTTTTTGCAAATATTAAGTTTTGGGAATTTTGTGAAATAACCTTTTCAAAATACTAACAAGACATAATTTTATGCCGAAAATAATTTATGATTATGTTAATTGGAGCAATTATTCTGATCTGAATCGTGTACCTACACAAATGAAACATATTGTAGTAAAACTAATACATTCTTCATTTTATGCTTAATCTAAAATTAATATGAAAAAAGAAATTAAGATTTAATGAAAATAGTAACTTTGCTAATCTTGCTATATTATTTGCATTAAATATCGTTTCAATAATTTACTTAAGCAATTATTCTAATTTTATTAAGTCAAGTATTAAACTTTTCAAGTTCCTACTTCGAAATATGACTTCAAAGTTAAAATCAAAAGTATAAATCAACAAAAATCAAAATAATTATAATAATTAGTTATTTCATTATTAATTAAATACAAAATATTTTAGTTAGAAACTGATAATTTCATGTGTACTTAAAGATTAGTGTTAAACATTTATTTATAATTTTTATTGTTTACTAATTTTAGTTCGTATACACGGCAAAATTGTAAAAACTCCATATTTCTTATCCAACAGGTGATGATAATGACGATAATGATTTTGCTATGAATAATCAAAAACAAAAAGTGGTTATTACTAAATCTAGTGATTTTCAATTGTAAGTAAATAATTAAATATAGTATATATCGTATATTCCCGTAGCATATGTTATGTACACACAGAGTACTCGGTAAACGAATATGCCAACCTTTACAAATCTATTGAATCATTTTAGCCATCATAAAAATAATTACATACATAACAACAGCGTTAAAATTGTTTAATTTGTCTATATTAGTTAACATATTTAAACATTGGAAGTTTTAATAGAATAAAACTATTAATTTTTACGTATACAAAACTAAAAAGAGAAATGGACTATGGAACAATTAAAAAAATTATTGGTAGTGGCAAATATATTATTTAAAAGTATTAATACCAAATTATCTAAATAAATCTAATAGTTATAAATAATAATAAAGCCATACGGGTGTATGTCCAATAAACAAAATTATGTGTCAGTGTATTTACTGCTGTAAAAATATTGTATACAATTAATTTAACACTCAAAAAAATAATACCATAATACAAATAAAAATTGAAAATTCCGAGTGTTATAATAATATGGTTATACCAGGGCTTATTCTAAAGCGCAGTTGGGCTTATTTTGCGTATTCGGAAAAGCAAGATGCGCACTTGGTAATAAACTTTGCGTTTAATAACATGAATGTAAATTGTTTTATATCCTTTAAATAAGTTACATTTTAAATTACTTCACCTAAAAGCTACAAATTTTATCATTTTTAACTATAATATGACAGTATATTTTGAGACCATGATTCTATTTTAATAAGCTTATTCAAACAATATGCGTAATTGATAAAAATCCTTAGAATAATTCCTGAGTTAAACTAATAATAAACTGAACTCTTAATCACCAGAGAGTTCTGCGTTAAACAATGTAATAACATATTATTATTATTATTTGTCATTCGCATTTATCAATGATTAATAATAATAATTCTTCCTAAAAATTATTATACAGTATAAAACTTAACACCCACTTTTTGATTTAGTTAATTTGTACTAGGTTTACGCAAAATTGTTTAAACATCGATATTCGATGTATCGATATATCGATTTTTAAAATATCGATGTGTTAGATGTATTGGTGAAAAACCATCAATGTTTAACAACATCAAAGTTTAAACACATCGAAAAAATTTTTTTTCCCTCTAGAGCTGCCATTTGTTGCACACCTTATTATCTGTACAGTGTACTATTTTCTTAATTAAATAATAAATTTAAAAGTTAAAATACTATATATTTTTTAAAAACATATTAAATATTTACAATCATGGCTCGTAAGTTTATGCATTTTCATGTTTTATTTGCTACATCGGAAAATATGTTAATTAAGATAAAAATCGGTTTCATAACAATGGTAATAAAAATCTAAAGTTGAATAAAGCATGTTTTTGCATGTTTTGTATGTATTGGCATGTTTGGCATATATATAATTTTTTTTTGAGTCAATATCGCATATTATTTTATGTAAATTCAGCGAAATCGTTTTTTGTGGAAGTCAAAAAAAAAATCGATTAATAAATGTTTGAATTCATTCTTATTTACTTTTCCGAACTTGTTTATCAAATCTTAGTATTTTATCAATATTTTTATTTTTTAATGACTTTAAATTGTATAGGTTAAAAGCAGTATCACGAAAACAATGTTATTATGCTACCACTCTCTTCCTATTGACGTGTCCATTGCAATCTATCTATTTTTGTCACAACGTGTGTTCATTAATTATAACTTAAATAAAATGTAACCGAAGAAAAAATATAACTTTTAAAAATATAAATGAATAATTCTTATTATTTTAAAAAATCCTTAAACGTTTTTTTTTCGTGAATAGTTAAGGATTATTAATGCAAACCTATTTGATCAAATGTTAGTGCATTATTGCATGCTTATTTATGCGTTTTTTAGTGCATGAACATAGGATCCTGATTATAACTGTATAGTGTATATTGTATAACGATTTTTGTATACTGCATACTAAAATAATAACAAAAAAAAAAAACATTGATGTTTATTCGATTAATCAAAAACAAATCATTGATGTTGAAACATCGATGTGTTTCGCCCATCCCTAATATTTTTGGTTTCTTACTAGTTTTTTACAATGAATTCCGTTCTCTGATTGTCATAATGAATAAGTAGTTAGTGAAACACAGTATTCCTATTTTATAGGAATTAGTGGCGTGAAATAATATATTCCCCCAAAAAAACTTTCAAAAAGTAAAAAATCTTATTTTAAAAATATTCTCGCAATGAAAAAAAACATGTCCAAAAAATGCACTAATATAATACCAAGTTATAACACTAAATAATTATTGATTTTATTTAAACTCACTAAAAAACTTAATTTAATTCTACTCAAACTAAATGTGTTGGAGGGGAGGGATTAAAGACGCCAAAACATGGTTTCGCTCGAAGCGCCAATATTTCTAGTCTCTGTCGGCTCAGTCAATAATACTTTTAATGCTTCACATGTAACATGTGATTCATTGAAATCAACAAACTAAATAAACCATACAATCGAAAAAATCTTAAGGCATGATAATATTTTCTGCATTTATAAGAACGCTGTCTTATCCTATTGTAAAATATACTCCAACTACTGTTGGCAATCAATATAAGTATAAATATTTTTTTCATATGGTGTAACGTTGATTTTTATTTTAAAAAAACGTTTCATCAATTGTTTATATACAATACGTACTTAATGCTCTAAATAGATCGATGAAGAAAACGAGAGGTCATAAATCATCGTACGTGTTAACATTTTTATTCGTAATAGCAATACTGAAAGGAACTGCTTTTGGATTTACATTTGCTTGTAAGTTTATAAGCATATTTGTAAAATAATATACTTTAAAGAAAAAGCACAATATATTTGTGCTTGTGACTACTAAAAACCGTTGTTAATATTTTAATAGATCAAACAAAGGAAAATTCAAATATATGTGAGACAGAAGACTGTATAAAAACGGGTTAGTTAACTAAATAAATCACATTTAATATTTTTTTATTAAGTATCTATAATGTATAACAATTAATGTATTATGTTGGAAAGCTAAGTTGATAGTTGAGTCAATGAACAAATCTGCAGATCCATGTGAAGACTTTTATAATTTCGCTTGTGGAAATTATAAAAACGTCAATAAAATCAATAAAAAAACACATACAACAAGTATTTTCACGATGGTAGATGAAGCTATACATATGCATATCGTAGGTAATACATATATAAGCTGAGCTATGCATATAAGCTATTGCATTGTTCTTATAGTAACTAATATTTTATACAGATATATTGGAAAAAGATGGTAGTGACGATGAACCTGATTCCATAAAAAAATTAAGAAATTTGTATCAGTCTTGTACAGCAACTGGTATATATTTACATTACTATTTTAATGAGTGCGATATGCATAATTAAATATATTTTACGTATGATATTTAGACCAAATGGATGCTCTGGGGTTGGAACCGTTGAATTCACTTTTGTCTACAATGTATTTACCGCTTATTAAAGATTCAGAAATCTGGTCAGCTATAACTAATATCAATAAGTATACTAACTTGAATTATTTATTTTCAATAAAAATCATGCCGGATAAAAATACAATCGCTCGAATTGCTTTAGATACGCCATCAAATGACTATATCTATCTTACAGCGTAAGAAATTATTACATTTTCACCTATTTTTTTTTTTTTTTATATAAATGATCGATTTTTAATAATTAATAAATTTTACAATTAAAATGTGATGAAATAACAAGAAATAAACCAAAAAAAGAACTCGAAGAAGAAGACTACTTTGAAGATGAATCCTTACGTATAAAAGAACGTTTGTTCATGGCTATTTGGAATGAAATTTATGGTTTTGAACCAAGTTATATGAATCGTAATTATTTAGAAAGGCTAAAAATAAAATTGATGAATGTAAAATCAATGGAAAGTGAACTTCAAAAAGTAATCATTAAACACATAAATATTGGATCAGTGTTTAATTGGTATTAATAAAAATTTAATTTATTATAGATATATGAAATGGACACAACACAACAAGAACGATTATATACTGTATACGAATTACAATCCATAACAGATAATATTACAAGTGGTTCGTTATATAAAAGAACTGTACGTATAATATATAATATTACGTTTTTATTTATGTATAATATTCACGGTATTCTATAAAAATATCAACTTAAAGTCATTCAATTCAAATTAAAAAGTGCACCATCAGTGATAACGTTTCAATATAGATAATAAAGTTTTGCAAATTAGAGATTTCGTTTTACACACTGTGACGCTTTTTATACAGATTACCCGGGCCTATTGGTCTTTTTTTAAAACAGTTGAGGGGTAAGTTAGACCGTTGGCTTCACTACCCGCACAACATCATGATGGTTGACACGCTAAACATATAATGACATCAATTGCACAGAGTTAAGAATATTATAACACCCATGTGAGATGTATTACCTATTATTTATAGCTACCTACATAGAAAATTACGATCCAGGACAAATGGACGTAGCCGTTTGGACGTGGGGACAGACAAATGAACGTCAAAAAAAAAAAATATATATATATATAAAAATCAGTAAATAAAATAAATAAATTATTTATATTTATTATAATATGTAAATTTTAATGTCAAAAATATTCATTCAAAAACACTTCACCATCATGATTTGAATAAATTAATGACATCTTACATGTACACTTGAATGCAATTTGTACACGACTAGTGATGGGCGTTATTGAATAATAACTATCGAATTATTCGATAGTCTTGCCAAGTTATTTATTCGAATAATCGATAACGATTATTTGAATAATTATTTAATTTTTAATTTAGTATAATTTTGTTATTTAATATTATTATTAAATGTACAGTGATTTTATCGTATTTTATCAAACCTTGGAATAAAAAGCCGCATTATTACAGTGCGCGACTACACAACAGCAGCACTATTGATATTCATTGGATAACATGGTGGGTATGAATAGTAAATACCCGGTATAATTATATACTTATAATAATATATACCAGCGGTTCTCAATCTTTTTAGGACCGTGACCCAAATTTTTTTCCAAAAATCTATCGAGACCCCATAGTTTTACATTTACAGAATCAATACAAATAATTTCTAAAAACAAATTTATTCTATTTTATTTCTTATTTACTACTTTATAATAATAATAATAATAATAATAATAATAATAATAATAATATAATACTTAATTAATAATTAGGCGTATGTGATGAATGTGTTTGTTTCTTACTATCTGTATAATTAAAAAAAACTTCTCGCGGCCCCCAAAAAATTAACTCGCGACCCTCTAGGGGGTCGCGACCCACAGTTTGAGAAACGCTGATATATACTATAATTTAGATACTCTTAGTTTTTTACACAAAAATATATAGCTGTTAACTTTTAAAAATATTATTATTTAAAAATCTAAGCTAATTTTAATAAAATATTTTAAATTTATATATTTTTTGCACTATTATTTGCGTGATTATTTTTGAAGAAAACGTATAATTTATATTTTTAGCCCAATATATTAATTTAAACAAGAGAAAACTGGTGAATAATTTAAAAAAATACACTTGGTGTATAAATAAAGTACGACCGCCGGCAAGCATATACGAATAATTATCGATAGTACAGAGTACAGGCTACAGATTATTCGAGTTATTCAATAGTATCGATTATTCAATATTTTTGATTATTCAATAATATAGATTAGTCGAATAATAAAGTTTCGAATAATTATTCGATAGTTTTAATTATTCAGCCATGCATAATATTATTCGAATAATTATTCGATAGTATATATGAATAATCGAATAATAATCGATAGTACAAATTATTCATTACCGCCCATAACTATACACGACTAATACGGTTATAGATGTGTATCACCGTGTTACGATAAAGTGTGATAATTATTACAAGTTGTAAAAACCAATAAGTTATATATATTGATATAAATGGTACCTATTGCCAAAACGATAAAATTCAATAAGGTTTGATATTATGATACAATACCATAAGTTATATTATGAACATAAAATATCAATGGTTTTATAACTTATATATATATATATTTTTTTTTTTTGACGTCCATTTGTCCCTATTCGATAGAATTAATATAAAATTTTTATGATGAACATCTTAAATTTTTAGCTGAAAAAGTACGATCATATTTTTAACATAGTAATGAATAAAATAAATTTACATAATTTTTTACTCTAGCATAGTAAACAGACAATTCATACTGAAAACTATTTCTGTTGTTTACTTGATCTACCAACCAGTCAATTCAAACTGAATTTTCAGCATACATTTGCTACATTTCATTAGATTATCATAATAAATCCTCCCCATTCCTACACACACAAATATATCTAATCAATAATGTGGAATAAAAAGTAAACGATTAATATTTATTTTATTTAAAATTAACAGTTCGACTGGAGTGAATATATTTTGACTCAGTTTTTGGGAGTAAAAAATGTTCAACCTCTCAATTTTGATAATGATTTAATCCTAATAAATAACATTGACTATTTTAAAAATATAATGGGATTTCTTGCAAGCGTTCCACTAAATATAATTGGTAAAAAATCAAAAATCAAAAAAAAATATTTTACACTTTTACAAGACCACTTAATTAATTATTTTACTCACGCGTTATTTTAGGAGAACATGCTATGTGGCACATAATATCAAATTTTGCAACGTTTACAACAAATTCTATGCGGAGTATTATAGAGTCATTCATCCCCAATTGGCAGCCATTTAATACAAGATCACTATATTGTGCAGACAAAGTAAACACGATGATGCCAATGGCTGTTGCCCATGTGTTAAATAAAAAAGATTGTATTAAGCAAAAAAAAAAAATGGTATTAAATTTTAAAAAAAATTTAAAAAACTGTACGAATATCAAAGTACAAATAATTGTGATTTGTGTAGTTGGCTGAAATGACGGAAAACATAGGTGATGCATTTAGAAAAATAATCAAAGAAACAGAATGGATGGATGAAATATCTAAAATCAAAGCACTGTACAAATTAAGGAGAGCGAAAGAATTCTTAAGTACTCCAGATTTTATAATGAACCCCGATGATCTCGATGACTACTACTCTGATGTATTTCATACTATATTTTATTACAAGTTTTAATTATTTTAATGATTTATTTTTTATTTTTTTCAGCTTCATATGAAAGATGACGAATTCCTTGGCAATATATTACGTTTTAATCAACAACAATTAATACACGATTTGTCAGTATATGGAGTAACTGATAGCAAAGAAAATGAAATGTAAATAAATTAACACAAAACTTAATTTTTAATATAATTTAATGTTCTCGTTTTATTTTATCAGATTGACTTTTACACCTTACGAAGTAAATGCATTTAATACATTATCATGCAATAGAATAGGTAATAAATTTAAATTTATTATTACTTCATAATAAATTTATATCTAAAGAATAAATGTTACATATTTAATTTGTGTTTCTAGTCATTCCCATGGGAATATTACAATACCCTTTCTTTGGCCATAATTTACAGTAAGAAAAAAATGTAATTATAAATATAGTTTACTATTTATAATTAATGTTAGGGTGCTCAACTACGGTTATCTTGGATTTGTATTGGGACACGAAATAACCCATGGTTTTGACAATAAAGGCCGACAGTTTGATGCAGATGGACACCTCAATGATTGGTTGACAAAAAAATCCTCAGATAATTTTATTTCACGTACCCATTGTTTTATTGCACACTATGGCTCGTATTTAATGCCCGGAACTGATGATATGGTATTTATTTTTTTTTTAATATTGTATTATTTTTTTAAATAGTATTAATCTTTAATAGCTTTAAATATTTGTGAATTAAAAATTATGGGTATAATATCAAAATAATTTCCAACAGTTCTATTAATAGCTCAGAAATGAACTGTAAGTTATTTTTATTTTCATTTAACTTACATCCATATTAACTAAAAGCTGGATTCACACTAGCGGTCTTGGTTCAGTCCGGTCACGGTCAAGTGAACATGGAAAGTACGTAATTCAATGGTATCGTACACACTATCGATCACGGTCAAGTCTCGACCGGTCGATGCACGATCCAGACCCCCGCGTTCACGAGCTTTTTGATCGTGACCGCCTAGTATGAATAGTCAACCGCCGCGCTTATCTCGGTCATATCCATTGTTTTGATTGTTTTTTGAACACTTTGGTATACTTTGTGGCAACGTGCAGATAGAACTTGACTGATTGTGATCGGTAGTGAGAACTGTATATCATAATCCTTAACCGTGACCGTGACCGGATCGAACCAAGACCGCTAGTGTGAATCGAGCTTTAATAGATGTATCGAACGTCATAACCATAGTAGGCTCCAGTGGCGTAATTGTGGAGGGGCCAGTGCCCCCTCTAACAATCTTTTGAGAGATAAAGGTATAACTTTGCCCCCCCCCCTAGATAATCTAACAGTACAAATAGCACCTTTTATTAATGAACTCTTATGGATATTATTTAACAATATTGGTACCTAGTACATGCTATCTACAATTTATATTTATCTAAACCATAAAATGAGTTAAAAGACATGTAAAATTAAACAATTATAAATAGTGTATAAAATACATTCAATAAAAATATGTTTTTACTGGTGAGGGGGAGGGATGTCAGGGTTTGGTAATAATAAATATATTATATTGCCCCCCCTAGGTTTTTTTCCAGTTACGCCACTGGTAGGCTCTAAGGAATTCTACACCCGGGAAGCATAATCAAATGTGCCCAAATTTTCAAAACTATAAATATGTACAGTATAATAATTAATTTTAATTTGTTTAGAAAATATGTAAGTACAAACATTTAAAACACTTAAAACTTGAATTTTCTTTATTTTATCACGTCAAAGTCATTTTAATCACTAAAATAAAGTCATTTGTCTTCACGGTTTCTTTTTCGATTGATAATAACAATATGAGTAAAGCTCGATTCACACTAGCGGTCTCGAGATGGTCCGATCACGATCAAGTTACGGTCAAAGATTATGATGTACAGTTCTCACTACCGGTCACAATCAGTCAAGTTCTATCTGCACGTTGCCACAAAGTGTACGATAGTGTTCAAAAAACAATAAAACCAATGGATATGACCGAGATTATGATATGACCGGTTGACTATTCACACTAGGTAGTCTCGATCAAAAAGCTCGTGACCGCGGCGGTCTGGATCGTACATCAACCGGTCGAGACTTGACCGGACCTGACCGTGACTTGACCGTGATCGATAGCATGTACGATGCCGTTGGATTACGTACTATCTATGTTGACTTGACCGTGATCGGACCGTGACCGGACCGAACCGAGACCGCTAGTGTGAATCGAGCTTAAATGTGTAAACTTGTTTTGGCCAATTGCGGATCGATAATAAGTTTGAATTAATTTGAGCTTATTAAAGTTGCACATAATTTTATTTATTTTTAGTTTTCTCATTATATCATTATCGATATTATCGAATATCGGTCCATTTTATCTTAATTGCACTTCATAGAAATTCTCACTTCCCTCTGTGAACCACAGACTATATGAAAATATATATTTGTTATTAATTTAATTAGTGTCAATTTTAATGCAATGTTTAAATCAGGGACCGAAACCTTGATGAATTGTACAGTTCCAGTTCCAGTTCCGATTCGGTTCCTAGAAAAAAAAAATTGATTCCGGTTTTGATGACGATTCTAAAATAACTAAAATTTGGGTTTCGGTTTCTTTTTGGTTTAAAAAAAAAAAAACTAAAATTCGGTTTCGATTATTAAAATAACAAAAATGTAGGTTTCGGTTTCTTTTCGGTTCTAAAAAAATGAAAAATTAGTTTTAAGTTTTGTATTATTCTAATTTGAGAAAAATTTGGTTCTGTTTCGATTCTTTTAAAATCATTACTAGTGTTAATTAGCGTCGTTTATAACGGTTAATACCAATTTTCAACCAAATATCCTACCATCACTCAGAACTAATTAAGTAAAAATGTATCACCGTCCCTGTTTCAAATATTGTTTTATGATTTTTTATAGTTTAAACATTGGGTAGTAGGTACCCAGTACCATAATACATGGACTTGACTTTATATTATGACGAATATGATCTGTGAATCATAATTACTAGGATTTGGATTTTCTATCATTTGAAAAGTAATGAAATACGCACTATAATTTGACCAAAAGCACCTTAAAATATGCCCTAAAAATATAAAGAAAAAAATATATTTAATCAAATCTAAGATTATATAATTTATAAATTAATAACTAAAAAACTTAATGTAAAAATACTATTGTAGTTAAAAAATTAATGGCCAATTATTGCCAATGTTTAATGCAAAATATATATATATATATATAAAAAATAATAAATCAAAATTTAATTAAATTTATTATCTTCAACTGACCGTTTATTTTATTTTTTGAATTATTATTTATAACATAATCTTTTGAATTAATATATTTATAAAAAAAATTTAAATGATCTTCTGTTTTTAAATTAAAAAAAATGAGACAAAAAACAAGAATGTGGGAATTTTTCTTATTATACATAAATTAATACTATTTTTCAGTCAATTTAAAATCATTTATGTTAATATCTTAATAAAGCATTATATTATTATGTATATTGGTCAATAGTAGCACCAACATTTCTAAAATGATACTAAAATTCCAAAATACTCGAAAACATATCAAAATAAAATTTCATTTTTAAAGTCCCTAATGCATAAAATAAATTTATATCTCACTTTGCTATTTTTATCTGTATCCTATATCAATTAATAATTATATATAACTCATAATTATTTCTAATTTATGAATACAAACATTTTTTATGATTTTTATTCATGATTTTGTGAAAAAAAGTAATTTTTCTATTATTAAACCAAGATAATGAAATATTAATTTTGAAATAACATCAAAATAAAAAAAAATGTAACTACAATATATGTAATAATAATAATAAAAATAATAAATAATTAGGTATCTTAATTTTTAAATATTAAACATGTATAAGGAATAAGGTAAATTATACGCAAAAAATGTGAAATAAATTTTACGAAAAAAAATTGGGGGAGTGGAAGGGGTGTTAAATGTTGTTGCCCTAGGGCGTTATTGGCAGTTAGAACAACACTGATCATATGGTTAAATTTATTAACATACATCAATGGATATATTGGTTAGAATACAAAATACAACTGGCGTATAATGTCCATTACTTTAGCCTATACGTGTGTTGTAACCATTTGGGTAAAATGTTTGGTATTGTAAATTAAAGTTCCATAACAATAAATATTTTCAAAATCATGTACAAATTTTAGATATTAAAACAAGAAAATATTAAAATATTTTTATTGTTTCTTTCGGAATTAGTTTTAATGTCCATATTATTAGTTTCCAAATGTTCCTCTTAAATATTTTCCAGTATAAGCGGTAGCAAAGATTAATGGGCGGCATAGGTAAATATTTTTCTGGATATTATGAATTTTAGTAACATGAACATTTTAATATTTGGCGGAATTTGGTTCAAGTCATTTAAGTATGTTTTTTTTATCGCTTTTAAATCATAAATTCCTTTTAATTTTCTTCTTTTACTTTATAATACGGTATACAAAAATACAACACTGATACTGGCTAAATATTTGAATATTTAGAGGTAAATAATTTAATTTTAATTTTAATTTTATTTTTTTTTTACATAATTTTAGTCCAAAAAAAGTTTTGAAGTAAAGGAATCCAATTATTTTTTTTTGAGGAAAATGGACCCACCAATTCCTACTTGGCCCTCCCTGGTGCCACTATTGCTTTTCTGTTTAAAAATGTACAGGCAACACAAATTCCTATAACATGTCACAAATTAATAAATTATTTTAATTAAAATACTATTTTTGATTAAAAATACTAATATTTATATTATATGTATTTAGTTTAGTTTAATATTATCTCAATCTCGATGCACCGATCAACACACTTCTAGACACAAAATTAACATATAAAATGCAATTTACAAAAAAATAATTAAACAACATTGTGATATATCCAATAGAATAAGTTAAACAATTACAAACTTAAATTAATAAACAATGTAATAGCACACATAATAATGCACGAAAACAGCAAAGATCCTCAAAATCTTAATGGTCCTGATCAAATCACGATAGGGTTCTACTGAATAGTCATTAACTGACAAATGACCACTACATTTAAATTGTTTATTTGCAAGGCCAGATTAAGGGGGGGGGGTCTAGCCAGGGTAGTAGCTCTGGGCCCCTCTCGAGTACCCAAGTGAAAGGGCCCAAACAATTTTAAACTGATACATATTTTTTACCATACTAAAATTAGAAGTTTTATGGACATAAATTGTATATACCTATTAATTTTATTATTTTATAATGCAATTGACAATTTATGAAATAGTTAAAAAAATATGTCGTTCTGCAAGCGTAGCGAGCAGCTTTTTAAAACATGTTTTGTCAAAAGGGCCCATATAAAATTTCAGCCCTGGGGCCCAATAGTTGCTTAATCCGGCCTTGTTTATTTGTTTAAATTTTTGACGAAAAAAGTTTTTTAAAAAATGCACAGATTAATGGTACATTAACATTAAATGAAAATATCGCTGATAACGGAGGAATAAGAGAAGCATTCTGGGGTTATAGGAATTTTGTGGCTAAACACGGCGAAGAAGATAAACTACCAGGATTAGAACATTTAAGCCATGAACAAATCTATTTTTTGGCATTTTCAAATGTGAGTTAATTATATGATTAAATATATGCATCAAAATAGTTTTGTTAATTTTTTTTAAATACATCATATTATCACGTGGATATTTTAGCTTTGGTGCGAAGCAGCAACAGATGATTCATTTTTAAATTGCTATATGGACGAACATTGTCCAAACAAAGTGAGAGTGACTGGAACTCTAATGAACTCTGAAGAATTTAGTCAAGTATGGCAGTGTAAAAAGGGTACTAGAATGAATCCTGACCGAGAAAAATGTAGATTATGGTAATTTTAATTTTTTAAATTATTTTTATATATTGTAAATGAAAAGCGCTTTAAACAATAATCAATTAAATATTGAACTTTTTTTTGTTATGTTATTTAAAATGATATTTTACATGAATTGTGCAACTGAAAAAATAAAAAGTGATAAAAAGTAAAAAAAATTTTAGTGATAATTAATTAACTTATTGTACAAAAATGTTTGTTTATACTAATATGATAAATTCCATCGTATTACTTCAAATTATCATATGAATGTTTTATTAAGTTATTGCCATATTCACAATAACCGAACCATGCGATCCTGGAAAATAGTCATTGTCGTAACAGCTTATAGCAATCGTCTTATACAGATAATTCAAAATTAATAAACTTTCTTTAGACATTAAAAATGTTTTTCTTTTTCGTACACAATAATTGTGTTGTTACATCAATAAAAACAATGATACGTATCAATGTTAAAACATGTCGGTCTTAACCAGCCGACTAGTCGTAACGGAACGAAGTCGCGGACGCCAGCCAGGACACATCCGGCAACGACCGGCTTGTCCAGACCGAAACCAACGAGTCGCACCGAATCCGACCACCCAAGTTGAACGGCTAAACAGTCAGGCCGAGTGTGTAGGGCAGCATGGCTTATCCTTTTTTTCATTCGCGTACCCCTTGATTTCTTGCCATTGCTTTACGTACCCCAACTGTCAATCTGTCTATTTTCAAATAGGTTTGATAGAAGATTATAAAATATTGAAATACTTCATTTTTGAAATTTGCTTCTACAGATAATGAGTAAACTAGTAAGTGTGAACTCACAAAAAGTCATAGTTTTTTTTTTTTTTTTACCATAGTTGTTTTTAATGAACGTGTATGACGATAAAGCCCTTTCCAAAAACAGTGCTCGTTATCAAATATTTCATAAATAATTTATTAATTCAAATACATCAACTCTTACGTTTTCCGTTATTATTCCCTCCTCCCGAATACCCTCTCATATCTTTTCACGTACCTCCAGCAAGTACCCCCCCCCTTTAGAAACCATGGCATGGTGTACCTGAGAAACAATATAACGTACATTCCCGGGCAACCGGTCCTCCGAGGGCAGTACAGTTCGATATCGAATTAACAGACGTGCCGCACTCCCGTAAGCTACCCCGGCGGACAACAGTGTCGTTTGGGTAAGTTAATTCTATAAATTGTGGTCTGCTGAAATTATTGGTATCTATTACCTACCACATATTTGAATGTTTTACATTTGTTTATTCAATTAAAGTTTTTTATAATGTCAAAACGCGACGGAACAATTGAATCGTGTTTTTAAAAAAAAACTAAAATTGATCAAATAGTAAGTTGAATGGATTAGCCCTGATGAATATCCACCGAAATATACAGTTGAAGACTTATGATGGTCCAAATGAACTGAGTGAAAAATCTAGTCGTTTAAATTTCCGTCTAGAATAATTTAATGTTTAATTTTTATTTTTTATTTTTTATCAATTGTTTTGAACTTTAATTAAAAATTAATAAAATAATTTAATCAATAAAATGTTTGATTGGGTACCTTTAAATAAGTAGCTATACTCTTGCTACTCTAGGTACTATTTTAGCTTTTGGTGGTTTAATATAATCATATTAAATGAATAAAATAGTAATTTGTAACAAATCAAAATGTACTTTTAAGTTGCAGTTACATTATTAGGATAATGATAAGAAAAAATTAGAAAAGTGGCGTTTTGAGAAAACCATTTCTTTGTTCTTATTAAAATTTACCAGGTTGAACCAGATTTAATTTATTTAGTAGATTTAGTCTAACTAAGTCCCACTCCACCACCAGATAACATCCTTCCCATAAGAAATTCCTGGGCACGCCACTGCCCTCTACCCACACACACTCCCATACACGTTAATCGGCACTTCGATAAAATGAGCTGCCGCGTCGAAAATATAAGAACACGCCGCCGGCTGCTTTACTCTGGGAAAAACTGAAATTAGGGAGGGAGAAGGAGATCAAAGGGCGGACGCCTGAGCAACGTCCGAGTTATGACGCTCTCGGACGACACACGACCGGGTACGTCAACCGCCGGCCGGACTCCAGGCTTTCGTTTGGTCACGGTCGTTCACGAACGCATCGTCGCTCCCGGGCGCCGAACATCACGTGATAACTATTACTATTATAATATTATATAAATTATTTATAATATAATCAAGGCTGTCTTAGATTATGCAGGGGTCCATGGGCAACTGGAGCTTAAGGGTATTTTTATTAAACCAAAAAAATGTAAGTAAAACTATCAAAAGCTTATTTTATATGATTACTTTTGTGTAGTCGGAAGATACGAGTTATTAATTTAAAAGAAAAATTGTTTGAAATAATGGGATGCAAATTAAAATATGCCTATTGCAATCGCACACAATTAAGCGTTCATTATTTATTTGACATTTATTTCCCCCGGGCGGCAAATTTTTGAGGATCAACATAAAATAGTTAATATATAATTATAATTTTTCATGTATGATTGTATGTCATCGCTTTCAATATTCTAAGCATAGGAGATTATTTTTTAAAACAGACTGATTAGTCAGAAATTATCCACCAGTTTGCGACCATCAAATCAAGGAAACAATTAATAAAAAATAAAAGTAGTATATGATATAAAAGTAAAGAATGATTATATTTTATCACATTTGGTAATTTTTTTAAATTATAAGTGAGGTATAATGAATAATTATAAAATTTAAATATAAGTAATAATGTGATATTTAAAATATACATAACATACGAGATATTAGTAATTTGTAAATGTATTGCTCTTGCATAGTACACTTATATCCGTTAATACACTACTACTGACTGTAATTAATAGTGTTGTGTATATAATTTTGAATTATAATTTTCTTAAGGGTGGCATATTTTAATTCACGCCGGAGGTCGGCACCAGTGACGGGGTAGGTAGTGTAGAGTGGGTCGGTTTTGGGGTTCACGCGGATACGGTACAGTAATGTCATGCGGCAGGAAACACGAGCTTTGCCCCGCACGGAAAAGTCGCTTGAACGGTGCAGAATCGTACAGAACAGACCCTTTTGTACGAACGTCGATTATATCGCATCAATATTTCCAGAAAGGCCGTATGACCGAACAATTTCTTGCGCGGGAAAAAACGACGTTCCCATTTGAAATACAGAAGTTTAGCCACCGGACGGTCTTTAAGAAGTACGATATTTCCACGTATCGAAGTACCTAGTCCTTTGTACGTTTTACGTTTTCCAACAGAGTTTGAGCATGTTTAAGATTTTATCAATCTATGAACGGTAAGATTTGGTATTCTGAACTTATCGACTAAGATATTCAAAAAAATCCACACACGATTAAGTTTTTTTGAATAATAACAAAATGAACTTAAAAAATGATTATTATTTAAGGGGGTCGGTCGGAGTACGTAATATTGTTCATGCATTTAGATCAAAAACCAAAAGTAAATTTAATAAACCTTTCATAGTCAAATTTTAATTTAAACTAAACTTATGACATTTTCATCCTCTCCTCTGGAATAACTAGGAATCCGATTTTTATATTTGTTTTATATATAAGGAATCATCGAGCCACTTTATATACATTAAAACATTTTTCATCTCCACTTTAATAGATTTAAGGCGCTAAAAACAAAACAATTCCAAGGATATTATTCAATCAAATAATTTTAGTTACAAATCAGTTTTAACTAACCTGAAAATGTAAACTTACAATTACAGCACAAGAAATTACAGTATATCAAGGCATATTAACTTGTTATAATCTGAGAAATCTTATGCTGTTAAATGTTAATTCATCGAAACATACTACAAAGTAGGGAAACATAAATACATTTTTAACTAAAATTAAATTTTTTTGTAAGTGTGCTCCCGTGTATTTTATTATTAATAACATTTAAAACAAAAGTTATGCGAACATTGATAATATTATCAAGATTGGGTGTATATTATCGATTATACTTTTATTTTAGATTCTAAACAAAGAAATAAATTAATTGGTTGTACAGTATTATTATTTTTTTAATATTGTTCTAGCTTTAAAGTAATTTAAAAAAAATTTAAATTTAAAGCTCAATTTATTTATGTTCTAAGCCAGAGATACTCGAATATGAAATTATAGTAATACGGTACGATTTTTTTTAGACCTTAATTTATTCGTATTTATACATGTTTAAAATGTAATACTTTTAAAAAATGTTTTCAAAAGTATATTAAAAACCATTAATTTACAATACATATTAATAATTTATCTGTATTAAATAGTACATGATATGATAGTATATAATTTAAAAAAAATAATTAATTAATGATTTTGATTAAAGGCTTTGACAGTTTAAAATTAAATTTAGGGGGCCCCATGACAAAAAAGTTGAAGAAGCACTTGAATCTAGACAACAAAGTAAGCTGATAGTTCTTGAAATACACATAAAAAAATAATTATTATCCGACAAATGAATAAAAATAATGTTACACTTCATCTAGCAAATATTTATATTTATTTTATTAAAATAAGTAGTAATTAGTAAGCCATTTTTCTCAGAGTTATACACAAAGTAATCGTTCCTAAGTTTAATATTTTTTGATAAAATATTTATTTGTTAATTAAATATTTAATATCGCATGTCTTAAAATTGTATTCTATCACAAGCTAATTAAATAATTTATAACCTAATACATTTTTATAACAATTATTATTTATTATTATTGATCTTTTGTCTTATTGAAATTCTATTAATGGACTCAAAATCTCTCAATCTAAAGTGAGTCCAATGAGCAGCCCAATAAACAGTGACTAACAGCAATTAACACAGTGTATACAATTTTACTATCTCATATGGACAGTTTGTACTGTTCGGACTAACAGCTTTTATCTCGATTAAATTGTTCATCACTAAATGAATACCTTGTTGTTTTCCGTTAGTGTTGTTTCGAATAAATTACATGCTATACACATTTAATTAAGTTATTTATTGTATATTTACTCTAAAAAAATTAACATACAATTTTAAGTTAGATTCTGTTAATATGTTAAAAACTTGTTTTGGGTGTTGCCCCCTGCGCAATGGCGTTAGCGTAATTGCTATTGTAAATATAGTAAGTCGTTTAAACATTTTTAATATAATTAAAATGAGAAAAAGTCTAGATTGTATGAAATAATTATTTTTTTTTATATAACCCATGATGTACGCATGAGTATTTTATTTATAATTTCCAATTAACATATATTATAGTGTTAAGGTATTCAATATTATAATTATTATTATTATTATTATTTTTGTTGTTGTTGTTGTTATTATTATTATTATTATTATTATTATTATTATTATTATTATAAAACAATTTTATTCAAAAAATGGTAAGTAACAATTATGTATATCTGTTTTAAATCGTTTTTTAATAGTTAATATTTCTTAAATAGAAAATTAAATTCAAAAAATTAACTATGATAATGAAATATGGAGAAGTGTTAAATTCAACTACAGATGATTATTTATCTTAAAAATGTTTGTACTTAGATTTGGAATATCCTAATGCTGTTATTACATGTTAAACATCGTACTAATCAATACTCAAAAATAGACTTCGAAGAAAGGAACACGACATTATATGATGATGATAAAAAAGACTCTTTTCAAAGTACACAATGGCAAAAAATATCTGCTTTAACTGGTAAATTAATATCTAATTATATAAAAATAACTGAAAATTTTAAATATATAAGTTATAATTACACTCATTGTGTAAATGTACTATACTCAAGGGAATTAACATTATTATTGTCGAATTGGCTAACAGATATATTCATGGACTATATATTCATATTCGCTGCTAGCTGGATCGCATTGGAATTAATATCAAATATTGCTCTTAAACAGTCGACCTTCAAAGTAATTTTCAATTAATGTCTTCAAAAAATAATTTGTGACAAATGTGAAATAATGTGTTAATGATACTTAATTTTTGTTTCATATCATTTTACTCATTATAGCAAGCGCCACACAAAATCTATGTTTGGTTAACAGTTTATTCTGCAAATCTGTTATTTATGTTAATCCATTTAGCTTATTATATGTCAATAATAATAAAGCATTCAATTCGGTTGAATAACATAGACATAATGGGCGATGACTTTGGAAATTTTTATCAAGTATGTATCAACAATAAAATCAATCACAAAAAATTCAATTATCTGAGAAAATATTAAATATAAAACAGGGAAAATTAATTATATGCAATATTTATTCATATCCCTTATTCTTAAAAGCATTAATTACCTAAAAGTATTTTTAATTTTTTAACTCTGCACATGTTATAAAATGTATTCATAGTATTTAAAATAAAATAAATAAAATGCTATGTGAACTGTTGTTACTTAAATTTAATTTTTTTCAAGTCATATTACTTGTGTAAATTTTAATGCAATAATATTCCTTTACATTCAAAACAAAATGAAGCTAATATTTGAGGAAAATAGGTATTGAATTATTTAAATAGTATATCAAATTCGTAAGCGCAAATAACCCAAATTATTTGGACGAACTCAAGTCAAGGACCTCTATTAAATTGATTAAAAATTCATAATATAACATTTCTTATAGCAGGCTTAATACATAATCTGGGGGACTTGGCATTCATTTGAGGAATCTAAGCCCTCCCAAACCCCTTATATTTGTGCTAATTACCAAATTGTAACTCAAAAAACCAGGTCTATGATATTATTTAGAAAATTTGTATTCATTTTTTTTATAGTTTTAATTAAAAACTATTTAACAATATTCAAAAAACTACTAATATTGACTAAATTTATATACAGTATTTTTTATACTTATATTAAAATACTTGAATAACATATTTATTAGTAATTATTTGCATTAAAGTTCATGACATCAAATTGGTAAAAAACAAAATACCGTTTTTTAACAAATAAGCATAAGCATAACCACATAACTGAATACATTAATAATTATTATTTATTGTTTTCATCAGACATGATCGATTTTCTAATAAAATAGATACTAAATTATAGTAAAGTACCAATAATATCAGTTATATACATAAATAATGATCATATTTAAAAAATTATCATTACTTTTTTATGTATATTATAAAAATAATCGTATTAAATTAAATTTAGTGATTTTTATGAATATTGTTTCAGAAATTAATGTACATAATAATTATTTTGTTTGAAATTACTATTATCTACTCATACTACATCACAGAACATAATGAAAGGTTAAATACGCATGTACAACTCAAATGGAAATACATATCCAAAGGAAAAATTGAGTCTCAAGGTGTTGATATTGCTCATACATCAGCTTTCATGACTTCAACATCACGTCAAACTCAAGAAAGATCTAAATTACCACCGTACATAACCAATGTTCTACAGGATTAACTTAATTGAAAATATAACTCAATTAAATATAATATACAGTATAAAAATACATCAATAATAATTTCATGAAACCACTGAAATAAAAAATTATAATAAATTAAAACTGATCTGATCTCTGAATTCAATATACTATAAACATTTTGTTATTTTTCAAACATCAGCAATATATATTTATGTATACAGAACTGATTAAATGTTAATTTATATTTTATCAATGTATATATTTTAATTGAGTAATATACTTATACTAATTAGGCCTATTTGTTATTCAAATATAATGTAATCGTACTTTATTTTGAAAATAAATAGCATTAATTAATTAATAGTTCAATTGATACTCAATAGTATAAATTACGAGTATACTCACAGATTGTCTATTTGACTGGCACAGTTTATTATTCGTAAATTTGTTAATTTTTTATTTAAGTTATCTTTCGAATAATAAAAACCCTATATTATATTACTTATTAAGTATTTTTGTTTTTACATTTTAGTTCTTACTAATAAGTACACTTATTGTGCCAGTATGTTCATTACATATCATTATATATTGTATCTTCAGTACAGAAAAAATGGGTACCTTCAATAATCTAGCCCTTTTTTGAAAACGAACACTACTAAAATTCAATAATAAAAACAGAATAGTAAATGATAGTAATCTGTTTTGATTATTATACTGTCAGTTAAAATATAGTGTATAAAGTATTTCCGTAGGGGATGTAGAAAATAGAGACGAGTGGAAGTTTAGGACAAGGGTAGCCTATCTTAAATAGTTGGGATTAGTTGGGAATTAGTTGGAAGAAAAGCTAAAGAGTTGAAAAAGAAAAAGTTAAAATTAAATATATTATATAATAATTTACAACTAATAACTACATTACTTACTAATAGGATTAATGATTTTTATTATTATATCGGTGTTCTTATCTATTAATACATCCAAAGTATTAGGTACAAACTTCATATTTATATACGTTCATATATATTGCATGTAGGTATTTAATATTATAGTGTTGTCAATGGATATAATTAAATACGTATTTGAGTTGGAAAAATATTGTAACCGTATAATTGAACAATCAGTGTTCAGTAAATATAAATTATGTTATAACCGTTTACAAGAAAACACTTTTTCTCGGAACAGCCAGTCAATTTTTTTTTTTTCGAATAATTAACAATGTGAAGTTATGTAGTCTATATTAATTCTTCATTGTTGTCTCAAATTTTCCATGTATTACCTACATTAGCGTTTAGAGTTATCATGTTATATTCATGTTTTGGATGTTGTTCCATTCGTACCGGAATTAATTACATTACTTTTTTCAACATGGTAAGTCATAAATTATTATAACCATATAAGTCATAAATCTAAAATTAAAACTACCTATTTTATAAGTGAGTATTGTTCTATTTATTCAATCACCATATGGTATTCGTGAAATATGTATAAGAATTCAATTGCATAATACTATCACTTTCATTTCATCTTTATGAACATTTTTGCATTAAAAAAAAAAATTAGTGCATATTTTTGAAGCATATTTGTACTTTTTTAAGCGCATAAGTGCATGAATATTTAGTACTTTTTAAGTACATTAAGTTTCGAGCCCTAATAATAATATAATACATACTGTCTATTATATCATTTAATATTCATCAGTTATTATTTATTAAACCTTATGAAAATATTTCATATTTAATAAAAAATTGCGAAAATATGTAACCAAAATTTGATACCATCACCGTAAGATATATAATGGTATCACACATTTTCAAAGCACACTGTCTGGTAAAATACACGTCACGGTGTAGTGTGAACCCAGCTATACAGCAAGTAATAAATTAATAACAGTTTATTTACAACAAATCGAGTACCCACCTGAAGTTAGTCACGTCAATCTGGTAAAATGAATATTCTCTGATAAGGCAATACACTGTAAGTCACTTGTACGAAAAACAATTCGTAAACAGGCGTACTATAGTATATTTTAATGTTTAATCCGTAAGTAAAATCGTTGATACAATATAAAATTAATACAAAATTCCTAACTGATAACAAACAACGTATTCTATGCACTCAAGGACTATATGCCAATTCCAAGTGACAGTAGTACCATGGGTAACATTTGACGCTGTTTTAAGGATAATCGATTTAAAATATCTTCATTATAATCATTACATACGTTTGAAAAATATCATGAGCATTACCTTTATTCCACTGTGTGTTATGTAATGATGTACAATAAAAAAAATGTGGCGGCTAAAATGTCAGATGTGCAGCACAGGTTGCAAAGGCTGCACCCGTAGAACCACCTATGATCTTTAGATATATAAACTGATTCACCTATTTTATTCAGATTTGTTTTTTTATGAGTAACAGTAAATTTATTTCAAGTTCAAAACACTAATGCAGTAACATCATTCATCCTTATTTCTCATCTGACTCAGGAGTTTCCTTTTTTATTTATTTATAATAACAAATACACACATATTAATGTTCCAAAGTTAAATTTATTTTGATTCTAAAGTCAAATTACATAATAAAATAATAGTATTTTATAGTACTTACGTTTCTTGAACCCTTTTCGTGATACCCGATTTAGCTTTTTTACCAATCATTATAGTAGAAATTAATTTATAACGTTAGTGATTGGATGATGGTGTGATGACATTAATATAATTTAAACAAATAATCGTAATTGGTAATTAAATAGTCATCGAATAAATATGAATAATTATAGACAGTGGTCGAAATGGCTCAAGATAAGTGGAGGGATGCCTTATAATTCAGATTTTCTGATATCATCATAATATTCTTCACACCTTATCTACCTATAATATTTTTTTTACTTTTTTTATAGTTCACATAAAGTATATTATCTTAGTCCGTGGCTCTAAATACGGGTATAATACGAGTTGAGAAACGGCTTATACTAAACAACACGATAAACCGGATGCCCGGGCTTGAATATTAAAAACAATTATTTTCACTGAAAAAAAAAATGTCTTATATATAAATATAAAAATGATAAGTATATCATTTTAAAATACAAGTCTTAGGAGGAACACGTTATTCTAGACAAAACAAGTAGAGGGATGAAAACTGTAAATACAAAAAAGTAGAGGGATGCCATCCCTCCGTATCCCCCCCCCACTTCGAGCACTGATTATAGATTGATATATGATAAATTGTGTTATAAATTTTAAATTTACAACAAAACATGTCAAATTGTCCATAATCAATGGACAATATGATATTGTAATCATAATACGATTCTACACGGGAGATGAGAACTTGAATAATTTATATTTTCTTATAACCGTGACTAATTTCATTTTCAATTTTTGTATTTTAAGAAAAAAATCTAGAAATTTAGAAATTAAGAAACTAGAAAAAATGATTGGTCTGTCGATGATTTATATATTTCATAATATTGAACTGTCTGAAACGAGTATATAAATATTATAAAATTTATTGTCAAATTATTTATCCAAGACTTCGCGTAATTATGTAAGTAAATGGAAATCTATTTGATAGAATGTATAAATACGGACGACCCGGATACCGATTGATGCCTCAAAAAATATAGACATCTTATCCACATCCACACTAAATAGTAGTTATGATTACATTTTGAAAATTAATAATAATATTATAAATTTTTATATAGTTGTGGATCACAATAGCGATGATGATCAATTTCATAGTCCGTTCAACACTCAATGAATTCCACCATGAAATAAGAATAGAGCAAACGCCGCAAACGTTCAATGACCAACAAGATTCTAATGAAACTGTTCAACTGACGAATCTAAATTCTACGACCGATATTTTAGATTTGCTTGGTGAACCAACGCTATTAATGAGTGTTAAGTATTTTATGTTTGTTCTAAAAATATTTCACGGTAAACAGGTTATAATGATTTGATTTAATTGACCTTTACTATGTAAGTTATTCAATGATAATCAATCGATCGCATGACTGACGACATAATTTTATTATTTATTTATTTTAATTATACATTAATATTGAATGATGTAACAGATTTGTTCCTGGACTACATACTCATAGTAAGAACGGCATTTCATGTAATGGAATTCTACTTAAACGTGAGCTTGAAACAATCATCATACACAGTGAGTACACAAGCATTGGTTCCAAGTTATTCAAATTAATTACTAAAAAGATAATTTGCAGCAAATATATATATTCCTAACACTTTTTCAATCTAGTTTATCTTAATACAATATAATAGCTACTACATTCTCCTTGACAATAAAACGATTTTCACGAAAATAAAAACCGAATACAGTTTTTGATTAAATAATCACTTAGACGCGGACCCGTGCGGCAGCCGTCATCGAAACGTCTGTCCCTCCCGTCCATCAATTGACAGGGGACGCAAACGGTCGCGACGTCCGCACAGCAACATTATCGAACCGGTCCGTTATGGCCTGTTCTTTCCCAACCGCGTACGAGAACACCTCTGCGCAGTGCCGCAAAAACCGGGTGTGCAGTGTGCCGCGCACACGGGCCCCAAGGCTTACATACATTTGGGGGGCCCTAGTCCCAGCCTAAAATAAACTACACTTTACCAACACATAATTATTTAATAATATTACATTATTATTTTATAATAAAAAGAAACTTTTTTTAAAATTCAGGTAAGGATGTTATAATATTTTAGAGTAATTTAATATTTATTTAACAATGAGTCCATTGAGTATTTGAGTAGACATACAACATACCAACCTAATTTACTTAATTAAATTTACTACATAAATATGTAGTGAAGTATAATATACAACAGTCGTAGATATTTAATTTGATATACATATGTACATATATCATACACTAACTGATGTGAAACGTGTTTTAAAACCTAAAAAATTGATACTTATAAATAAGACGTACAACAAAAATTAATCCTAGGAAGAGGCCTATTATAATTACTACCTTCTACTACTACGCATACTACCTTCAGCTCCACTGATCTTTTTATTAGTGTTATTTTTATTATATGATTATTGTACGTCGTGCTGAAGACATCCCGGCCCACGACAACTTCTATTATTATTTATTATATATTGTAACATTACAATAAATTATGCGTTACCCTACGAGTAATACATAATTTTCGCACAATTTGATAATATAAATGGCAAATTTATTTTGCTATCATTAGACTTAGGGACTTATAGTTCTAAAAAATACACAGATATGCATGCAATTATGCTTATATATGCAATATATGCATTATAATATGGATTTATATGCATTAAAAAAAAAAAAAAAAAAAATGACCACATAGTACACAAAATAAAACGTGTCCATCGGATGTAAATGTATCTTTAAACTCCGAAATAAAACTTTGTAGTCAGCTACTTGCAGACTACTGAACTTTCGGCTTTACACAATGTTACAAAATATACGTGTACAATGTTTTACGTATGATTCGACGCTGTGTGAATGCGAGACGCAATAACGACAAATAATAATCCACTGAACTCAAACAAATAATCTATTATTCTAATCGACTATTATCTTTATCGACATCCGGTCGATATCCAACAGGTTTACGGTCGATACAGGTTTATAGTATTATTTATACTTGCACAAAAATTTTAACGAAAAATGAGAGGTAGTTTGCAGATAGCATAATACTGGACCGGAATGGGACATTTGGGCGCGAGTCAAGTGGACGCCAGGACATCTGGGCGCTAAATAATTAATACTCTCTTACATTTATTTTCTACTGGTATTTTATAAATTAATTTGGTAATTATACGCAATGCCTCTTAAATATTCGACAGTGCTTCTGTTATTATAATCGCGAACAACTGTTAAAATACGTTGATCGGCATCACTGTACTTTTTCAATTTCACTGGGGGGTTGTGTCCAGCAATAAGATGCTCATAGTGGAAGTCACGATTGGTTTGCACTTTTCGTAAACCGTCTATAAGCTTCTAGATTGTAGGATGATCCATACCTAATTCCGTCTGAAGGCAGCGATGAGCTGCTTCAGCGTGGTTATTAGTTTTGTCCTGTTGGTTTAACGTTCTGTTATAGACATTCTACATTTCGCGAGGAAACAAAGGCTGTCTTCGTCTATTACCTCTCCTGTTTATTCTTTCGACGTAGTTGTCTTCAAACCAGTCTAAAATTGGTTGCACATAATTTGATAGGTAATCAGATAATGATAATAAAGCATTATCTATGTCTTCAATTGGAATAAACGCCAATGCTATATCCATTTTTGCATACAACGAAAAGTTGAGTTCATTGTTATATCGATTTATTAGGCCTAATTCACCCAATTTTTTTTCATATTTTTTGCCAAATGAAAAAAACAACCATGAATTTCTGCAGTAGGAAATATTTCTGAAACATGTTTGAAAGCAGCCATTTCAGAGTCACAAGTGATAGACTTTGAATCGAAGTTTGATGGCAGTAATACTTTAATCATGCCAAACAATTTGTCGTAAGTATCTCTACATTTATTTGGCAAAAGTACGTGGAAAACAGGGTGAACGCCTCCAAATTGTTTTGCTAGAGTAGCATAAATTTGTTTAAATAAATTTGGTGCAATTTTAAATGTCCCATCTATAAAAAATCATCACAGGTGCTTGCTATTTCTAGGTTCCGTTGACGGCAGAAAGTTAGGATTATTTCAGTACCCGGACAACTATCAGCAAGCAGAAAGTTTTCAAAGTTTCCAGGTTCCGATTAATATATTTTATAACATTCATGAATTTCAAGATCAGCCAGAGTTGTAGGATTTTACGGAGCTTAATTAATTTCATTGCGTTTCCTACTGATTAACTTCTTTAAAGCTTGTTGGTTGGGAAGAGCTCCTTGACAAACGACATCAGTATTTTGGGTATATTCGTTGATTACTTGGCACGTCGATTCTTGTGTTTCTAGAGCCCTTATCTTAATTTTTTAACGATTTTGTTTGTTGTCACTTCAGTTGCAGATGGTTCGTGGTTATGCAAATTTATAGATTCTACGATTTTGTGATTAACTATATGCACGCGCGTTTTACAATGCCGTTTTTGTTCGCATCTCCAAATTTCAGTTTTTTGGTCTGCAAACAGTTAAATATGTACAAAAATTCGTTTACATAAAACTTTTCATGATTTCGCTGTGACGTGATGTTTTCCATGTTGAACGTTGTATGGACTGTAAACTACTGCTTCGAAAACTAAATATGATCTACCTGTAAGCACAATCATTATCCCCATATTATTTTTATTGTTTTGTTATCGTATTAGTTCGCACCGCGTTGTTAGCTATAGATATATCATATTATACTATTACCTTTTATAGATATTAGATGTAATAGTATTTTATTGAATTACCCTCGCACGCATACCTCACCATACAGCGAGATATGAGCAGTGGTCTATATCTGTCACCGGCTGACCTACTCGCACATAACACAGAGAAAACACGAGTTGGTTCCCAATTTATTTGATTGCTAAAAATAAGCACGTGTTGGGTCTGTGGTGTTATTTGATAATACTCTTACTAATCTTATACTCTTCAGTAATATTTTATCTTATCTTAATAAAACCTATAATACGTAGTAACCGATCAGTTGTCAACGGATAACATATTGTAACTCGACAGCAGTGCAATTTTTAATAAGTTGACTAGGCGACACAAATGCCCAGTGATTATATTCTGTCGATAGTATTTTGAAAGATTGGGCAAAATTATGCGAAGCGGACGTAAGATATCATCAATAATTCATCATATATATCGTACTATCATCAATGATGATTCATCATACTGTGGTATTATACGTTGACTGCTTTGAGTTTTCACATTTTTTTTTTTGTCACCCAGTGAAAATTACATAAAAAATGCACTGCTTGCCAATATGCTTGCACAAATAGCTGTAAAAATTGTGATGCAAAATAAATAATACACATTACACATAACACAACTCTCGCGCCTACTTGTTCCCGTGTCGAGTTGGCTGTACCCAGTTGGCGACGTCCACTTGTCCTAGACCGTACTGGAAGTATTAAGTCTTTTTAGTACATTTTTTTTCGATCGGTTGAAATATGTAAATATGTTATATGTATCTATAGTTTTTAATTATAATAATAATAACAAAATTTGAAACATTTGTCAAAATATACAAGAATATGCACATTCAAATTGTATACCTGATATCATGGGACCGAGAAACGATTTTATTTCGTACTTTACTATATTTAACAATAATTAAAAAAAGTATGCGAATGCTTGAAGTCCCTAAGCCTAGTTAACATCTACAAAAAAATTAAACATGATTTAAATATTAAACTATTCATTTTGTCTTTTTTTTTTTAATTTACAATTAACTAATTATACTTAGAATTAAATTTTTTTCTTCTGAAAATGTATCAATTACATATCGTATGGTCAATGTATACATTAACTGGTTGTATTACTATATATTTTTTATTTTTTTTTTAAGGCTTCAAATACATAGTTTAATAGCCCACAGTGGCTTGTACATTTGGAGTTACATTGTCAAATTTTATTTATGAACATTTTTTTTTTTCTAAGTGCACTACACCTTATTACTTATCTCTTATCTTATATGTTCGCTGTGAGTTCAGCTATTTTTGAAGTCTCTAATTGTTTTCTTTTCCGGGGCCGAACGCTACTTTCGGTAAGATATATTATTTATATTTGATTTTGTTCGGGAGTTCTGATAAGTGGGGCATTCTAAGAATGCGTGTTTATCTTATTATTATATATATATATATATATTATACGTATATTTTTACCCAAAATAATTCAAGTTAACACGTTGAGTGCCAGTGTATTTATGATGCGCATATAGTAAGTTTCCGCGCCAAAACTGAGCCGCGACGCCGTCGGTCGACTACGTGTCGACACCGGTTCCGCGCGCCGTGCACCGTAAAATTGTTATTTAAATATTATAAAAAAAATTATTTTCTGTACGAATATATACTATATTATCAAGGTTATTTTTTTAAAAAGTAATCAATAATTTATTGCCACACTAATTAATTTTAAAATTTTAAAAAAAACAATCAATAAAATGTAATAAATACAAAATTTACATGAAAAACAAAATTATTTACGTATAATATTAGCTGTTAAAAAATAAACAGATTTTTAATTTTTGGAAAATAAAACGAATCATTAACATAATATTAAATTAATTATAATTATGTAAAAATATGAATGTAGAGTGTACCATAGTATGCGAACATAAATATAGGTACATTTATTGTTATTATACATCCGAACAAGATACACTCTGTAGATTATTAAAATAAACTAATACTATTTCGTCAGAATATTATTAACAACGAAAATAATATGATATCAATATATTATCGGAAATAGCACAGCCGCGTAATCGGTATTGCCGTCGCCGTCGTCATCATTCGGGAAAAATTAATTAAAACTCGCTAAAAATAGCTACGCAAAATCCAAATATACCATTGAAATCACGACATCCTACTGAATAACCACATAAAAATATTGAAACATTGCGTCTATAACCGATCAAATAATACACCCATAAAGATATACATAACATTTGTCGACTACACGTCGACAGCGGTCCCTGAGACCGTGTGACAGTTGTCGACTACGTGTCGACCGTGGCATTGAACGTGTTAAATTTATTCATATAATATTATAAATCAAATATTACCTTAAATCTTTCACAAAAATCTACTTTAATGTCAATTTTTACCCGTCAGTCGTCAATTGTTTAACAGACAAATATTTCATAAAATATTTCTATTTACTAAATTACAGATGCTTAGTTTACACCAAAACCAAATTTAATACTATTTGCAATGTAAAAGAAAATAAGATAGCAGTGTCAGACTCAACACATCGAGAGTCTTGTTATAAATATTATTAATATAGTACTTACCATCTCATCGACAATAAATCATTTTCCAGAAAAAATTAATGTCTCTAAAAAATAGTCGAAAACAAACCAAACATTATATCTAAAAGTCTTCAGTGAATAATTACGTATAAAAGTGGAATCATTTCTTTGATGTTAATCTTATTATTTATTGTTATTTATCAAGCCCAAATTTTCCGCTCTAGGTTTAAGCCAAAATCCTCCTCTGTGCATGATATCGTCCCCAATAGTGCAGCGAAAAAAACATTATAAAATTATACATATCACAGTGTACATAATGTGTTATTAATCACAAATTTCGGTAAAGTGAGCTTGTATTTTCATAATCTTGTTGCCATTTACACTATACTCATTATGAACAAATTTAGTACCTTAATGATAAATACTGACCGCGCTAGAGGAAAAATTTGTTTTATGCGTGTTCTTATGGTACAGAACTAAATTTAATTACATAATTATATATACAATTATATATTAAGTACATAATCTTAACCCAGTCTAAAATTTTTCTTTCTTAGCAGCAGTAAGTCTTAAAACTCAAGTGTCTGATTATTTTAAATACATACCTTTCTCGCAACCATCTCAAGCTAACGAAGAACGTGCTACATCGTTTAAATAATTATTACGTGTCGTTACATTGCTTTACAAGAATTTCTTTTATACTGTACAAAATTATTTACAAACATTGAGTTATCTAAAACACACGATACCAATAGAAAAGTTATTTATTCTAAATCATCAAATAGTTCAGACTATTAAGTGTCCCATTTGTATTTCAATTACAAACAACAATCAAACAATGTCAAAATGTAATCATTACACTTGACTGACATACAAACGTAAATAGTATTTAAAAAATAACTGTGTGTACAAGTGCAAGTACAATACCGTAAATTAAAAGCCCCTGATCCAGAGATTCCCGCAGATATGTATCTTAACGGTGGTCAGGTGAAGCGAAAAGTTGTTGAGTATCTAATATGAGTCGGGACCGGCTTTATATAAAAAAACTTCTCGTTTACTTACGTAACTAACTTGAAAAATCTCAAGGATGCAATGACTTCTACTGCCTCCTCCCTCCGGGTGTCACTGCCCAGAAAGGCACATGTTCTTCGCTCGAAACTAAGATTTGATACGCATTTAATAATAACGTATATAACGTCTTTAAATTTCATTTTTTCTTATAATTTATAAATATATATTTATTTATTGCTTACTGATAAGTTATAAATTTATTGGTGTCCCAAATAAAAAAATACTCATTGGTTTATTTTCAATAGGTTTCACCTCAACGGATTTATGCTTGGTTAGTAATTTACTACTTCAATTTGGGTGAAGCAATAATTGTTCAATGTATGGAAATCGGGAGGCCTTCGTTTTCGATGGATTTTTTTAAGTGTTCGGTTTGTAGAACGTATTGCAATTTGAGTATCATACTCGTATATACAGTGACGTATTTATAAGTGGAGGTCCGAATTTTTACCCCTTCCCAATTACACATACAATACAATATATATATAAAGTTTATAAATTATCTATTTTCTATATAAAGTTGAATTAATGTTAAAAAAGATTAAACTTCGATCAGAAAAAAAAATGTTTAATACATAATTTACTTATTTTTTACTAACAATTAAAACCATTACTGTTTTTCATAATGAATCCCATAATATGAATAGTAAATGCCGTGATTTTAATTTTTTTAATTTGGCGAACATTTTAAAGAAAAGTAATATTATTTATAATTTATTTTATAGTTTTAACATTATTATTGATCCACCATAAACATATTATACACATAATACATATTAAATACCTTTATTTATAATTATTTATTTCAGGAGTTCTTCCATATTATAGTTATTGGAGTTGAATCATACGTTGTCCAATCATATTACAATCAACAGAAATTGGCTGCTGTAGACAATTATGTTGCTTTAAAATGGAAATATCTTCCGGAACCTAAAATGAAGTTTAACAAATCAGCCAACACAACAACAATAACAACGATGAGATGTGATCTACCACAAGACGAGTCTGATTACATTCCAATATTTGTAAAAAACATTAAAAATTGTAATCATTAAATTAAAACTTACAGTTATTTCCATTTGATTTAATTTCGGCTTTCTTAAAAATGCTGACTAAATTATGAGAAGAAGAATCGGCTACAAGTAGTCAATTTTTTTTTTTTGCTTTCTCGTAAACGAAGTACCGCCATTTTTTTTTTCTTGGTCCATTTCTAAGATGTTATTGTAGTTATACAAAAAAGTTTCGCACACGAAACGATATACGAATACACACGTTACAAGTTACAACAGTTGAGAGAAGAAATCGCAGTAATTCGCACAAATTAATTAATTCCACAACGCGTCGTTGATGAGCGCGTGGAGGCACCATAGATTCACAATAGATGATTGATCTATGGAGGAACCGACAAGTGTAGTGTACCTTACCAAGACGCTTAAATCAACTCCACGGGTCGTACATATTTGATAAGAAAGCTGATAAACCAAAAATTAAAAAAAAAAAACTTAAAAAAATATATAGGTACTATTATATAGGTATATATGAAAACTTAATGCATAAGTTTGTTGTAACGGCTCATAGGAGTATCAATGGCGAGCCAATTGTCAACAATTTTTAAGTTAGAGGTGCTGTTGCACACTCTGCCCCACCCTAAATGACGCCCCTGAATAAATTTAAACCATACGCGAAAGAAATAGTAGGTGAATACCAGTGCGGCTTTAAACCAGGAAAATCTACAGTCGACCATATGTTTAGGCGAAGAGAGCTAATAGAAAAACATTACGAGTACAATAAGCCATTGCACCTACTATTTATAGATTTTAGACAGGCATACGATTCTATCAAGAGAAAAACACTGTGAAAAAACATGGAAAAGTTTTTTTTCACTATAATCTCTAAACAATTTATGTATTTTTGCACTATGTTTATCCATGTTCAATGTTCCATACGTATTCGATATACGCATAAACGTTTGAACAGATATGAGTAGGTACAGAGTAAAAATGATAATATTGTATTCAATTTGTAAGTATTAACGAATATTTACTTAATATAATAATTTTCTTGATATGAACTATATTATAACTTGGCTGTATAATTAAAACGCCATGGTATTTCAATGAACCATTTTACAAAATTGTTCTACGGGATACGCTCTGTTTTAATTCCTTAAGAAAACATGTAAAGTGAAGGTTTTGGAGACCCTACGTGGCGACAAAAACAAGTATTGCATGACGGGCTTCAAAACTCTACGTAGCACTATATTCAAAACTGAATTTTTTGTCTTGGTGCTTAACCTATTAATGTTATTATTTAATTGAGTAAATTGAAACGTTTCATGTTCTTTGTTTATCATCATGATATCATTATTCATTACTAATCCTTACATGTTTTATTCCGAAAAAATATTTTATTGATAGTCTATCGTCCATAAATATTAAATATTTAAATATATAGGTAACCATAATTTTTTAAATATTATGAAGTCGGCAAATTTAATCAGTTGCCCTACCCTTTCAAAAGTTGAAATGACGCCCCGGCCCTTTGCTTCACTTAGTAAGTAGTATCTAAATAGTATAATCTAATATCCTAATATCTCATCCTAAGCATGATTCAGTTGATTCGTTTAAAATCAAATAAGTACAATCAGGTAGTTAAATTTTATAAATATTCAAATATAACTTTTAATAATATTATGGACTGTAAACTATTATTGATTTTTTAAGCTATATCTGTTCATAATATTATTTAAATTAGTTTCATGCGTTTAACATAGTGTTATGTTGTTAAAATTCCAATTCTATATCTAATCAGTACAAAGCCTTTAACTAATAGTAATCAATAAAATAATATATTTTACATCGGTAGCTTCTATCTTTCATCAGCACAACAGCAAAGACCAAAGGTCATAATATTACAGTTCTATTATGCTTAATGTTAGTTATTAATAGTTTACACTCTGATAGTAACTTACTAATTTAAATGGTATTTTTATGCAACTCAAGTTAATACTTAATTTACTGTAGATCAGTTGATCTTAAAATCGCTTTACTGTGCATCAAATCCAAGGATTTAAAAGTAAATATGCTTACGTCGTGTTTTGGTTTGTCACTGCGAACGGGAACGAATATTATAGCAATTGTTAATTCAGTAAGTTAAAATGTCTGTATTATTTTAAGCTTTAAACACTATGTGAAAATAAATATTAATAACATTAATTATAGTAATAACAATAAGTAAAATCATTTTCATTTTTTATTTATTTTCCAATAGGTGCAACCCATCTTAATAATTATTATAAATTGTTTTATTATAAAAAAATTTAATATAGGTATGGCTATAAAATATATTCAATGTGACATATTAGAAGATTATAATTATTTTCTTTCAAATTGTCCCACTCTCAAGATGTTTCTTTTTTGTTAAAAATTTAAATTCTCGAAAACAGTGCGAGAAAAAAAATTAATTATCTTTCAAATGAATTCATACCATTGAATACTATGTAAATGATAGTTAGTCTAGGGATTGAAAGTTGAGGTGTTTAAGTTAATACTTACTAGTTATTTATGATTTTAAACGTTCTTGAATATCCTACAAATTATGCATTGCACTTGTAATTAGATTCTCAATATTTGGCAAGACTACAAAATACATTTGTGTTTAGCCGTCATAAGATAATCGGCCGTGAACGGAAATAACTTTGGACCACAGATATCTAGACGACTATACTACCTACATACAAGGATGGATATCTGTATCCTGAATTAGAGAAGTCTTAACCAGAGTTAAATTTTTGTTGAGATAATAAATACTTGTATACCTACTCATACTTTGATAATTATAATACCTAGGTACTGTAGAAACCAAATCTGTTATATATTTTTAACCAAAATATTTTAGCCAACTATAAAAATCGATGCAGTTTATAAAATCATATACTCGATAAAACCAAAATATTTTTATGGATCTCTAAATTTTTTTCATAAAAATTAATTTTTAATGTTGTTACATAAACATGAAAAATATTTCTTGAAGACAATCAGATTAGGTTTATTATTAAGGGGATCCTAAGTGATTAAATTAAATTAGGTTAAGTGATTATTATAGGTTTATGAGTGGGAGAATATAAACAAATGTGTATAATAATCCAATATTAATTTTGAAAAAACATTTGATTTCAGTCACCTATTTTCTATGTTTTGTAGAAATTTATTTTATTTTTTATTTTTTTATTTTTATATATATTTGATCCTCTGAAGTAAAAAATTAATTTTGATAAATAATTGACCAAACTAACACAACTAAATACTTATAGTATTGTCAACCAACTAAATAGACTGATGTTTCGGAACTTTGAAATCGTATTAAAAAAATTATACTTATCAAAGCTTGGTTTTCAACATTACAAAAGTAAATATATAAATAGCAATATATAAATGAACTTATTTAAAACATGCAATTTCTTAAAGTTTAAATATCAGCTAAAAAAAACGATTAGTAAGATATCACATTTTATAGTTAGGATGGTTTTTAAAATTATTTGTAAATTCAAAACATGAGGTAGGTAGGTACCTACCAATCTGAATTAGGTACCATTAAATTAAATTATGGTACTTTGTCAAACGATATGTTTACATCATAATTATGGCACCTATAGTACTCATGCAGTCCAATTACATTTTAAATTTCAAATGAACTAACAATGTTTCTAGAAGTTATGTATAATTAATAATTATAAGTTCAAAATTATTCGTTATTAAAGAATTAATCATATAAATATGAGTTTGAATGGAACTCACAAATTAACCTTTCAAAAATAATATATTATATAGGTATATGTAAAAAATGGATTAAAATAATATATATATATATTAAAATACAATGACTAACAACTAGTTATATAATATAAAACAATTGTTGCACTTACAAAATGCAAATGCTAAATTACCTACTTTACCATCTGTATTCTTATTAAGTCATTGTTAAGATCAATATACATACATATATATATATATATATATATATAGACTTTAATTATCTGACATTAATAAAATATTTTGTTTTTAGATTACTTCAATTTTTTATATTATTTTTAATGTCTGGGAATTCAACAGAAGTTTTGGATATTCGGAGCTACATTACAGAAATCAAACTATGTTTTTAGATGGTATGCACATTACAGTTTAATACTAACACTTAATTATAGTACCTTTTTATATAATTATATATTAGTTATAAATATAGATGAATGTGATACATTTAAATAATATTTTAAAGAAAATTATATAATTAATTAACGTACTTAAATCATCTATAGAAGTTCAAATGTTTGACAAAAGTTTAAGAACCTTTTTAATAAAAATGAATTAAGTTGATTTTTTCTACTTTAAAAAAAAAAATCTAAATCAAAATCGAGCATAGGTAACTATTGTCAATTTATTAATAAAAACAGGTTTACAATTGACACTAATACGATTATTATTATTATTAACCCTGCGTTACAATGAACTAGTTTTATCATTATATCTAATATAATGTGTGCTTTTAGATATGCTTGCATCCGTTAATATGTAATTATTATATATTTGTAAATAAAGTAATATAAATAATTTAAATAATTATTTTTATTTATTAGAATTAATAATGACATTTATTTTATGACTAAATTTATAATAATAATTTATGCTTTTAGTAAATACATTTCAAGACTTTATATTAATATTTTAACCTAATGTAATATATGAATTTTTGTTCTAGAATTGTTTTTTAATTATATCACATTATTATTTATGCTTTCTGGATTTATTTTGTTATTTGCAAATTTTGGCTTAAAACAAGCAACAATAAAAGTATGTAATTCAAATTAATTGTATTTAAATATTAAACTATAAACATTTTTTTCTTATAGAATGAAACACATAAGATCTATCTTTGGCTTTTGGTTAGCTACGTTCAACTTGGTACAATCCTTACAATTGAGATTGTTATGACCTTCAGATACAATATGGTTATCCTAGACACAATTAAACTGATAATATGCTTTATATTAATTGATGGTAAAAATTATATAGTTTTACTTATCAATAATGTTATAATATAATAATAATAATTATTATTATATTATATTTATAAATAGTACATCTAAAATCATATTTTATCCAATGAATAAAATCTTAATTATTGTTACAATGCAGAACGAATTTTTTTTTTTTTAGCTATTCTAGTGTTCCAGCTACTGATTGTCCATTCATTTTATTATGAAGAGAAATTAGTTGAAGAGAATAATTACAGTAAATTACGTTCCGAATTAACATCCCAACTACAAGAAGAAAATCTTGATGAATTTCAAAACGTGGAGCTATAACATATAAGCCACATATATTAGGTACTTAAAATGTTTTCATTATTTATTTTTACAACAAACAAATAGTTATACTTACATAAAGTATAACAACAATACTATGAAAATTGAAATTAAATAATTTTGATTTAATTAAAATGTATTTCTTCAATTACCTTAAAAGTACTATTTCCTTTATAGGAATTTGGAAATTATGAAGAAATTAATTAACTTATCTCATTTTATTTATTATTTTATTGGAAATCAAGCAAAAAAATTATATACTTTAATCCAAATTTCTTTGAAAAAATGTTTATATTGTATTACATTATCTGTATATTTATACATTTGGGACATTAAATAAATTATTTATAGAATTATTATCATAAATCAATATAATAGTTTTTTACATGATATAATAAACTATATTATGTAATAAATTTTTATATCTACATCAATTTATTATATCGAATATAATAGTTTTAAAGTTCATTTTAGAACTCTACTCTAAAATTGTTGCGTTACATCTCATAATTTTTAATATTATACAACCAACAGCTTTTTTGTTTTGGTCAGAAATCTAAATATTTCAAATGGAAAAGAAAGAGAAATAATAACAAGAAAAAATTATACTATTTTTTTATTTTTATTCACATAAGTTGACACTGAAAAAATGATAAATATAATTACTACTCGTGTTATACAATCTTAAAATGGTAAGAAATTATTATTTTGAACAGTAGTAAGAAAAGTATTTTAACATAATTTTATACTAGCACAAAAGTATTTTAAATTTCTTTAAAGTTAAAGAAGTGTTTAGACCATTAAATTGGACATAATTGGATCTTCTAGCTTTACAGTTATGGAATAATTCCATTCCTGGGTTGATAGAGGTAAATAACTTTTCATTGAACATATTTGTTGTAACAGATATCTAATTTCTTTTTGAACAATAGATAAATCATTATATTTATTTAACTCACCATTATTATGTTCTTTACACTCAACTACAAAATTCCATTGTTCCAAAACTTCGTTGGTAGTTGAATTTTTCAAGTGAAGAAAAATTTTACGAACAAAACGATTTATCAGCAGTTCTTTACATATAAATAATTATTTAATAAAATATTTAGTATATAGTTATTTTGTATAAATTGCATACCACAGAGTATTATATCATACATATACAGTAATTAATTAACAATAAACCAACATAAAAAAATTACAAAAATACCTAGGTATAGAGACTAACAATTATTCATAAAATTTTTTTTGATGTTAGTTATACTATTTTTAAGGATACTTTTTTAAAGTTAAAAATAATAAAATATAAATTTATTTTAATATCTTTCAAGGTAAGTGTAATAAACATTAAAACTAAAAATGACTTATACTTCTTATATTTAATTATTTTTTAAAATAAGATATCTTTAATGACTAACTTCTAACGGACAGAATACAAAAAATAAATATTTATTCTTACCTCTTAAACTTTTAAGCTGTGGCTTAAAGTAATATGATAATTTTTCATCACTTAAAATCCATATTGCAACACCAAAATAATATTTAATAGTAAAATTGTTAAGTGTAGAAAATCCTCGAATAAATAAAATTGTATTCATTGCATAATCTAATAAAATACAATTATGTACATAGTATAAATTAAATTTGTAATATTGCACAGTTAAAGAATGTGAATTAAATTGTGTACTTACACATATATTCTACTGAAAACGAAGCTGATGTTTTAAGAATAATAGTATTTTGATTTGATTGTAGAACTGCCATATTTTAGATATTAATAAAATTAATTTTAATAATAATGTGAACAAATAATATTAACATGTATTTTATTTAACAATAAAAAAATATTAATATTCAGTTAGTTCAAACAATTTTAATAAACACATACTACACAAAAAGAGAATGGTTTTATTTTAATATAAGTTCTGATAGTTTCACAATTCAATAATTTAGAAAAATTCCGTATTGTTATAAATAACTCTTAAATTATAATGTCATAATTATATTAAAAGAACCATTTCAATTATCAGGTTATAAATTTAGAATAACTTAAGGTTTTCACTTAATTAGTTATCAAACTTTACCTAAAATGCATGATAAACAGATAAATTAATCACATTTTAAAATGTTATCTTTTAATTCCAATCATACTTACAAATACAAATAATAATTTTGATTAAACAATAAGGTTTTACATTTTTTTTTTCTGAAAGCTAACTATATATATATGAACATCAGGCTTTCTAACAGCTACTGTATTTAAAAATAGTGAAAATAGTAAGTTTATTATTTTAACATAGTGAGTAAAAGTGAGTTATATTTTATTAATAAGTATAAAATAATAAATAATTCTGTCAACAATTATTAGATAATTAGATAATAGCAAGTCTAAATGATGTAAAAATACTATCGATAACATAAATAAAATACTTTTTTTGTTTTAACAGCAAACAGTAAATAGTATAATAATATTAATTAAATAATAGAACAAAAAAATTAGAATTAATAATATACTAAAAAAGTGAAAACTAAAAACTTTTTTAAACAATATTTAGTTATAAAATAGATGGTCTTTAATTTTTACATTGTTTTTTTTTCACGGCTTCTTTCATCAATCTTTGATGATCATTATTATTCTTTCATCGGTTTCTTTTATCAATTTTTTTTTTATACCGTAGCAGAAATTTCTTCCTTGATATATTCTTTGTGAAGATTATGAGGTCCTTCTAATATTACCTTTGCTATGTGTATTTCATTGAACTCTTTTTTTTTTTCTATATAGCATTCTTGAATCTTACACAAGCTTCAATTATTTTTTACAGCAACATTTTTCTGAGAAACTTAATTTTTCTTGGCTTTTTTTGTATTTTCTTCTAATATTTTAATATCTTTTCTGAGTTATTACGCTATTTTTTAATTAATTGATTTATTTTCTTTCTGATGTATGTTTTTCTTCTTCCAAGTTACTTATATATTTATGGTATGCAAAGAAAAAAAATTAAGGCGTCTATTTTTATATTCACTATAAATATATCTAGTATCACAAATTAAGATAAAACGTAATAGGTTATAAACATTTTTCTAGATTATACTGAATAATAGTGAAAAAAATGAGGAACTTTAGGTTATAGTCAAAAAAGTAAATTACTTAAAAGCCTGATGTAAATATTTAAAATTTTTATTGAAGATGCATTGAGTAAAAAGTATAAGATTAAATAATCTATACATGGTATTTTCATCAGAGAATATAATCATGATATTTAACTATTTTTCAATGCTATACACTTTAAAATTAAAACAAATAATCATTTTCAAAACCTAGGAATATCATCAATGAATTATAAAATGCAATTATGCTTTAAGAGTAAAAATACAATCTAAAATAAAAATGTAAACAAAATTTAATTAAGAAATAGGACAGAGTAAGCAAATCCAGTTATAAATAATTTACATATTAGTGATTTAAAAAATTATTTTAATAGATTAAACAAATCAACCATTGTTTTATGAGCTAAAATAACAGTAAAAAATAAATAAAAATCATGACTTTCCAAACAATAAAGCCTTACTTGTACAAGATTCATAGTATAAGCAATAGATTACCTTATATTAGACTTATGTATAAAAAAAAATTACTTATTACATTTTTCATCACATATTATTTTTAGAAGTCTGCTTTGTAACTTACAACAGTATCCATTCGATGTAATGAAGTTGAAAATGAACGTAACTGCAATTCTTGAGAATTAGCAATATAACTAGGTGCAGTTTCAGCCCATTCTTGTGGAACTTCTACATCAGGTTTAGTGTATATTTGCAAATCAAATGCACATGGACAATCTAGTAAGGGCAAAAAACTAACGGTGGAACAGATTTGCCTAAGAACATCTCTTATTTCTTTTTGTATTGTTGATAATTCTTTATTGCCAATTGAATCTGGATTGGAATCATTAGATCCTTCATACTGCACTTTGAAATCCCAACGTTCCATGACTTCTTTATTAGTAACATTTGATACAACCATTGACAATTTTTGAATTTTTTGTTCCAATAACCAATCTGAAAAAATAAAAATCAGTTGAAAATACAAAAAACTCATTATCGAATAAAAAGAATTCGACAATTTTTTTTAATGTTTAATTTAGATGTAATATAATATTATTATTATTATAAAACCTAATAATAAATAATGAATAACTTCTCAAGTTAATAATATAATACTTTTTATATAAAATGTATAAGAATTCCACTTGAGAATCTTTCCATATCACCAAACTATTCAAACTCTTTAATTTAAATTGATTACATTTAACATTTGGAATGATTATTTAAGGTAAACAAAAATTGATATAAATTATGAGATATCATGTATTATGATTCCCAATAAAATTATTATATTGATAAACATGAAAAATTAATCAGCTTGACTGAAATCTCAAGTCTTGGCATAAATTTAAAAAAAATAGAAATAAAATTAAATACATTTTTAAAAAATCTAGTACCAATTAAAATAACAAATTTTTAACCAATTTATTTACATGCTGTAATAAATAATCTCTATTGTAATATATACCTTTCATTTGACTAAGAACTGGAGTTAGGAACTGTTGAATTTTTTCATCAGTTGATACAAGAATTGAAAGACCAAAATGTTCTTCGGTTTTGAACGATTCGGGTGGGTATATTCCACGTTGAAAAAGAATACTGTTGATACCAAAATCTAGTATGAAGGATAAGTATCAAAACAAAGACAAAACACAGAAACATACGAAATTGAGAAATAATAACAATCATATACGACAAAGACTCACTTAAATAGTCCATAACTAACTTTGCCGATCCCTTAAGAGTGATGGCGTTTTGGCTCTGCTGTTTGGTGGCCATCGTTCGACAATATTATTGTAAAATAATTATATATTCTGTGGTTTAACTGTTGAATTTGTAATAAATATGAACAATCACAAACTCGAGTATTCGATTCTGATGGAATAAAAACGACATTCAAACAAACATGAGAACATCTACGGCTAATTTGAAAATTGAAAATACTGAAAGCATAGGTATATAGAATATAACGGAAAATTCTCAAATTCCAGCAGCCGCATGCACACACGGTATGTTCATTGTTGTCTAACATGGAATTTCTAGGTTAAGGCTGATAACGAGTTTTGGCGGCAAATCGTTCCATATCAGATATGTTTGAAAAATAGAGCTCTCGAACATGCGCACATTGCCACTACCCCTCCTCTCCCACCACTAATACTGAATGGATCGACAAGAATAAAATTGAAAATCGTTTCTTAAGGTGTGTCCACAATATGCCGCTGAATGCTATTTGACATGATTATTGGCAAAGCCAAATTGACGAAGCAACTTGCAAAACTGTTGTCCACAATGTGGGACTCCACATAGATGGTGTCATTTTAGTCATTTGAATGTTTATATGATAATACGTTTGTTTAATAAGAGTTTTCCGTTTTTAAATTATTTTGATATACTTTCCGAGGACGATATACTTCGCTAACTTTTTTTTCATCTCTAGATGGAATAGTATACTTTCAGTACGATAATTATCTGTTTTTTCAGCTTAACATTTAAACAATGACTAAGAAAATAAATTTGGTTTAGTAGTTAAGCAAAATTTAAACAAAAAACATAACATGAAACAACTCAGTGTGCAGATTTAGCGTTTTGGCACACAAAAGCTTAATGGCTCTAGCGCCCTCCTCCGCCCTCGTTAAACTACTAAGGAACCAAGAATATTTGATCTGAACTCTCCTCTTCAAATTGTATACACTTTTTCATCAACAAAAAAATTAAAAAATAAGGAATGATGCGTGTTAGTGACTTAGTAACTATCTAAAATACTACACCACTAAGCTTGTATAATGTATGTAATGAAATTTAAATTTAAATTTCAACAAAAGAAGAAAAAAATCTACAAGTACAAAATTGTACTATTTTCAAAAGCGTACCCACTTAGTAAGCTGCAGGTTATTCTCGTCATCATTCGTTCAGTGCCAACATTCAAAAACATTTAAATTTCAAAAATAAAAGATTTATTTTATTGCCATTTTTGAACATAATATTATTATTAGTAATTAAAACACGATGATAATCATAGGCAGCGTTGGAGTGATTTAGATAAAACTACGCAGGTAAAATGGTATAAAACTAACAGTGAATATATTTAATTATGAAGTATTTTCAAATTTTTATAATAATTGTAATATTCTTACTAGGTACATCGTACATATTATAATATTTTAAAATTATTTTTATTTGTGTTTATAATATATTTATATTAATTTGGTATATTAATAATATAAAGTTTATATTATAAATATAAAAATAATATAATGAAATAAATTTGCCTAATAACTCTTAATTCTAAAAAAAAGCCGCCCTAGGTTATGACCTATAAAGGCCTCTAAATCCGCCACTGGATCAACGACTGGTACTCTAATTTTTTAAGAATTGTATAAACTTGAAAATCGTTTATTTGTGCATGCCGATTGATGGATGTTTGTGGTTCGCCGGATTTAAAATATTTTATTTTTTATAATATATTTTAATAAAAATAAATATTATTTTTCAAGTTGGATAATGGAAAAAAATGATAGAGATCTTGTCCTATGGACTACTTAAAAAAGTTTAATAGGATTTAGACTTTGGTAAGAGAACGTTTCCATTTTTGATGATTATAGTCCTCCCTCGACATTTTTACCACTTTGACCACTGTGGGTAAGGTAATATCATTTGGGGGTTGAAAATAACACAGCAACGTATACTTCGTCAGCTTAGCTTTTTCCCTATGGCACCATAGTGGTTCTTATACGATTTAATGAATAAACGTATATTTCGAACCTTAAATTACAGGAAGTGAATATTATTTATACTTTGCTTTGTGTCTACATGTAGGTAGTAGCCGTACAGTTTTTAGTTGTATCTTCACGCTGTTTATGGTTTTATGATCACGTTCACGTGTACCGAAGTATATGAATCATTTCGTATACATAGATGTACCTGCCGACAAAAGGAACAAATCTTTTGTTTAATCATTTTATAACGTTTTAGGCCATAGTCGGAACGTTTATTATGTGTATAATCCTAAAAAAGGATAAACGATTGGACCACACGTATCTGAAAATTACAATGAATGTAACTAAAAGGTCAGGTCGATATAGTAACTCCTATACACTATAACTACAACGACCGTTCATTGTATAATATACATCTTATATCTTGTGAACACCGCTAACACTTACCATTCGTATATATATATTATAAACATAAATATTGGTTTTCTAATAAACCCCTTTAAAATCCTATGGTGGGAATGTAGGTTTAAGGTATATTATAATATGAATTATATTGTTTTAATTATTTTTAATATTTATTAATTAATATACAATTTTTTTCATGTATGTCTTTATATTATAAGTCTCCAATAAATAGTAAATTGTACCATCAAATAAGTGAAATGGTAAAATAAATATACTTTGTTAATTAACATGCTTAAGTAGTTTTTTATAAGCATTCTTTATAAGCAGTTTTACATTTTTAAATTAATTTACTTGAGAATCTATAAGCTACAAAAATATATTTTATGTTTCCAAATTAATGTCAGTCGTCTGCAATGATATTTATATGATATATTATACGTAGCCCATAAAAATCATAATTTGATGGAAACAAAATGTATTACAGAATATAAATGTAGAAAATTGACTAAAATATATTTTAAAAATATTATATTATGAGCTAAAACATTTCAAATGCGAATAACTAGGTATTTACTTTTTTAAAAAACTTTACTCACATTTTTTCACACTTCAATTTCATCATATGAATTCTGTATAAATATACTTTATGTTAAGTACATTGAATTAATTCATTAGCTGTTACTTAATAACTATTATTTATTATAATTACAAATTACAATAAACATACTATGTTATACCATATTATGGTCAGTGGAGTCGAATTCCTAAAAATGTAGTCGGACGAAAAAATATTTAAAGAGGTTATAATATCTAAATTTCAGCCCATTGACGTACCGGTGGGGTCGTAAATGATTTTAACCCAAACAATTTGCGTATATATTTTTTTTAAAAAAAAATTAAAAAATATGTGAAAAATTAGAAAAATGTATTTATTTATATATTTATTAAAATATTTTAATTATACATTTTTTGTAATACTTAACAACCAGAACTGCCAAGAGCGGTGAAACCCGAAAGCGCAAATCGACCTTTTTTTCAATGACCCAAAAGTGCTAAACAAATTTGCACTTTTGTTCCTTTTTTAATGGAATAAAAGCGTAACAATGAACTGTATTACTTAAAACAATATTTCATTAATTGTGCTATGCATTTTATCCAGTTTAGTTGTTTAAGTTTAGTATTATTGTACTATATTAATACAACGAAAATGATACAGAAATTTGATATTGGTGAAAGTAATTTTTTGGGTTGGCTTTTTTACCTTCCACTGAAATTTCTGATGCATTTTATGAATTATTTGCTATTGCTTCTGACAATTATAAAATATCAACGTTTTTATATACTTATATATTCTACGTGAATACTTTGAAATTATTTAAATAAAAATTAAAAAGCAAAATATCAAGATAAAAAAAAATTATAACTAAGAATCATGGGACACAAATTTTAATATTAAAATGTTAATAACTTAGTTACTACTGTTGACTTTCTCGCAAATATAACTATTACCTAAAACAAATAAAATAATCTATATTATAATTTTTTAATAATGTTATAAATAGTTATACTTAATAATTGAATGATGAAATATACAGGTTTCGTTTTATATTTATCTTTGACACATCTATGTTTATATCTTGTTCGCAAGAAATAATCATTATATTTTTTTAATCTGTTTTAATCCATAGTGGAACGCAGTCTTGATTTTATGATTTTTATTTTAGAAAAACTTCGTTCAACAGTAAAATTAGATTTAGGCAATGTTAAACTTATTTTAATTATTATATATAAATGCTGAAATTCTGATTTAATATTCATAATATTAATTAGTCCAAAAATATTTCTGAAACTTCCAAAATTATTTAAACCTTACCATTCTTCTTCATCTTCTGTATTATTTTAATTCGAACCGTTTTTATATTCTTCATAATCATCATGTAATTTGGCAATTTCGTCGATAAATTAAGATCTAAATATTTGATAAAACTCTTGAATAGTATATAATCATTGATATCAGCAATGTCTACCTGTGTGTTAATCATTTAGTTAACATAGTAGTTGAACAAAAATTTTGTTAGAAGAGCAGGTTAAGTTAGGCTTAACCTTTTTATAATGAAGCTTTCAAAAAGGCAGCCCGACTTTAGCCCAATATGAAGCGGCCCCATGCTAACTTTTCAAAAGATAGCATGCCAAGACCTGACCTCAATATAGGGATCGACACCACTGCTTTAGATTATTAACAGACAACATCTCATATTGAGAAAATATATTAACAATATTCATGTTATATTACAATATTCTATAGTATTATATTTAAAGAAATATTTTTTCTTGAATTATGTAAAATCTGACAAATAGTAATACACTGGTATTTAGGTACCTATTAAACTAAATATTGAAAAAGTACCTATACAGTATATGTGGTCATTATGAATAATATTATAACATTTTATTGTATATGTTCAGAAACAATAATAGAATTCAAAGACAAACATAATAAAATTGCAATACTAAGTAAATGATGTTACAAGATCCATGTGTATGTGTTACGTTACTTAAAGTGACACAACAAAAATGATGTTATAATATGAAATAGAAAAAAATTTATTTGTTTGTTTAAGTATTAAACAGTTTTAGCTTATGGCTTTCTACGAATTAATTTAGATTTGTGACTATTTTCCAAGAAGGATTAACATTTGGTTAGGTCCTACAAAGTTAATATTAATACCATGAACGATTGTTTTACGTATATTTTATTCGCTATTTAAATTTAATTATAAGAATTAAACAATACAAATAAGACAAATAATAAATTTAATCGTAATAAGATTAAAATCATCATATTATTATAAAATCTGATTTGTTTTAATGCCATAATTTTTTTCATGAAGACATGAATATTATCTCGCAATCTTATATTTTATTTTATTTTGTATATTAAGTAGGTATGGGTACAAGTTGTACCTAATATTTATGTAGGTATGTATGTGTGTATGAGTAATGTATTTGTTTGCATATAGGTACATGTATAATTGCAGTTATGTATTAAAGAATAAATTGTTTTTATTAAACCGTAATATAAAAATTATAACGTTCGTGTTAATTTAAACATCACGATTCTAAGCAATGTAGCGTGTATATAAGGTGTAAATTGATCAAGAGCCCAAAGGATATATTTTCGAGCGGCGCCCATTGATGACGGGGATTATATACCTAGGTATCTCTTTTCACACAACAATAAAACATACGCGTTTACAACAAACAATTGGTATAATGTTGGTATTAGCTGTAGTAATGGGTGCAATAAAATAAGAGAAGTCTCCACCTACTGACCACCAAGTAAGTTCTTTCGGTGGGACCGTTCGAAAATTTCTAAAATTTTACCTGCCCAGTCACTGGGCACTCAGGTGTGAACGAGACAACACCAATGTGAGAAACAAAAATGTGCGCTACATGTTAATTGTGTTTTCGTGTATTGAATAATTTTTTCAGTCCAATTGTGTTTGTATCCAAAGGAAAAAAAACCAACGAATAATAATACAAGCGAAATGACTACTTCCGAATTACAAAACTTGACTTGGGTCAAAGGGCAGCCCGTACGAGCAAGATTATTGGATGCTCAACTTTGGTCCGAATTTTTAGCCATCAATAATGAAATGATCGTCACAAAAACTGGAAGGTTAGTTAGTAGCTATATTAATACAGGTATATTAGAAAAAATGACCCTTTGTAATCATTTTTATAAATTGTATTGGTCCATTGATCTTTTGTGATAGTCAGGGCCGGATCTAGGGGGGGAAGTCGGGGATTTATCCCCGGGCGTAACATTTTAGAGGGTGTAATTTTCGTAATTATTAACAACTAATTTGATATTTTTAACTTCGTTAAATACTGATATTAGGTTAAAACTCAATAAGTACGATTGTATATTGATTATAAGAACACAATTTATTTGAGTATTTGTTTATTAGTCTATAGATAGGGCGTAATTTTAACATTTTACCCGGGCGTAAAAATTCCTAGTTCCATCTCTGGTGATAGTCATATGGTTCTATATAATTAGGTCAATTTGAAGCTGTAAAAAATATGGACTACTATCTGTGTAACCACTATGCATTTTGATCTTTATTTATTTTATATAAATTACCACTATAAAATTATCTTTTATCCCCCGAAAATTTGCATTATATGTTTCGAAAAATTCAATATTCTTGTTGAATATTCGAATACGTCGATATTAGAAAATTTAATATGAATTAAACACTGTATTTGAATAATAATAAATATCTTAACCGCCATTATGCCGTTTAGTTATATTATAAAATGTCGTTATAAAATGTGAAACAACATCGATAACTATTGAAATTATTTTGATGAATATTTAATGATACGAAAAAACTTGAAACTATCGATAAATGGCCTAATTAAACAGTATTTCCTGTAAAACCGTAATTGTTTCACTAGTAATTATAATTAAGCACGCCAAACACTTGCCCGACTCTAAGTTCTATTAAATTATACGCATTAGCTGATAGATACCTATAAGTAATAATTACAGTAATACTGTCGTAGCCTGCTGAAATCTTAGATATTAAGTACAATTATTGTGCGCGGATTATTTATTATTAATTATATTTCGATACGTTAATATTTCATAAATTAACGATAGAATAAATTTTAATAGTAAAAGTTATCTTAAGGGAATAGATGTTATTGCAATAAAAATAATAATAATAATGTAATATTTATTTACTTTTTTTGACGTAGGTATATAATGAATAATAATTAAGTAATTTCTATCGATGTGTATATCGATACAACAACTCTTGATCGGGGCATTAAACCCAGGGTTGTGTTTAAGAGTAGAAGAGCGTCTTAAACTTATATAAAATATAATTTTCTACAAAATACTTAATTTACCTAACTATAAATAATATGATAGATATAATAATGTAATAGATATGATGAAACAGTAGTATTTTTCAATGACGATTAGATTAGTGTACGGTGCAGGGGCGTATAAAAGTGGGGGTGGGGGTCAGTTTCCTCCCATAGGTCTTTTTAAAATTGTATAAAATAGAATTCTTAATGTAAGGAAATTATAAAGAAACAAAAAAATATTGCAAGGATTTATTGTAATTATTATTTTGACACATTCAATATATATATATATATTTTATTATTTATTATTTAAAATTACAGATACTTAGGTTTAGGAATTTTCCTTGCATAATAATTTGTTTGCAACTGATCCCCCCCCTACAAAAGTTATGTATACGCTACTGGTACGGTGTGTATTGATGAATAGAAAAAGGGTTGATTTTACTTCCGAAATACTCTATGCACACAGTACTCTCTTATTCTAATGTAGGTGTTACAGTATTACATTTAAAATCGATAATCGTCGATGAACGATATTTGGTTTTGGTAGAAATCGATTACAATCTATGGCGATTAAAACTGTCTATAGGTACTTAATTCTCATTGTACATTTTATAATTTTTTTTTTCTATTTGAATCATGCGAGATATTATAAACATGAAATTAAAAATTAAAAAAAAAAAATTCGAGGTAAATAACGAACCCCCTGTTTCCCTCCTTTCCTTCACCGTCCCTGGAGGGATTTTCAAATCGTACGAAATGTGTACATTTTCAAACGCACCCGATAGGTACTATGGTGTGTAAGTCGCGATTTTCTTAACGCATTTGTACGTTGCAAACGTTTAAAACATGTAATATGTAAAATGCGTAGGTAAATGTATTCCGTGCTTGTACGCATGTATGTGTGTCGAGAAGAGTACTGAAAACGATTTTTCAGGAGAATGTTTCCGGTGATTAAGACGCAAGTGACAGGATTGAGCCCGGGGGACATGTACACCGTGTTCCTGGAGTTTGTGCAAGTGGTCGGGCAACGGTGGAAGTACATAAACAGCGAGTGGTCGCCGACCACCACGTCGGACCCGGCCACGAAAAATCCGTTCTACAAGCACCCGGAGTCGCCGAACTTCGGCAAACACTGGATGGAACAGCCGATATCGTTCGCCAAAATCAAACTCACCAACAGACCGGACAACGTTGGACAGGTGAGAAAACGAAAACGATCGGAACGCAGTCCGATATTGTTTTGCGCGGGTTAATTGTTAACTGTTAATTAAATTAATCATATATAAGAAAATATAAATAAAAATAAAAATGTAACCGTCAAACGTGTAAAAGTTCAAGGAAAACCTAAATAATAAATAATTTACTTTTCGATTGAGATACTTATGTTATCAACGATTTCGTTAATGATGCAAGTTTTTTCCAGCATTTGTTAAAAATATATTAACCATGCGAGTGCGAACGGTCGTGAGTATACATTAAAATTTTAAATATGACATGATAAAACGGATGGTATTGTCACATTGTCACGTAATGCACACCGCGGACTCCTCTTATTGTGACGTAGCTTGTGACCTACACGTTCTCGAATGTTTCGCCGCTATACAGTCGGTCACATGCGGACACGTAGACAAGGGTAGACGAGTGGTTAAGGGGTCTATACCTACCCTGAAATTCAGTAAAATTATTGAACATATTTTTATAGAGTAAAAGTGGTATATAGATCATATAAGTATGAACATTTACGATCAAAAACCTTCGCCAAAATATATTTTGTGTACGCATCTGGTCACGTGTATAGCCATAATTCATCGTCCGAATGAAAAACTCGTATTTATTTTATTTATAATGCTATTCTGTGTTCCACAGACTCACTTGAATTCGTTGCACCAATACGAAACGAAACTTCACATAGTCAAAGTCGGCGATCCGGAGGACGTTCAAATTTTCCCGATGCCACAGACCAGGTTCATGGCAGTCACAGCTTATCAAAACGAAGAGGTAATTGACTACTCTACCGATTGTTTATGTGTTTAATTGAATTCCATGCACATATGAATACTGGGCCACACCGAAAAGACTCATGTGGGGGCCTTAGAAAACTGTATAAAATACCAAACGTAACATTCGACAATTAAACGATATTTATTATCTAGCTGATAGATTTTTTGTTGGGTTCGCTAGATTCTATCGAACCCAACAAATATTATTACCTAGGTAGGTACTAAAGAAAAACTATCGGTAACGAGTAAGCATACGAAATTGCCCATTTATTTAACAAAATTTCAAATTAATCAACCTTTAAATACTTGTTAATATTCGTGATTTTATTGACCTCGTATACCTGACGATGCATTTTTAATTCAAACCCGGTCGTACTTTACAAACATAATACTTTCAATATTCCAGGTTAAGCTTTTATTTATTTATTTATATATCAATTAATCATGATAATATATTATGAAGAATATTTTTCATAGTAAAAAAAATATATTAATATATATTTATATTGTTTTCATATTACGAAGAATTATATCTTATTAAAAATGTATATTATATTATTTATTTTTCATAAAAAAATAAAAAAAAACAATAACACAGTTTGTTTCAAACTTTAACGTATATAAATCATTAAAATCATTGTGTTATGAATTTATATTTTAATGTAATCGGAAGTATTTTATTTATTCCTAATTTCGTACGTTTGCAGTGCCGGATCAAGGGAGGGGGAAAATGGGTTTGCTTGCTCCAGGTAATGTTAGTATAAGGGCACTCTTAAGTTTATGAAAAATTAAAAAAAAATCATGAACATACTCCGTACTTCCTCCACCTCTATAAGGATGCTGCATTTTTATTAGTCCCGGGCATCAAATTTCCTCGATCATCCGGCACTGCACGTTTGAAAGAACATATGATTTAGCGAACCAAAAAATGTAATAAGTTTTAAAAAAAAACTACTATGAATCTACAGAATATAAAACGATTTATTGCAAATAGTTCGACGCTAATTTAATAACTATTAGTTCGGTATTTGCAATTTTTCTTTCTTCTTTTTTGAGTCTTGGGAAATATTCTAAAAATATTTTGTAAAATATGTATTATATGCATATTGATAACAAATTTATATTACATAGGTAAGTTGTAAGTATTTTAAAGAAGGAAGCAGTAGTTCATATTTCTTTAATATTTTCGAGAAAATATTTTTCTAGGTAAACTAAAATTCCAGAATTGTTTTTGCAATAAAGTTAATAATAATCCTATAATGTCTAATATATCTATCAAGTGTCAGATAAGTGTGACCCAATTATAAATCGCTGATCAGTTTTAATTTTTTTGTTTTTATCCAAGTAGTATTTGTAACTCTTCTGTTCACGGTTTATGTCTATGTCAATAGTATAATATATTTTGAATAAAAATAAATAAATAAAAAAATGTATATGCATGTATATGATAAGTATACTGTACTATTTAATAGTCTTTAGGTTTTTAAATTAAATGAAGTAACAATAACATTCTACAGGTGACTAAACTGAAAATCAAATATAATCCATTTGCCAAGGCGTTCAAAGACACTAAAGTCAAGACCGAGGAAAATGAAAAAAGAGAACACCAAGAAGTTTATCAGGTGGCTCCACTTGGATATGGTAAGAAATACTCAATACTCCTAAGCAACAAGAACTCGATCAATTATTTTATGCACAATAACATTATTGTTTTTTTTTTCACATAGATAATTCAACGAATTTCAATGAAAACTATTATATGGCCACGGATGATTGGTTATCTCAGTATGGAGGACAAAGAGAAATGATGACCAGATGTCAATGCACAGCTTGTTATTTTGCTAAGCCTCAAGTTAGTCATAAGAAATGTGTACCCATTTACAACGGTGGTCAAGACAATGATCATATTATGTATCAGCCAACATCGTACAGTTGGACACAGTTAGGAGGATGACATGCTAATTACAATATTTCTATTTCGACATGTTTACCATAAAGGTTTATTTTTATTTGATTTGGGTTATATTTTGTATGAATTAAATTATTATCATTGTTTTAGTTTCTAAGTACACCATAAATTATTGTATATCAATGTATTATTATTATACATTTGGGGTGAATAGAAAAATATTTACTCATATACTTACAGTATTTTAATTTATTGCTTGAATTCGCATTGGTGATCACCATTTTTGTTTCCTTAATTCTTCAATAACTGACCATTGTTTTAGTTTATGTCCAAATAACAGTTGACAAGTTTTAGTATAACATGTTTATTTTAAATTTAGAAATCTTTAGATTAATTTGTAGATTCTTAAGCATAATTTAGTTATTTTTTCAGTGATTTTATAACAAATAATATTCATAAATTGATTTATTTTTTACACTAATACCTATTACTTAAGGTTAACCACTTTATTCCTCAGAACTTATCATATTTAATATTAATTCAAATTACATCTAAATTTCATATAATTTTTTGTTAAAATGTTTCTATTATTATTTATATCATTTTTAAAAATAATTATTTAATTTATTAATTTTCCTAAAAATATCCATCGAATTTATGAAAATGTTTTAGTTTTCAATTTAGTTATATTAAATGTTATAATGCTCTTATTTTTCAATAATTTTTTATTACTTTGTGTCTATTAATCTTAATTGAAAAATAATCAACTGTTGTTAGATTAAATACTAAAAGCATTACACAATTTATTCTTCAACTTATTTTTTATTATATGCATAGTTATACATCAACATAATTGAAAAAATAACAAATGCAAAACCAAGTTTAAACTGAAAAGGTTTTATTCCAAAAGTAATATTATAAAATTAAATACATATTAAATGTTTAAATACATAAAAAGTTACTTATAATATCAAGTGTTGTTGTTCTTGCTTAAAAAAATACATTACATCAACTTATAAGTAGAATAATATAAATAACTTGATTTATTTGTAGTTCTAATAAATGAGCTATTAAATATTAGCTTTTAGAACTCATTCATAATCAACAAGTGGTCTGAAAAATAAATAAAAACAATTATTGTTAATTAGAAAATTGAACAAGTTCAAAATGGATAGCAGAAGTTTACATGCAGATGAAATATAACTAGTATTAATTATTAGATTATATATAATGTAACACTTATTGTTTTTATTTTTTAATTAGAAATATAAATTATCTATACAACCTTAAACAAATTTAAATTATATTTATGAACACAAAACAATAAATTAATATTTAATATAATTTTAACAAATAAGAGTACATATATGATAATATGCACATAAAAGTTTAAATTAGTAATGGATTTTTGTATGGAAAAAATCTAATTATAATTCAATCCAACAGAAGTATTTTTAATCATAATCATAAAAAATTACACATTTTTTCCACTAGTTACGTTTTAATATTTTTCCTATTAAAAATGTTTGTATAAATATTTTAATCAATTCATGCTTTTAACAGTCTTAAGAAATTTGTTAAATATTTATAAATAGCTCTCATAAGAACTCATTTTATTAATTTGATTATTTAAAAAATGTAATATTATGAATTTAATATTAACTAACATAATTTATTAAAAACAATATATACATACAATTTTTAATTTTTATATAAATATTATTTTGTTTAATTTTAAATTATTTACTTTAGTGAATTTATTAAAAATTGATCACATTCAAATATTTTTAATCCATATCTTCATTTTTTTTTATACATTTCATTAAAATAATGGTAAATATAATATTTACTTTATATCGGAGTGTACTTTAGTACTTGGCAAATAACGTTTTGGACTTGCTTCATAAGTTATTTTAGCAGCAGGACGATAATTATAGTTCTCACATCTACTACGATCAGGAATTTCCCTTTGTCTAGTTTCCTTCCTAACTGGACTTTCCCTTGATTTAATTTCTTTTCTAATTGGACTTTCCCTATGTTTCATTTCTTTCCTAGGTGAACTATCTCTTCTGTCTATCCTTCTATCTCTTCTTTCAGGGCTACGACGAGAACGATAATCATCTCTACGATCATAATCACGCCTATCATCTCTTCTGTATCTTTCTCGTTCTTCGCTCCTTTTTGACCATCTCCTATCATCACTCCTAGACCGACGACGTCGATCATTACTTTTCGATCGTCTACGCCAATCACCACTTTTTGATCGTCTACGCCCACCACTTCTCGATCTCGATCTACGCCTACTACTTCTATACCTAAAGAATGATTACAAATTAATATAAGTGAAAATGTATAACACATATTTTTAAACATAATTGAATAATATACCTGGAATAACTAGAACTTGTACTTGAGCTATTAGAACTACTAGATTTTGATCGGGATTTAGATCGAGATAATGAACTATTTTCAGGGTGACGTAACTGCCGTCGCCTAAAATCAACAAATATTATTAAGAATAATAAATATAATTAGTTGTACTAAAATATTAAACATACTTTCTTCTCATTTTTAAAGATAACTCTTTGATTTCTTCTTCTCGTTCAATTTGCTCTCTTTCCATTTTCAATTCTCTTTCTCTTTGGGCTTTTTTATCAGCTTTATCTAAAAACCACACAATTATACATTCTTTACATATTATTTCTATCAAATGATAATAATTCTTTAAGTATTGTTGAAAACAATTGGTTGACTTTAAAACAACTTCTTCTGAAAAAAAGAGTGGATTATTAATACTACTGACATTGTTTGTTTAGCAAAACTTTCATTTTTCGTTTCATTAATTCTTGTGGAGTTGGTTTGCTGTCACTTGAGCCCTGCTGCAAACACATTTTTCAACAATTACATCTAAACTAATAACTTCAGGTAATAATAAAAAAATATTATAAATATTTAGTTAACATTTATAATCTCCTAGAATTTTGAAATTATATTATTTGTGACATGCTAATATGTACTCTTGCGCTAAATTAACAAATTACTGACTTTTTTGCCGGAAGAAGCAAGGCTGAGATCTGGTAATCTAAAATTTTTTAATTCAAATTAAAAAATAATACACAGTGAAAAAACTAAAATAGCTTACGGAGGTTTAATGTTATTAGTATTTTTATCTTGACCATCATCGTCATCGGAAATACTTAATTCTGATGATGAGTCATTTCCTCTACGACCATAATATCTAAAAAATAATATAATAAAAATGTAATTAAAGACGCATAAAATTATAAATGTACTATTTATACTATTACCTTTGAATAGGAGGTGGTTTTTGAGTAACTGGCAACTGTGCACTGTTTCTATATATATATATATATTAAAAAAATGTAATGAAATACAAAATGATATATTCTTAACTTAATAAAATTTACATTTAAATATGTATAAAAAAATACCTAATTGGAGTCAATGATTTATTTAAACTTCGAGACCTATATCGACGACTATGATTTTTAGATGGTGATCTAGATTTTTTACGAGGAGTTTTGGACCGAGAACTTCGTCTTTTTCTTGTTTGATTTTTTGAAGAAGACTTTGATCTAAAAATATAATAATTAAATTTTAAACAAGATAATTATAATTTCTATAAATTCAATTTGAAAAAAAAATACTAAATAAGATGAGATAAATCAAAAATATTATAATCTTTAAATATTTTAAAATATATTTTTTATTATTAATGTTAACAATCTTAAATATATTATTGCTAATATCAATAATAATATTAACTATTTAAAGTAAATATATGAAAATCTTGAAATAATAACAAAAAAAATTGGAATCACATGTTATACACAATCAATAATTCTAATGACTACATATTTTAAATAAAAGACTGTTAATCTTATTGTTTTTAACACTAAATTAAGAACTAACTTTGAACTAATTTTTGATTTATCAATTTGTATTGGCTCTTCATCACCAAAACTAGTAATGTAGGTCACTTGGCCAGAGTTTTCAGGAGTTGGCGATCGAGATGTCATCATTGATGATAATTGATCAAAATCAGTATAACTAGGACTTTTTCTAGTCGCATAACTAAAAGTAAAAATTTTAAATTCATGACCCAATGATCCAAAATTAAATGTAATCATTTAAATTACTTTATACCTAAGAGGGCTTAAAGCTTTGCCTTCTAAAGCTTTTAATCGAAAGGCTCGGCGCTCTCTTCTGGATCGTCGTCCCTAAAAATATTTTATGTATTACACTTATAATGTAGGTAAATAACTGATTTATCTAGAATAGATCATATATAGTACATGTATTAATTAAATAACAAATACTAAAATCTATGAATTGATTTTATTAAATTTTAAGCATAATAATGAAATGTTATATTTTAAGATTTAAAGTTATCAAATATGTTTTTTTTATTAAAAAAGGAAAATTGTATCCCTAATTTATGGCAATTAATTATAATGGTTGTAAATTTGAATAAAATATCTTACAGCAAACATGGCCTTTTCTTCTTCAGCTAAACGAGCTAATTGAATATTTTCAGCTTCTTCCAAATCATTATTAAGAAAGCTATAGAAGTCATTAGTTGTCATGCCAAAACCATGAGCAGTTGAATTCAATTCATTTGCTTGGTCAGTACCAATTTTACTAACATCTATAGATAAATCTATAATACAGAATAAAGAATTACATTTTATCAATAAATACAAATATATAATAACAATAAATATTTACCAAAATCAACCTCACTCTCCTCATCAGATTCATCAGAACCATCAGTTTTAGGTTTTATATCTAAATATTTCTTGGACTCATCAGTTTGTATGGTGTCTTCATCACTATATTTATAGGGAATAGCAGCAGTAGCAGTAGATTTTTTTTTAGCATCATCAGCATCCGATTTTCCTACAGGACCAAATTTTTCTTCCAAATAGAGCTGATGTAAAAATTTATTTTCGGAAACTGAAAATTATAAAATAAACAATCAAAACTAAATAAGAGCAGGTGATTACAACATACTTGCTAAAAACTCATTTTGAACAAGAATACGATAACGTTCATAGTTTAATTGACGTTCTTCATACGACAATTCATCTTCTTCGTCATCATTCTTTGGTTCTCTAATGAAATCTAAATGAGCTCGGGCGTCAAATCGATCGATCATTATTTCTTCATTTCCTTGCCACGGCATCCTAACATTAGAGAACCATATTCAGAATAGGGCATCAAGATAAAATAATAATAATAATAAAAATAGTAATAAAAACGCACATGGTCGCAGGGCTATTAGCAGCTATAGCGATGCCAGGATCGATGTGTATTTTACATTGTCTGCCATGGAGCTGTAAGAACTGCGTGGGATCAGCTTTCTGAAACCCCATGGGAAAAAATGAAATCTCGTTAGGAACACCCGTGCAAAAAGTACTCACAATTTTTTCATAATAATCCTTCCGCCGCTGCGCTCGTCTCTGATAATCGACCAAGAGGCCGCGAATTTTTTTCTCCTGTTTTCTAGCTTCGTGCCACATGACGGCGTGCGCGTTCGAGATGCCAGAATACTTGAACACGGCTCCTGAAAGCAAATCAGAGCATGCACTGCTCAATCAGACGGCACTTACGAAAGTCGGGTAGACAAGAACAACAGTAATCGAGGGCACCCATGAGGGAATGTTTTGATCGGTCGGTAATCGACGTGCGCGAGTCAACAGTAAAACATTGGACGCTGAAAAACTAATGATTGAAGATAAAAACGGATATGAAATGCATAATATTCTAAAATGTCTGTGGTGGAATGGCATTGGATTTCGTCGCGTGTTATCTACCAGCCGTTTACCAGGTATATGGTAGCGAATTCTTATCGTACGGCTTCCCGCGCATTTTTACCAATGCCGAACGATCCATGATGTAACACCCGATGCCTGTGTTCGTCAGTCGCGGTTTACTTATGAGGGAAGAGTATACGAAGCGAGAACGCGGAATGCGATCGTAAAGTCAACGGCGTTGGTTCTACTTGCACACTTGTCATCTACTGCGTACAGGAATTGATAATACCTCAACGATTCTTCCCACACCGTGTAGCGCAATTGCTAGGTGTTTATTTACACGCTACAAATCCGTCGAACCGTTACTATGGACTCCACCGTGTCAGCGTCAAAGGTATGCCGAGTGGTCGTTGAGACATTGTTATTGCACTCAGCTCACGTCAATTTAACCCTTTGAACCTGATTACGAACAGTCAACAGGTCCAGCCACTCGACTGATATATATCTCATTTCTATCCATGTCCACCGGTTATTGTTGTCGATGACCTCGTGCACATATACCCAAATAATAGACTAATAGTAATTTCCAATGTTAGCTTTTTGGTAACTTTTTTTTTAACACCTCTGTGTTTTTTTTAATCATGTGAAATTAGGATAAATTTATTTGAAAATCAATTACCATTGCTAAAGGAACTTATATAAACTAGCGATTCTCAACCGAGGGTCATCAACATTTTTTTTAGGGTCGCATCATATGAAAAAAAAATTTCAAATCAACAACAGCAAAAGAGTCATCAAATTAAAAAAATATTCTAATTTACAAAATTTTTATTTTAGTTATTTTATTATTTAACGCCAATTTGCTTTTATAATATAACTTTTTTTGTAAAATGTAGACACAAATAAATACAATAATAACAGTTTCTAAAATTGTTCAATGCTTACATTACAAAAGGGTCGTTAGATATCTTGGTGACATTATAGGGGGTCGTTAACTGAAAAAGGTTGAGAACCGCTGATATAAACTATATTTATATCATATTTAGCCTAATGGATTCATCAACTGTGTTTACATTTTCTGTAGCTTGTTCATGAAATAGGCAATTGCTTAGAAATCTTATTGATAAGCTATGTGCACTAGCATCCAATAGCTGTAAACAATGAATAAAAGGACTTCTGTTTCTGGACCATTTAAAGTCATAACCTATTTTTATTCTAAATATTTAGAACACAATCATGCTTATATTATTTTTAGAAAAATAAAATGTATCAGATAATAGTTGTGTTAGAAAATGTATTAATGATATATTTTTAATATATATGTTTATTATTTAGGGTTGTTTTGTTTTTAAAAAACAGAACTCCGAAAAGAATAAAAAAAGAAAAAGTAAAGGGAAAAAACAACTGAAAAGCAATGAGCTTAAAACTGAATTATGGCATTCTACGTTTATTGATATTTGGACTGATGTTAAGTCCAAACTTGATGTAAGTAGCTTGAGTATCAATGGTTCAATTTAAATGAGTTATTACTAATATTAATATCATATTATAGGATTTAAATGAATCAATATATTCAAAATTTATTTCTGAGTCTGTAGATTTTATGACTACAACAAACAATACTGCAAGTCATAAAAATATTCCAACAGCATGTTTACTTACAGGTTAAATGATTACTGTTTATGAAAGATCAAAAAATATAAAAATAATATTCATGTATTTAACCTAATGTCTTTATACGGAACAGGAGTAAATTTGCCTGATCATGAATCATTATTTGGATTATTAGCTTCTAGTTTAGAAAAATCCAAGCCCCCTGTAGCTGTTGCAATACTGTTTTCTGAACATTTTACTAGTGTAAAAAGTGCAGTTGTAAATATGGTGTCACAATTGATAAATTCAAAAGATGATTACTCTGATGTAAGATATTATTTAATTGTTATTCTATATTAAAAATAAAAATGTTTTTGTTATAGTCTGACGAAGAAATAGATGAAAGTTTAAACCAAAAGTCTTTCATAAAACGATCAGAATGTTCAATATCAACCCTAATTGATTGGTACAATGACCAACCAATTGGTACTCGTGTAGCAATTCTTGTAAAAGATTTTGAAATGTGTCAACAGACTGTCCTACAAAATTTCATCTTACTATTAAGGTTATTTTAAAACTTATTTATCATATTGTATTTTATTTTTGACAATCAATTCTTATAGTTGTTATATAGATATGATCCCATTTGTTTTGGCTATCGGTATCGCCACTTCTATTTCAAATTTACATAATGCTTTGCCTCATCACGTGGTAACTAAGTTAAAAGTAAAAATGTTTGTTAGTGAAGCATCTGTGGTATTTTTAAACAATATTATGGACAAGGTATAATTGATAATTTAGTTTTTAAATTCAAATTATTGTAGTTAATTAATTTAAAATTTAAATTATGTAGTATAGTTTAAATAATCAATACATTTTATTCTGTTTAATGTCTAAATATTAAATTCAAACTTATAATTTAAAACAATATTGTCATAATCGGAAAATATATAGTTTATATACATTGTTTTTCTTCTAATTATATTATTTTAATAAGTTTTCTTAATATCTTGTTCTTTTTTTAAAAAAAAAAGTATATATCAATAAAAAATCTGTAAGTGAAATTGAAACTGACTTGTAATTTTACAAATAAATTAATTTTTTATCAGTGTATTATAAGATGGCAAAATTAATTTTCTGTTATAATTATTTTAAGATAGAGAAAATTATAACATTATTTTAGATAACTTTTGTTTATTTATTAAATTATAAATAAAATAAATTTTTATTTATACTTCAAACTAAAAATTTAGATTTTTGATAAATCTTTATTTTTCATAAATATTTTTGTTAAAAATTGGTATTTTTACTTACAGTTTATTTTTTATAAACTAATATTAAATTTAAAAAATAATTAATTTAAAGAATAATTCATATTTAATTTTCATATAATTTTGAGTCTATGGTAGTATTTTGTAAACTTACAATTGATGTTGACTCAAAAAAATTTACAATTAGATAATTACATTTTAGAAATACTTTGTAAAATTAATTTATATTGTATTTTAGTTTGATAATCCTATTATTAAGGAACCAATAATTATTGATTATGAATGTCTAGGTATTTTTAAAACCAGATTGTTCATTTTATTTGGGTGGTCGTATTTTGGAATATGTAACTGAAGTATTTTTATACTACAATTTTTCTATTAAACAGTTTGTAGAAAGTCTTAAGGTAAAATTATTTTAGTATTAATAAGGCTATTAATCTTAAACTAAAAGTATTATTGTTTACAGTTTTGTCTCATGGAGCATTTATATCTTAAACCTCTCAACTGTATATGTGTTGCTCATGAATCAGCACAAGGAGATTTATTTGATTCATTAGATGAAGAAACTCTTAAAGAATTAACTAAATTACGCTCAACTAACTATAAACTAAAACTTGACTACAATTTAAAAGTATACTTAAAAATATTTTCTTAATAATTATTATAATATTATTATTATTATTATTATTATGTTCTAGGAAACTTTTTTAAAATTAATCAAAGAATTGAAAACTTGTATTGAAGATTTTAATATTGGTTTAAGAATTTTGCAAATTTTAGTGGCAGACTTACCAAATTCGCCATTAGGCACTCAAGTATTTAAATTTATTGATAATTTTTATTTTATTTCTTTAGTATTAATAATACAATTATTTAGCTCAGAGAAATGTATTCCATTGGAATGAAGAAACATATAATTGATGATCCATCATTTAAAACATGTTTGCAATTATTAAAATTTTTATCTAAAGGTGATTTACTTACAAAATTTGATAAGGTAATATTTTATTTGTTATATTTTATCCATTGTATTTAGTATTATTATTTATATTTTTATATTGTATTTAGATATGTCATATTTTAAAAAATTCCAAAAAAAATAAAAGAGCAAAATATGCATTAAAATTAGTTCAAAGTTATGCAATAAGTATTGAAGAAGCCCAATTAAGTAATGTTATTGTAGAAGCAAAAACTCAAGTAGATTTAAAACCCCTAGAGAATTTGAAAGTTGTCTCTAGATCACAGTTCAAAAAAGTAATCATTTTTTGTATGTTATTGTGTATGTATGTTATTTTAATACTATTTTAATTTTGTAATAGAAACTTATTGACAATGTCAAACACGAAGATATCCGACCAATGACTGAATTTGAAAAAGCACGTTCAAAAACTTTAGATGATTTAACTGATGTTATATTAAGACAGTTTCTTACACCTCCCACTACCATGCCTTTACATGAATTGTTAATATTTGATGATTTACCATCGATTAAACGCAAAATAATTGGGGAGGACAGAGCTGCTCAATATACAGCATTTGTCAACCCTCAACATTATATTGATGTAAGACATTTTAATTTGTTTATATTATTTAGTTAATTGTGTATAAACATTTGAAGAAAAAAAATTATGTCAATAGTGTGACTGCTGTGAATTAGAATATACCGAACAAATATTAAAAACCATGCCAGATATTTGTATTGTGTACAAATTACACTTGGAGTCCAGATTTGATCAAATTAATATTTATGATTGGTTGCAGGTAAATAGTAATCTTATGTCTCACATTATATAGTTTTAAATTCAATTTTCTAATATTCATTCAACTTCAACAAATCAACAGTTTTTGTATCATATTTCCCTTTAATTAAAATATAATTATATTTTGTTTATGTATTTAATAATTTATCAACACATTTTTTACATATTCATTATTAAATGGTTACTTATTATTAATGGTTACTTTAAAAACAATTTTATACTGATACAGTTAGGAGTACAGTATAGGCAATATTTTAAATGTATATGTGCAGTGTCTTGTATAACATAATATAACTAAATTCCCATTTTGAAGACTATTAGTCATCTAGATCTAGTTGTTAAATTTGAATTGATACGTTGGTTTTTAACTACATTTTTTTAATTTAATTAACATTTTAAATATGTTTAAGGTAGTAAAATTGTAAGTAAATCTTATGCATACTACTATTAGTTTTTTAAAGTTATACTGAATAATTATTCCAATATATTTGAAAGGTATGAATGTTTTAGTATGAAAATGCTTGGATATTATTCAGTTCTAATAATAATTATGTTCATATGTGATAATCAAAGTATATATTTAATAAACAATATCAATACTGTATGATTAGCAGTTAATATTTTTGATATTTATTATAATTTTATTAACAATTAATTAAGAGTTAGATGTAATCGACTGAATTATTATTTTTATTTACAGCCTCATTAATATAGATACAATTTAGTCCTAATGATCCGAATGAATGTTAATTTCTAATTATTTTTTTATTTTAGAAATTTATTTCAGTTGTTGGTTCTGATCAAAATGAACTTGACAATGACAATGATGTAGATCCAGCACTACAGTATCCTTTTAAATATTGTTCACTAATAGATTTTTAGTGTTAAAATATATTTTCAGAATTATTTCAAAATTAGGTAATAATAATATTAATATTATTTTCCAAACCAGCTCTCTGTATAATATCAAATTAAAGTTTCACTTGCCTCAATTGTTTATGTAATATAGGTGTAGTGATCAGCAGGTAAGAGGATCTATATTTTTTTTTTTAAAAGATTCCAAATTGTGCAATATCTGTTGTTTATATTTATTTTTATTTTTATATTCTTTATTATTTAACCAATAACTAGTTATATGTAAAAAGATTAATCTTCAAATAATTTCAAAATTAATGAACATTAAGTATTATTTATTTTCTCTTGGTGAAATGTTTTTAATATTATTGATATTTAGTGGTTTGAAAAATATTAGGCAAGTTTTATATTCAACTATGTATGAATATTGATGATAATTCATTATTTATTTATAAAATATAAATGTTCCTTAAACATTTAATGTACTAGAGCTCGATTTATACGAGCTATAAATGAATTGCAGCATTTAGGATACATACGTAAGTCCAAGTACAAAGCAGACCATATGCAGCGCCTTACATGTGGATCTTATTGAGAATTACATTATTTATTTAGTTTTAATTTCCATTATATTTATTTGTGTATCCAATATTTTAATGTCAGATAGCAACTATTGAAAAATATCAAAAATTTGTTTTTTTAGTACATTAAATTTTTTTTTTAATAAATATTTGTATTCAATAAAAATAAAAAGTTAACGTTGCTATTATCATCAGAATGAGGACGCACGAGCAGCCTATGGAGTCTAATTAACCACAAGTTCCTCTACATAATTGTTTTGTTAATTATAAACTCGCACGAATTCGGGTCATTTCCAAATCTTTTTTTTTTTGTCTATGTTTTTATTGTTGAAATTGACGACGTGTAAGAGACAATAGGGCTATGCCATAGGTGTATTCTCTTATACGCTGCTGGTACACGAGCACCTGTGAGTTGTCCAAAATTCGGCCGTCGATCGAGTATTATTTATATTATATAGATATTAATAATGAAGTCTTATCGAAACTAGGCTATGTAAAATCCTATTTGTTGGTCTATTCTTAAGCTTTTATTGTCGGAGGTAGATACATATATCATAATGTTTGGTAGGTACATGAACAGTTATGCGCGTGATACAATATACTTGAATAAAAGTATAAAAATTAGCGATCTCGTATAATGATAATTTCTCATTATTAAAATAATATGAATTGTTTTTTCTGGATCGTAAATTAAATCGTTTTGAAAAGTTTTTTATATAAAATATGACATATATGAGTATTAGCATGAAAAATTAAAGCATTAGATGTGTTAAATTTCTAATATTTTATGAATTTAAATTTTCAACATAAATAATAATTAGATATATTTAGATAGTAATATATATTCAAAAAATGTGTGCACTAAGTGATATTTAGCACTATTCGTTAAATTTCCAATTAATCTAAGTATTAAAAACTCATATAAATTATATTTTTACCAAATTAAAAAAAGGTAAATATTTTTTATTTCAAAATATTAAAATTTAAAATCGACCAATTTGGGATGATGCATTTTAAACAAAATTGTTCTACTCTGCTTTAGTTTTTACACACTAAATGAGCAACAGTATATTTTGATAAAGTCTGTTGTGGAATTAGTATGTTTTGTATTTTTCCATGGAAATCGTTATTATGACATTAATCGATTTTGTAATTTGTTCAATAAGAAATAACGTTTAATTGTATTGTTTTATTAATTTTCGTAATGCCTAGTATGTTTTTGAGCATCACGCAACATCATAATTGTACGTTTATCCTCCTCTTTTATCGATTTTGTCACACGAATTACTTATTAAAACTTTCTGTTCCTCAGAGAACATTTATTTTACTTCTTTCATTTTCGAATGATTCAAATATTTAATTCTACACCAAATTCAAAACTAGTATCTTAATGAGTTTTTTTAATCTAAATAAATTTAAATACTTAAAACTAATCATGTGAAGCGTTATTGTACCAAAAACCAAACCGTATGTAATATTTATAATAAAACTACCAAATTATATATTGTAACTACTATATACAATATAGTTGTACGAATGAAACGTCAATTAAGAGTTTTTTCACAAATCATTATCAATATTTGTAATTGTTAATAGATATTATTTATCCATTAATTTAATTTTAATTAATCATATAAGGACTGAAGGACACAAGTTATACATTCTACTTATTTGTCGAGCACATGATTAACACGAATAATGTAGAATTAAAACTATTATATAAACAAATATAAATAACATTTTAAATATATACCACATATGCTTGTGGTAAAGAATTACAATCACATTTTCACAGTACGTATTTACAAATAATGATTACATCTTAAAACTAACTCCGTTTGCGAAAATACTCAAACATATATACAGTACATAAGATAGTATATTAAAATATCAATGAGGCAATGCATAAGTATCCTTTTTTATACAATATAATAAAGTTATATGTGGGTAGTATAAGGTACGATATTATGATATGTATACAATAAAGAAACAAAAAAATAATATAATTTAACTTCGTAGGTTATACAATTATTTTAGTTTTTATGACATTACATTTTAAAACTGTACAAGTCGTACGAATTGTCTTGATAAAAAAAATAATTGTCTTTCTATGTCTGTCCAATAAGTTACAAATTTTTATTATTTTAACATTTGATTTAATGTGATTAGAGCTTAGAAGACTTCATTGGAATAGTCAATATTAAATATTTGAATTCGTAGTACGTACTTATATTTTGTATCAATCAGTGGCGGATTCAAAAAAAGGAAATTTAGTTTTAGCTTTGCTAAATATTCATAATGATGTAAAAACTGCGCCTGAACAAGAGTAATTTTGATCATTTTGAAAATACTATTTTGCAAATAGTTAAAATAAAAGGCTAGACTTAACTCGTCATCGGCGGTACACGTGTGAACGCGCCGCGATAACATTTTGAGCGTTGTTCGTATAAATATTATTGAATTAATTTAATACTATGACTACCTTCAAATAGCAATGTCTATAAATATTTACAAAAATAAATTATAACCCTATTTTTTATTCCCAAATATTTATTGTTCGAAAAAATCGAGAATACCGATTAAGTGAGTTTCACGCTAACATTGTAGGTTCTACCTACTAACCAGACGATATTTTTATCACCGTTGCAATCAATTACGTAGGTACTCGTGTTTCCCATTTTTTTTATGTAAATAAATAATAAAGTTAATAAATTTATATAAATAATATAATAAATAATACTAATAAAGTTATTTCGTGATTAGAGAAGATAGAAGAACATTTTTTAGAAGATTCCGACGATACCGATGTTGACCCTAGTCAAGATCCTGTCGATTTACGTGAAATTGAACCTAATTTTAACGCTTCTAAACCTACCCCTAAAAATAATTACCTACACATAAATCAAATACTCCGCAATCTTCTCGTTCTAGAATAAATATAATAATAATACGATAAAGGTGTCATTAATCATCGTTTATATGAAATAACTTCGTAGACTAAGAGCGTATTATGTACCGTCCCAATATATGAGGAGCACAACATGTGCAAATGCATATCCTGCCATAATGATAAAAGCGATACAAATATTTTAAAAAGTTAACAGATCAAAGATGATAAATTTCATGATGACTAGATATACTTTTATACTCGTATTATGTTTTAAATGAATTTGTATTAACTTATATGAATATAAATATTAATTTAATATTATTATTATAATATATACATATATAATTTTATATAAATTAATTTTTATTTTTTTGGAACAGGATAGTGGTTTTTAATTTAATACATTTTTAATAATCTATAAAACGTGAATCATACATTTTAGTAAAGGATAAAAATATAAAAAATCCTATGTAAGATTCTATTTCTGAAGTTAATCGAGTAATTAGTAATGCTTTAAAAAATAAAGTATGAGCGCGGCTCTTAATTTAGCAATCGTGTAATGAATTAAATGTGTACAAATGACTGGTTAACGCTTTAAATTTAAAATTAATTTTTTATTATATTTTTATTGACATGTATAACTACTATTAACTACTATTGAGTAAAATGTAAATACGGCTGACCTTCTAAAGTTATAATTTTATTATTGATTACATTTTACATGTGTATACTAATTATTTTTATTTATTTTTGCTCTATAAGTTTATAAAATTAAGTTTTTTTTTAAGTACAAACATTGATGTACATTTATAAGAGTCGATCAAAAACGGTTAGGATAAAAAGTTTTGTTAGTTACTACTCTATTGAACAAGACTAACTTTGGTGTATGATACAACATCCTCTCCCGCCATGATAAATTTTTAGATCAGCTACGGTTAGTAACTGCTTAATTAATAATTTAACCACGTATATACTCTTCTTAATATTTTTGATTCTGAGTGAAGCGAGGAATGTATTTGAGTTTAATAAAACGTGGTCGAAAAGTATCGAAACCCAATCATTTTTTGTTTCAGCGGATGCGAGTCAACAGAATATTGTGAGAAACAAGCTCTAAGTAAAACAGAATTAACTAAATTTATGTAAGCCACTAAATCCTGCTGCTCAAGGACTTTCATAAACTAAAGTAAGGAATAGTTGCGTATTTATATTTGAGTCGATAAAGATTATAAAGGATCAATGCGATCTGATTTCAAACGAATAATGCACTGGTAAGTCTAGGTAGGTATGCGTTATTGCGCTTGTATTATAACAACTGTGATGGTGGCAATGGTGGCCGCGGCGGCGCAGACGCGTTTCTTCGATAACTACCTAAATATTACATAATGCTGCTTCACTGGAAGAACGTACCGACGGGGGCCGAAACGTAATGTATATGTAATGGAAGAATATTGTAAACGTACATGTCATACGATAAAAATAATAGGAGATAAAGCAAAATAAAATATTCAAATATATCATTTAGGGGAGGCTGCGGGGAAGCAACAGTTCGTTCACGGAGTGATTATTTACTTTTTTTTCCTAACGTCAAGCGTTCATTTTATCGGTTAATTTATACGTTTTTAAAATTAATTATTTTTCATTAAAACTCAAGCCGTATTACATGTACCGCGTACTGCCATAACATTTTTTTACATATAAATTATCTATTTATTTTTATTCTTCCAAGTATTACACTTTTTAAACAGAAATGTACATTTATAATATTTTACTTCGGAGAAAAATGTTTTCTTGAAAATGTTGGTTCATAAAAATCGAATATAAAAACTAGTACGGTTAATTATTTACAAGTTTATAAATTTCTGACGATAAAAATGGATTTCCCATAAAAAATGGTGTGTTAAATTTTAAATACTTGTAAATTATCGGACAACCATATTACTTACAACGGAATGTTCGTAAAATAATAAACACTTAGGTACTCGCAATATTATTCTGTAGACTGTCAAAAGTAAGGGAAAACTATAGAAAATAAATCTATACCACGATGAAATAGATACTACATAGTTGTGAAAATATTTTGTTATTTTTTTTTAAAAAACACGTAAACCGACCGGAGTCGGTATGTTAGTATAAATTATATAAAAATCACTATACACGTGCGTAACGCCGCGGGTTCGGGCACTGCGTTGCGAAA